ATTTTAAGGCCCGGCTAGTTGCGCAGGAAGGTTAAGGTGTGTGTATCTTCCACAAACAAAAACTGAGTCATTTAATTTTAGAAGTAGTGGTCTTCGGTTACCAGAATTAAAATCTTTCCTGGGAAGGTTTAAATGACTCCCCGTGATGCTCTGCCAGTTTAAAGACACTCATCACTAAGCCATTTTAAAGAGGTTTGGCATCAGGGCCTCCAGCATCTAAAGCCCAGTCCCTCTGCCGCGTGGTTCGTCTAAGTGAACCTTGGATTTCAGCGATGAGCTGTTTGCACTAATTTTTGCCAATGTATGTTATAAGCGTGTGGGATAATTGGCATTTCAAGTTTCAAACTTTTTTATTATCGTGACTCAATGAGATTCAGCAAATATGAGTCATAAACAATACAATACATATTACGTTAGCCAAAAAGAAGATGATACCTTATCAGCATAAATGTAATTTTTTGTTTAGATGAATATGACAAGAAAAGTAAAAAAAAAATAAATAGAAAGAAACAAAATAAAAAATGCCCTCTTTCACCCATCATTCATAATAAAACAAGGTAGACAATAAATTCGGTCCTAACATATTTCAAATTGGAGTATCATAGGGCGAAGTCAACCAGGTTTGTTAAATTCCCTTTTCCTTTCTATCATTTTCCTTCTTTCTTTTCTTTCTCTTCATTTTTTCTTTTTTACTTCCACCTATCTTCTCTTTCCTTTCCTTTCCTACACCAGCCTGGGACCTCCGGGGGTTCTTCTTCCCCTCTTGCGTGGCGAATGTGGTGGTGGCCGTATACGGCCATCATTCCAAGCTTGTCCCAGTAGTGGTGAGGGGGCTCGGGTAGCTGTCCAGGAGCTGTTTCAGAATGACTCAATGCCAAACTCCCCGACTCTGCTTCCGCACCTGTCGGCTCTCCCCCCGGAAGCCATTTCTAACAAAAAATTATTTTGAAAGGCTTGACCTTGGGTACTATTTGCACCATAACTACTGCAATGAGCTGTAGTGGTCATTGTGTATAGTGCTATGTAAATCTGGGCTGGCATAGAATCATGTGAGTTTTAGTTATTTAGAAGCTAGGCCTTACACTAGGCTATCTGGAAGGACCTTTAGATTGTAAGTTCATGGGCAGGGCCCTCTACTTGTTGTATCTGTCTGTTCTTATTGTGTTGTCTTTTCCAATTGTACAGTGCTGCGGAATATGTTAGCGCTTCATAAGTCCCAGTAATAAATAAATAAATATAAGAACTTGGCATAGGGGTGTTTTCGTTATTACTTGCAAATGTTCTCTTATTTAACTGGATCATGGGAGCTTTGGATGCTGGGGCTCCTGGCAGGCCTTGGAACAAGCTGTCAGCAGCTCTGCAATTGATTTAGTGAGGGAATAGCAGCATCCTACAGGTGATCAAATGACATGCTAAAGCTTGCGTGAAATGACATGAGTGAAAGCTGGGGTCCCACATTCAGTCCTGTCATGGTATTCAACGAACACTACGTTTATTCTATTGTTGGTCTGGCTTGTCCAACCAAATCCTGATAGTTATCCAAAACCACAAGATACCCCTTAGACTTAAACAGAGCCCTACCTTTCATGTCGCTAGGTTACTTGAAACACACCTGCTGAAGCCTTTAATATACACAGAACCCTGGCCCCTTGGTTAAGTCTCCTTTTTCTGAATGACCTGAGGGAGTCGTTAGACATTCAACTCCTTAGAAAGTGAATCTATAGTATTACTTTCAGTTCATCTGTCACATTGATAACCATCCCATGCCAGGTATTGGAGACCACCCACTAACCCTGCTTGGGGGACCTATATACAGCAGATGAATGTGTGTCCAAATTACTGTGGCTAAATTGGCATTGCAACTACAACGGTATCTCACGGCATCTGGTATCTCCCATGAAACAAGTGGGCCCAAAGCAGTGCCTTTATGCTAGTACCTGAATTATTAAATAGCCGTAATGGACATGTTATTGAGCCCGGGCAGAATCATTTACTTTGTTCCTGTTTTAGTGTACCCCCTGGTGATGCCCACTTCCAGAATAGAAGATACCAGCTGGAACACTCCTCCAGTTTCAGGTGCCCCCCGAGGCCTGATCACCGGAACAATAATAAACTGTAACTAACAGGTATATTGGTATCAACCACTTTCTGGCAAACTACTTCCATTATCTTCTGATTAAATTGTGTTGAAAATAAACCTGCATCAGCTTATCCCCTTCTGTTGTTAAGCATTTGTCTTCCTTCAATACCTTCACACCAGACTCTAATTCCTATCATGCTCATACAGTCTGATCAAAGATGAGCACCCTGGTGTGTATGTGGAGGGAGTCATTTGTTTGGCCAAAACATGTTTAAGCATTGCCCTCAGGCAATGTGGAGATCACAATACAGGTGTTCAGTTTGCACACAAACACTACTACACACCTATGAAAAATCAACTGTCGTGATAAGTGCCTCTCCACTGTCTGGTGTTGCTCCAAAACAGGTCTTTTAGGTTGATGAAGGGCAGAGTACTATGGAAGTTTACAGATTTTATAATGGAGAGAAGAGTGAAAGGGCCATGATAGTGCAGTCTGCAAGAGAAAAGGTTCAATTAATAAGACATTTCATCTCCAGTAAGAGTCCAGTTCATTCCAACGGAATGGTCCAAGTCCAATCCTCGGAGTACATTATGTAACTATTCCCAGCTACGGAATGATGTAACATTCTATTTGGGGATCCTGTACCCAGTTGGCCCAGGTTATGCCATATATTATAGTGTCACAACATGTCCCTTTTGAGGGCTGTTCCTGGAAAATGTTAATGACGGGACTGCAATAGAATTTATATTTAAAAGGACCATATCTGTTTTATAGGATTCTGTGGCCAGCAGGTAGCTCTACAGCTGTTAAATAACCCTGTGTTTTGTGATGCTTTGACCCCTGACAATAGGTTATTATATAGAAGACTAGGCACTGTGTGTATGTCCCTCTCTTTACTGTTTCTGCCATATTCCTGCCAGCTAAGAGCACACTGTGCGTTTCCCACCCCATCTCGTACATACCACCCAGCTCTGAGAATGCAGTGTGGGTATTATATGTATATATTATCTCTTACAACCCCCCCTTCCCCCCCAAGTCCTGAGAATGCAGTGTGGGTATTATATGTATATATCATCTCTTACATACCCCCTCCCCCTGCTCTGAGAAGGCAGTATGGGTATTATATGCTGTGTATAGATAATGTGCGTGTATGTGAAGACGCTGTATGTGTGTATTTGAAGATGTTTTGTATAGATTAGGCATTGGCATCCTTCGGCACTCCAGATGTTTTGGACTACACCTCCCATGATGTTGTGCCAGCATTATGGGTGTAACAGCATTATGGGGGATGTAGTCCACAGCATCTGGGGTGCCAAAGGTTGCCTATCCCTGGTATAGATGTTGTGTGCATGTGAAGTGTGTGTGTGTGTGTGTCAAGATACTGTGTATAGATGTGTGTGTGCAGATAATGTGTGTGTAAGTGAAGATGTGTGTAGATGTTGGTTGTATGTGAAGATGCTGTGTGTGTATGTGAAGATGGTGTATGTAATGATGTGTACAGATGCTGTGAATAGATGTGTGTTTAAATATGCTGTGTTTGTGTGTGACGATACTGTGTGTAGATGCTGTTTATAGATATTCTGTGTGTTTGTGTGTGTTTGTGTGTGTGTGTGTAGATGCTGTGTAAAGATACTGTGTGTGTAAAGATGCTGTTTGTGTATATATGTTGTGTATAGATACTATATGTGTGTGAAGATGCTGTCTGTATAGATGTTGTGTGTAGGTTGTGTGTGTGTGTGTGTGTGAAGATGCTGTGTGTGTATATAAGTTGTGTATAGATACTGTGTGTGTGTGTGTGAAGATGTTTTGTGTGTATATATGTTGTGTATACATACTGTGTGTCTGTGTAAAGCTGTTATGTATATATATTGTATGTGTGAAGATGCTGTGTGTGTATAGATGATATGTGTAGATACTGTGTGTGTGTGTGTGTGTGTGTGTGTGTGTGTGTGTGCGTGTGTATAGATGTTGTGTGTAGGTACTGTGTGTGTGTTTCTGTGTGTGTGTGTATATATTGTGTATAGATACTGTGTGTGTGTGTGAAGATGCTGTGTGTGTATAGATGTTATTTGTAGATACTGTGTGTGTGTGAAGATGCTGTGTGTGTGTATATGTTGTGTGTACATACTGTGTGTGTGTGTATATATGTTGTGTGTACATGCTGTGTGTGTGTGTGTGTATATGTTGTGTGTACATGCTGTGTGTGTGTGTATATATGTTGTGTGTACATGCTGTGTGTCTGTGTGTGTGTATATATGTTGTGTGTACATGCTGTGTGTGTGTATATGTTGTGTGTACATGCTGTGTGTGTATATGTTGTGTGTACATGCTGTGTGTGTGTATATGTTGTGTGTACATGCTGTGTGTGTGTGTATATATGTTGTGTGTACATGCTGTGTGTCTATGTGTGTGTGCTGTGTGTGTGTATATGTTGTGTGTACATGCTGTGTGTGTATATGTTGTGTGTACATGCTGTGTGTGTGTATATATGTTGTGTGTACATGCTGTGTGTGTGTATATGTTGTGTGTACATGCTGTGTGTGTGTGTATATATGTTGTGTGTACATGCTGTGTGTCTGTGTGTGTGTATATATGTTGTGTGTACATGCTGTGTGTGTGTATATGTTGTGTGTACATGCTGTGTGTGTGTGTATATATGTTGTGTGTACATGCTGTGTGTATATATGTTGTGTGTACATGCTGTGTGTGTGTATATGTTGTGTGTACATGCTGTGTGTGTGTATATGTTGTGTGTACATGCTGTGTGTGTATATATGTTGTGTGTACATGCTGTGTGTGTGTGTATATATGTTGTGTGTACATGCTGTGTGTGTGTATATGTTGTGTGTACATGCTGTGTGTGTGTGTGAAGATGCTGTCACTCCATGACCTTCAGTTTCCCCTCTGATTGCTGTGTCACGTGACGTCACTGGAGGACGTGCAGAGATCCCGAGCCGCAGCCTTTACACAGTGACAGAGAGAGGGAGAGAGAGAGAGAGAGAGGGAGAGAGTGACAGAGACAGAGAGAGGAGGCTGAGAGCGGCTACAGGTGCAGCAGGTACCGGGCTCTGGGAGAGGGACAGCAGCGGGTACCGGGCTCAGTTATTGGGGTACCGGGCTATGTTAATAGGGGTAACATCTCAGTTATTGGGGTACCGGGCTACAATAAATATGGGTACCGTCTCAGTTATTGGGGTACCGGGCTCAGTTATTGGGGTACCGGGCTATGTTAATAGGGGTACCGGGCTCAGTTATTGGGGTACCGGGCTATGTTAATAGGGGTAACATCTCAGTTATTGGGGTACCGGGCTATGTTAATAGGGGTAACATCTCAGTTATTGGGGTACCGGGCTACAATAAATATGGGTACCGTCTCAGTTATTGGGGTACCGGGCTATGTTAATAGGGGTACCGGGCTCAGTTATTGGGGTACCGGGCTATGTTAATAGGGGTAACATCTCAGTTATTGGGGTACCGGGCTATGTTAATAGGGGTAACATCTCAGTTATTGGGGTACCGGGCTACAATAAATATGGGTACCGTCTCAGTTATTGGGGTACCGGGCTCAGTTATTGGGGTACCGGGCTATGTTAATAGGGGTATCGGGCTCAGTTATTGGGGTACTGGGCTCAGTTATTGGGGTACTGGGCTATGTTAATAGGGGTATCGGGCTCAGTTATTGGGGTACTGGGCTATGTTAATAGGGGTATCGGGCTCAGTTATTGGGGTACTGGGCTCAGTTATTGGGGTACCGGGCTATGTTATTGGGGTACCGGGTTATATTAATATGGCTACCGGGCTCAGTTATTGGGGTACCGGGCTATGTTATTGGGGTACCTGGCTATATTAATAGGGGTATCGGGCTCAGTTATTGGGGTACCGGGCTATGTTATTGGGGTACCGGGCTATATTAATATGGGTACCGGGCTCAGTTATTGGGGTACCGGGCTATGTTATTGGGGTACCTGGCTATATTAATAGGGGTATCGGGCTCAGTTAGTGGGGTACCGGGCTCAGTTATTGGGGGTACCGGACCATGTTATTGGGGTACTGGGGTTGGAGGGTATCTGTCACTGCTCTTTCCCATTTATATGTTCTGTTGTGTGTGTTTTGGGGGGACTCTGTGTGTGCTGGAGGTGTGTGGGTTGGGGGGCTCTGTATGTTTTGGGAGGCTTTGTGTGTGTGTTTTGTGGGGTTCTGTGTGTGCTAGGGGATATGGGGGGCTCTGTGTGTGTGATGGGAAGGTGTTTTGGGGGGCTCAGTGTGTGATGATGTTTGTTGGGGGCTCTGTGTTTGCTAGGGGTGTTTGTTTGGGGGGCTTGTGTTTGCTAGGGGTGTGTGGTTTGGGGGCTCTCTGTGTTTGCTTGGGTTGTGTGGTTTGGGGGGCTCTGTGTTTGCTAGGGTGTGTGGTTTGGGGGGCTCTGTGTTTGCTAGGGGTGTGTGGTTTGGGGGGCTCTGTGTTTGCTTGGGTTGTGTGGTTTGGGGGCTGTGCTCTCTGTGTTTTGCTAGGGTGTGTGGTTTGGGGGGCTCTGTGTTTGCTAGGGGTGTGTGGTTTGGGGCTCTGTGTTTGCTAGGGGTGTGTGGTTTGGGGGGCTCTGTGTTTGCTAGGGGTGTGTGGTTTGGGGGGGCGCTGTGTTTGCTAGGGGTGTGTGGTTTGGGGGGCTCTGTGTTTGCTAGGGGTGTGTGGTAAGGGGGGAGGGGGGGGGGGCTCTGTGTTTGCTAGGGGTCTGTGGGTTATGGGTGAGTTTCCTGGGTTAATTCTCTGCAATGTCTCTCATTCATAGTAAGCTGTACAGTGTATATCGATAGCTGTGATGCTTTATCTATGGCTGGGGGTACGTTCTATTTTAAAACTTTGTATCTTTATTCCCGAATGTTCAGTGATATCAACATAATTTTTTTTCTGGTTTATATCTTTCAGTAATATTTTATAGAGCATGATATTTTCTGTGGTCTATCTCTTTTGCTCATCAAAATAAATTCTATCCCCCTGGGGAAGCTGTTGGTTAAGGCACCAATTTATATGCTGGTTAATTTCTTTCTAGTTGTAGATTCTGTCCTCTTTGAAATCAATTATAAAAATGTAATAATATCCCCAGGACATGCTTGAAAATGGGAAACTTACCGGTACCACCAGTGCCAATTATTAGATCATTCAACAGGGTCACCAGGCATAACATTCTGAATAGAATTTTAAGGGGAAAACAATCTCTAACTTGCCATCTTACTGCTCCTGTTGTGCCTTCCTGCCCTGCCAAACCCTCCCCCACAAAACAGGTGGTGGCCAGTCACTTAGCAGGGTTAATATCTGGCCTTCTAATGCTGGCTAGCGTAGTACAGACATCTGTTATCCTCGCTGGATTGTTTGTCTTACCTTTGTGTTATCGTTTGTGTTTTATTTAATTTTAATTTTATTTTCATTAACTCCACCATTTACTGATCAGACTTAATGGGTTTAATTGAGATTAATACAGAAGCGTAATATGCACTTTTAAGTAATAATGTAAAAATATGTTGGCCGTAGACCATAGATCATAACATTGTATAAAATAGTTCTTAGAATTCCGGAGTCACGGAATGTCTGCCTCATTTGGCACAGCCCAAGCTCTTTAGAGCTGCTGACTGTAAATGTGCAGTATGTTCGATGCCGTCACAAGGTCTATAGACTCCTAATCCAGGTTATGATTTATTAAGAAGCCGGTAATGTTGACAAATTAAAATTGGTCAAATTTGAAATCCTGAAAGATTTGCGGCCCAGAGAAGACTGGCTGTCAAATAATATTTATGGAGATTTAACAAAAGTAGTCCAATAACCTGGGACGTGTTGAGAATATACAAGGTAGTTGACATGTGCTACGTCAGATGGCAGAGTACGAGAATGTAGCTTTTTTTCAGCCTATTGACAATGATAGATTTGAGGGATTTTTATAAATAGAAGGAATGGAGGGGGGGAGTGAATTCTAAATATCTTCATCCTTTTAATGGGGTCTCTTGCTACTGATGGGTTGCCCCTGAAACTTGTATAGTAATATATGTACGACAGGATAATTGTTGCCCTGCAGAAAGGCTGGTGGGTGCATGGACTAACCCTCCAGTACAGGTGGGATGGATCCTGCTGTTGAGATAATTTTTTTCTGTATAAATCATTCAATATAATGATGGCGCATACATACAAAATGGGATTTGTAATAAAACTCAGGCTAGCTTTTACTCTAAAGGGCAACTGTCCAAAAATAGGGTAGCTCTTGGCATTATTCGGCTCAGGTTATTTATGGTCCTTGCTTTTAGAAATGATTTCGACCTAGAGGTGTAAATGTCAGCGAGAGAACGCGTTCCCTGTTCCTGAACAAGAAGCTTTCCTGACATGGGACGAGAGGGCTTCGGGGAGGGATAATAATAGAACAGTTTTAGTTTGTGGTCGGTCACCGGGGTCAGTCAGGTCATCAGCAGGGACACAAAAATAAATACCCTAACCTTTCAATGATATACTGGCTGCAAACATATCGTTATTATAGATAATATTGATGTGCAGATAATAAATCAAACAAATAAAGTTGATTTATATAAAGTTATCTAACAAGTTATATTGATATGCTCCATTAAGTGTTCCCATATTGGTATTAAAGTCCTGTCACCCAGATTTTGTCATAGCACCATTAAAACTGTGTTTTGTTACTAAGGTTGGAGTGCTCTGTGTGTGTTTTGTGGGGTTCTATGTGTGCTAGGGGTGTGTGGGTTGGGGGCTTCTGTGTGTGCTGGGGGGTGTGGGTTGGGGGGCTCTGTGTTTGCTGGGGGGGCTCTGTGTGTGCTGGGGGTGTGTGGGTTGGGGGGCTCTGTGTGTGCTGGGGGTGTGGGTTGGAGGGCTCTGTGTGTGTGATGGGAAGGTGTTTTGGGGGGCTCTGTGTGTGATGAGAAGATGTTTTGGAGGGATCTGTGTTTGCTAGGGGTGTGTTGTTTGGGGGGCTTCTCTGTTTGCAAGGGGTGTGTGGTTTGGGGGGCTCTGTGTTTGCTAGGGGTATGTGGTTTGTGGGGCTCTCTGTTTGCTAGGGGTGTGTGGTTTGTGGGGGTCTCTGTGTTTGCTAGGGGTGTGTGGTTTGGGGGGCTCTGTGTTTGCTAGGGTTGTGTGGTTTGGGGGGCTTTGTGTTTGCTAGGGGTGTGTGGTTTGTGGGGCTCTGTGTTTGCTAGGGTTGTGTGGTTTGGGGGGGCTCTGTGTTTGCTAGGGTTGTGTGGTTTGGGGGGGTTTGTATTATTTAAAGGGACACTATAGTCACCAGAACAACTACATCTTATTAATTTGTTCTGGTGAGTAGAATCATTACCTTCAGGCTCTTTGCTGTAAACACTGTCTTTTCAGAGAAAATGCAGTGTTTACATTACAGCCTAGTGATAACTTAACTGGCCACTCCTTAGATGGCTGTTAGAGATCCTTCCTGGGTCATGGCTGCCTAAAATGCATCCAAACATTCAGTATCGCCTCCCTCTGCATGCAGACACTGAACTTTACTCATAGAGATTCATTGATTCAATTCATCTCTATGAGGAGATGCTGATTGGCCAGGGCTGTGTTTGAATCATGCTGGCTCTGCCCCTGATCTGCCTCTTTGTTAGTCTCAGCCAATCCTATGGGGAAGCATTGTGATTGGATCAGGCTACCACTTCTGATGATGTCAGAAGACTGCTTGTTTTTCAGCATGCAAAGTTACAGCTTCAGGCTTGAATACAGTAAGATTTTTACTATATTTATAGAGGCATGAGGGGTCCAGGGGGGCTAGATAGTGGTGTTAACACTATAGGGTCAGGGATACATGTTAGTGAACCTTTTGGTCCTTATTCCTTAGTCCCCTTTCTCAAAGATGGGTTCAAGTAGAATCGGGTATTTAGTATCCATTTTACACTGTATCAGCTCAGAAAGTGGATACTACCTGATTCTACTTAAACCCATCTTCGAGAAAGTGGACTAAAGTATAAGGACTTAAATAATACGTATTATCAAAATAATATTACTCCAAAGTATTGGTGGTTCATCTTCTAAGCGCTTAAATTTTTTTATACATTGTCTGAGAATTTTGGGAAAGTTTATAATATGTATAGCTTCTTACTTTCTTATCTCTAATTTTATTATGGTATATTGTAGCTATATTACCTGTTGTGCTTTCTAATTTAGATTTTTTTGTTTAAAAAGAAAAAAAAGTTGCCTAATGCTAGTCTCAGTTCCAATACAATGCTTCCCATAGCACACAATGGGAGATACTTAGCATTCGCGGCAACTACAGCGGTCCGCTGGTAGAATGTGTTTCTCAGAGAAGCATTGAATCCAGTGCTTCTCTGAGAAACATATTCCATGATGTTGCTATGGTTTCTGAACGTCCTGGGAGCTGTCATTCCTTAAGAATTTAAACCGTTTTTTTAACCTTAAAGTTGTGTAGACGTTGTCCGTCTACTTAGCACCTCGTCTTCTGGCCAAGTCCTCGTTTTCAGTTATGAATCATCGGACTGGGCGCTGATGATGGATTAAGAGCATCAGATGGTACTCTCAGCCAAACACTAGCTTCCCATTCACAATACTGTGTGAGAAAGGTACGCACTATTCTTGTATTGTCTCATTGCAACAGCCTGCTAGCCATTCCTGGACTGCACTGTGCCGGTGTCTCCTTGGCAGCTGTATAGCGTTCTCCTGGCGGATAGGCCTGGCAATGAGCTCTGTTTATGATTTATTGTCATACATCACGTGCCTTCCCCTCCAGCCAGAGGCATTTATCTGTCTGCCTCTGAATCAATGTGTGTCTCTGTATCTGAAGTGTAGGGATTGTGCTGACAGTCCTGGGGCACACTGAGTAGACTGCTGGCAACACATACAGTGCAGCACACTAAAATAAACCTTGTGATTATGCCATTTTTATACAATTTATAATCCGTTAACAAGGAGATTCCAGGGCAGTATATACTTAAAGGGACACTCCAAGCACTGTAACCTGTAAATATTGCATCTCCCTCTTTTAAGAGGCCTCGCTGCAGAAACTGCAAAAAGTTCACATTTGCAGCAAACACAGGAACCTCAGGGGTGAGCATATTATCATTCATTATTTCCAAAGCTATATATTTTATATATTTTAATTTTAGCAGACATGAAGGATCATTTTTAATTTATTATTAATTATTTTTATTCCTGGTGTCTACATGGGGTTTCTAAGAAAAGAAGCTAAACGTTACGCCAGGCTCGCCTTGCGTTCACACCCTGTTCTGTTTAGCTGTTCCGCTTGCTTTAGGCAATGGAAGGGAGCGGTTTGAGCTCAGATTCACCATGCTGTGGTTATAGGTGATGTAACATGTTAAAGAACGGAAGCAATCTGCATCTTAGACTACCTGTCTGTGTTTTTTTTTTTTTTTTTTTTATGAAAACATACAGATGTGTCCACATTTTCAGATCTAGCTTAAAGGACCACTATAGGCACCCAGACCACTTCAGCTCATGAAGTGGTCTGGGTGCCATGTCTCCCTAGTTTTAACCCTGCAGCTGTAAACATAGCAGTTTCAGAGAAACTGCTATGCTTACATTGCAGGGTTAAACCAGCCCCTAGTGGCTGTCTCCCTGACAGCCACTAGAGGCAGTTCCGCGATTCTCAGTGTGAAAATCGCATTGAACTCACGCAGCGTGAGTTCAGATCCCCATAGGAAAGCACTGAATAATGCTTTCCTATGGGCGGTTTGAATGTGCGCACGGCTCTGACCGCGCAGCGCATTCGACTCCACTCTGGAGCTGACGTCAGCAGGGGGAGGAGTGGTCACCAGTGCCGAGGGAGCTGGCTGAAGGGGTTTTAACCCCTTCAGCCCAGCGGTAGGGGGCAATGAGGGAGGGGGGGACCCAATAATCCTATAGTGCCAGGAAAACGTGTTTGTTTTCCTGGCACTATAGTGCTCCTTTAAATGAACGCTATAGGCCAGGGGTGCCCAAAAGGTAGATTCCCCAGATGTTTTAAAACTACAGCTTGCATGATGCTTTGTCATTCTAAATACATTATGGGAGTTGTAGTTCTCCAACATCTGGGGATCTACCGTTTGAGCACCTCTGCTATAGGCACTGTAGGTTTTGGTGTATAGATGATGCTTCTGCAGTCTCACCGCTCAATTATCTGTCATTTAGGAGTTAAATCAATTTGTTTATACAGCTCTAGTCACACCTCCCTGTATGTATCTTGTGCAGCTTTCCTAAACACTTCCTGTACAGATAGCTCTAATGATTAAACGTCCTTTATTGCACATTCTGTTTCATTTAGAATTTTGTATATCTCCTTCTTTGTTAATAGCTTGTTAGACTGTGCATGAGCCTCCTCTATGTGATTAAAGTTAAATTTACAGAGCAGGAGATAACAACTTATTAAGCAAGCTAACATCTGATATAAAATGAAACTTTTTTTATGCAGCCAGTGGAGGTGTGACAAGGGCTGCATAAACAGAAATAAAAGCGATTTAACTTCAAAATGGCAGAGAATTGAGCTGTTAGACTTCAGGGCAAGATCTATATACTAAAACGACTTAATTAAAGGATCACTATAGTGTCAGGAAAACAAACTCGTTTTCCTGACACTATATCATCCTTAGGAGCCTCCACCCTTAGGGTCCCCCTCCCTTGGCGCTGAAGGGGTTAAAACCCCATTCAGTTACTAACCTTTAGACAGCGCCGGGCTCCCTCGACGCTGGTGAACTCTCCTCCCCCGCCGACATCAGCTCCCAAGTGGAGCGGAATGCGCATGCACGGCAAGAGCTGCACGCGCATTCAAGCAGTCCATAGGAAAGCATTTCTCAATGCTTTCCTATGGACGTTCTGCACACTGGATGCGATTTTCGCATCCAGCGTCGCAGAAGCACCTCAGGAAGACAGCCACTAGAGGTTGGATTAACCCCAAATGTAAACATAGCAGTATCTCTGAAAGGTTAAAACCTGGGGGACCTGGCACCCAGACCACTTCATTGAGCTGAAGTGGTCTGGGTGACTATAGTGTCCCTTTAAAGTATAGGCCCCCAGCCACAGTGAGCTAAGTGAAAGTTGGTTTTACTCATCTTTCTTACAGCGCCGTGCAGGTCCGTCGCGACTTGCCCCACCCCATCAAACCTGATCATCACAGCCAATCTAATGGTTTCCCATAGGAAAGGATTGCAAAGCTATTGCGCATGCGCAGCAAAACGCTGAGCTGCACCAATTAGCATCTCTTTATAAAGATGCATTGAATCAGTGCAACCCTCCATGCAGAGGGTGGAGACGTTGATCGTCAGTGCTGCACAGTTTACAGAAAGCCCCTCTAGTTGCCAACTGAGTGACTGCCACTAGAGGTGTTACTAGGCAGCAGTTAGTACAGGTTCCCATTGTTTTCTATATCAATTGCTAACATGCGTTGCCTCGGATTACAGCTGGCCGAGTAGCTTCATCCACAAAATCCTAATTTGTTATTTTTCTTAATAAAGCTACTGATAACTACTAAAAATATCTAAATGTCCACCAAAGGGAAAAGATTTGTCAGAGCACCTTCCAAAATGGAGCTACTTTTTTGAAGCAGTGGGTTCAGCCACGTTATATTTATTTTATTTGTTTCCTTCCTATAAAATTTCCCACGTAGAAGCTCATTAGACCATTGTTTGAGACAGTAAGGCGTTAATTATGTGGTTTAAAACAAAACATATTTCTCAAATGTTTGTGCAATTCTGCAGTGAGAAAAAAAAGGCTTCTCGGTACAGATCTGGACTCTATAAATGTGGTGTCCGGATAAACAATCTAATTTTTCAGCTGGAAGCTTCAATGGCGACTCTGGAATATGGAATATTCATTGAATGACATAACACGTGATTGAGCCTGGGGAGTTCTGGAACCACAAAGGACAAAACAGCATGCATTATTAATAAAATACAATCTCTCAAACCCCTCACAAGATGGAAGTGTTCATAAAAAAAGCTTTTCCTGAAAAAACAATGAGCGCAAAGATATAGGAGGATAATCAACAGAAAATGTGTTTAAAGACACAAAAATCTGCTAAAATAAACCTACTAAATAGTGCACAATGTTATTGTAAGATATTTATGAGAAAGTAGAATCTAAATTGCGTTGCCATTTTATACCGCGCTCCATCTTGTGGTGACGCCGTTTGTTATAGTCTGCGACTGGAGGTTAAAGGAGAATTGTTACTTGCCAGGATTTGTACTATTTACTTATCCCTATATTAAACACAGTTATGTATTTGTGAGGAGAGAAAAATAACCAAATGGAGAAACCCACAGCTCTTGCAAAAGGATGCGCCATCTTGGCTCGCTGTCAATCATTTTGATAAGTTCTGTCCTTTGCATTTGAAACACTTTGCTAATGAAAAATGAGGGAGGGAGATTTACTCATGTGTGACCTCTGCCTTTGCCTTGTTTGAACTGAATTTGCTAAATCTTTAATATTAAAGAAAATTGCCTACATCTAGTGTTTACCTTTTTTTTGGTCAGCCCATAGAAGAGTCAGTTCTTCTTTAAAATTGAAGATTATGCTAGCTTTAGTGTACTAATAATCTTAATTTTAATAAGGACAGGAGGTGAGTATTTTGCATTAACTCTCTTTACTAAACTCCACAGCAGTAAAGAAAAACGTAAAGAGTAACAAATAAATCACTGAGCAGCATAGTATATAAGGGTCATGCTGCCTGTACACTTCCTCTTTCTTAAAGCGACATCCAAGTCCAGATAGAGCTCAAACATCCAGAAACTCAACGAAACAGGAACTGCGGTCTCTGGCGAGCGGAACTTGAGGAGACTCCTGGTAACGAGATAGGAGGAAAGACCAAACTAAGCTGTCATCCCATCTTACGGAGTCATGAGGTTAACGAACCAGCGACCAGTGGAGGTCCTGAAGAGGGTTACACTGAAAGGAGAGTATAAAATCGGTTAGGTACTGAACCGTAACTGTTCACGCCTGTGGGCTTTAACAGAATGGTGTAAGTAAAACAGAACAGACAGACAGTAAGCTGGCCATAGGCTAAGTGTGTGTTAGGTGTAAGCATGTTGTACAACTAAACTGTCCGTCTAAGTGGAAACACCGGGATAGAGATGGAAGGGATACCGAATATATACAGAAGGTAGAGTAACTACTAACACGAATCCCAAAATCCATCACCTTAAGATCCACTCCCCCGAGGAGTCAGGGTAGGGAACAAAAGGGAGGGAAAATACTCGCCTCCTGTCCTTATTAAAATTAAGATTATTAGTACACTAAAGCTAGCATAATCTTCAATTTTATAACATGACAGGAGGCTTCCTATTTTGCAGTTTTAACGCTGAAGAAGAGACATCCCAGCAGAAGGGGGAGTGCGAAAGTAAAATGTACGGAAAGTGGATTCCCTAGACCAGTCCGCCGTTCGGAGGATATCCGACAGGGACGCCCCTGCCAGGAAGGCTGATGACGCCGCCGCTCCGCGAACGGAGTGGGCGCCGAATGCGGGGTCTATACCTGCGAGGGAAAGGATCCAGCGGATCCATCGGGCCAAGGTGGTAACCGAGACTGGGGCGTGAGGGCGCACGTAGGAGACTAAGAGTTGGCCCGACGTAGAGGACCGGAGCGAGGAGGTAACCGAAACATACCTGCGGAGGGTGGACACGACACAAAGCTGCGGGTCGTCGGGAAAAAATGGGTAAAAGACCGAGGTCGAACCCGACTTAGTGCGACGGGAAATGTGAAACGTGACCCCTTCAGGGGCCACTTCGAAAGCGTCCACGTCGAAGGCCCGAACGTCCGAAACCCGTCGGAAAGATACGAGGCAGAGGAGGAAAGCGCACTTAGCGGATAGTTGGCGTAGGGAGAGGCGGTCATTCGGAAGCCAATCCCTGAAGAAGCGGAGAACCAGTCCCACATCCCATAGGTGAGGGTATCTGGGGGCCGGGGGACGGCGGAGCCGCATACCGCGGAGTAGACGGCAGACCAGAGGGTCTTTGCCGACCGGGAGATCCCCGACGGGGGTGTGAGCCGCCGAAATCGCGGAGCGCACGACGTTGACCGAACGGTAAGAGCGGCCAGATGAAAACAAGGAGGAGAGAAAATTAAGAATCACGGGAATAGGTGCTGTAAAGGGATCGGAGTCCCGTTCCATGCACCAAGTAGACCAGGAGGCCCAAGCTGAAAGGTAACAGCGTCTAGTTCCCGGGGCCCAGGAGTCCCATAAGAGGTCCCTAGCAGCCTGCGATAGTCCGCTGACTCGCCAGGAACCCCCGAAAGAGACCAAGCCACCAGAGGTAGCCGGTCTTCCAGGAGTAGTGGGTGGAGATGCCCTTTGGGATCCGTGAGCAGGTCCGGGAAGGATGGTAGGAGAAGAGGGTCCCTGTAGGAGGAGGCCAGGAGGTCCGGGAACCATGGTTGGCTCTGCCACAAGGGTGCTATGACAACCAGTTTGATCTGTTGCGTCCGTATCTGGTGTAGTGTTCTCGCAATCATGGAGAATGGGGGAAAGGCGTAGGCTCCTGTCGACGGCCATTGTTGGAGAAATGCGTCTGTCGCCTTGCTCTGCGGGTCCGGGAGCCAGCTGAAGAACTCCGGGGTCTGGTGATTGTTGTGAGAGGCAAACAGATCCAGGTGAAAGGGACCCCTCCGGGCTGCAAGGGCCCTGAAGATTCTCGTGTTTAGCTTCCAGTCGCTGACGTCTCTCCAGTGGCGAGAGAACCAGTCGGCTGTGAGATTGATTTCTCCTGGCCAGTATTCTGCCTGTAGCGTGATGTTGCGAGGGAGGCAATAGTCGAAAATGCCTCTCGTGATATCCGACAGCAGGCGAGAGCGAGCGCCTCCCAGGCGGTTGATGTACTGGACTGCGGATACATTGTCCATGCGCAGGAGGATGCAGCAGTTGGATCTTTCCCGGGCCAAGCTGCGAATCGCGAAGGATCCTGCCAGGAGTTCGAGGCAATTGATGTGCATGGAGAGCTCCTGCGCCGTCCATGTTCCCCCCGTGGAGATGGTTCCGTTGGTGGCACCCCATCCCCACAGGCTGGCGTCTGATTCCAGTACGAAGTCTGGGGCGTCTTCGAATATGGCCCTGCCGTTCCAGGCTTGCATGCTGTCCAGCCACCATGATAATTCCTCGCGAACCTCCATCGTCACCGGGACGGGTTGGTCATAAGTAGGCCTGCGGCGTAGGTATTTCGCCTTGAGACGTTGCATGGCCCTGTAGTGGAGGGGACCCGGAAATATGGCCTGAATGGAAGCCGAGAGGAGTCCTACAATCCTGGCCAGATTGCGTAGTGGAATGGAATCGAGACGGAGAACCCTGCGAATCTCCTTGCGAATGGCTGTGATCTTTGAGGCTGGTAGCCTCAGAGTGCATGTCGTCGAGTCGATCTCGAAGCCGAGGAATTGTATCGTCTGGGTAGGGGTCAGTTCCGATTTCTGTTGGTTTACGATTGTAAGGAAATCCCATATAGCTGAACCGCTTTGATAATTCCTCCTGCAATGCCAGCGTCTAAGGTAGTTCCAAGCAATGAAGTCCCTAAGAAATATAACAGCTTCCCAAGATAATCCCCTTGGTAAAGCATACGAATTCCCAAATAACAGTCAGAGTCCAGAATCAGGATACAAGTAGATCTGAGGTCTGGAATCTCCAGCCTGCTTTTTATTACGGTTACAGACAAGAAATACACACCCAGGGGGAGGCATTAAATCACCAATCAGGAATAGGTTACAGCCCATACCTCCCTCCCCTCTGATAAACAGTTAACTTAATTAAAACGTGCACTATTTTACCCCAGTTCTGGATGTACCCCAAAAACAGGGGGTACACCTTTAAATCTGGTACCGCTGGATAGTTCTCATTTGTGTGGACAACATATCGAAAAATCAGTCCATTCGGATGAATGGTTCGGGAGTTATGGAACACTAAAGTTTTGACCGACCGCACGGACCATCTAGCCGAAAATAGTTCCATAAGTTTTGGCCCTGCGGTCGGTCTCCGTTTAGGCGAATAAAAGAGACGAAAGCCCTGCCATCCATTCGCATCTTTGGGATCGTTGAAATCCCCATACGAAGTTGCATGTAACTACCGAACGGCCGGTGATTCGGTTGTTCTCGTGCGAAGTTCTGGATGTATGGAGGTCTCAGCGGTGTTCGCCTGTTTGCGTATCCGATTTTAGTTCCACGCGTTGACGGGCAAACACCGCTGTTCGCACGTAAAATGGCTGCGGCCACGTGTAAAGTGCCGAAATGGCGGCCACCTATATTTTACACAGGGAATTCGCCTGAATACATCCGAAAGGTAGAAATCCTGATTAACGGAGTCATTTCTTCACACTGCTCCCCTATAAGTCCATAGGTCGGCATACCCGCCTAGACCCTGTCGGGTTGGCTTGGGGATGTCCGATGAAAGTATGTTTTTAGGTGTCCAGTTCGGTCTGGCGGGACAGTCCATCCGCATTCCCATTTTGTTTACCCGGACGGTACTGCATGGTAAAATTGTATGGTTGGAGAGCTAGGCTCCACCGGAGTAGCCTGGGGTTGTCACCAGCTACCCGGTTGAGCCATACCAGGGGGTTGTGGTCGGTCATAAGGGTAAACGCTCGCCCATACAGATAGGGCTGAAGTTTCTTGAGGGCCCACACGAGGGCCAAGCACTCTTTTTCTACGGTGGCATAGCTGACTTCTCGGGGCAAAAGTTTACGGCTGAGGTATGCCACGGGTGTTCCATGCCATCCGCCCCCACCTGGCTTAGCACGGCTCCCAGCCCAAACATGGAGGCATCTGTGTGGACAAGAAATTGTTTAGTGTAATCGGGTGCTGCCAACACAGGGGCCTCACTCAATGCCGCTTTGAGCTTCTGGAAAGCGTCCGTGCACTCTGGGGTCCAGGCGACCTGTTTGGGAAGGGCCTTTTTGGTAAGGTCCGTGAGGGGCTTGGCCAGGGCGCTATATTCTGGGACGAACTTCCTGTAATACCCGGCCGTCCCTAAGAAAGCCAGTACCTGGGTTTTGGTCCGGGGTTGGGGCCAGTTAGCTATGGCCTCTACCTTAGCGGGCTCTGGGCGTTGTCTACCGGAGCCGACCCGGTGACCTAGATACTGGACCTCGGCTAGGCCTACGTGACATTTGTCGGGTTTCAAAGTGAGCCCGGCGAGGTGGATTCGTTCGAGTACCCTGGACACATGACCCAGATGGTCTCCCCATGTGCGGCTATAGATGGCAATATCATCTAGATACGCACATGCGAAGTCCTGCAACCCCTCCAGGAGCCTATCCGCCATCCGCTGAAACGTAGCCGGGGCGTTCTTCATCCCAAAGGGCATAACCTTGAATTGGTATAGCCCAAACGGGGTGACGAACGCCGACTTGGGGATGGCCGCAGGCTCCAGGGGGATCTGCCAATAACCCTTGCACAGGTCCAGGGTAGTCAAGTAGTTCCCCCCCGCCATACGATCTAAGAGCTCATCTATTCTAGGCATGGGGTAGGCATCGGTTATGGTACGGTCGTTAAGCCTCCGGTAATCTACGCAGAAGCGCGTAGTGCCGTCGCGCTTCGGTACTAGTACCACCGGGGAGGCCCAAGGACTTTGGGAGGGTTCTATTACCCCTAGCCGTAACATATCCCTTAACTCGGTGAGCATACTCTCACGTACTGCTTCCGGGATCCGATATGGCTGTTGCCGTAGGGCGTCTCTCCCTGGGTTTCCACACTGTGGACCGCAGCGGAGGTATAGCCGGGGGTAGCGGAAAACATCTCTCGGTATCCCTGCAGCAGTTGAGTAGCCTCACCTTTCTCCAGGTGGTCTAAATTTTGCCCCAAGCTTACTTGGTCAATCGTACAGGGGGTGGTCTCCAGTAAGTCAGGAAGGGGAAGCCCTTCACTATCCTCTGTGGCGGGGGCGCACACAGCGCCCACCTCCTCTGTCCTTTCAAAATATGGTTTGAGCATGTTCACATGGAAGGCTTTGGTCAGCCTTTCATCTGAGCATTTGCTCACGATGTAGGTAGTCTCGCTAACCTGTTCCACTACCTTAAAGGGTCCCTGCCAGGCTGCTTGAAGCTTGTCCTTTTTAACGGGCCTCAGAGCCAGTACCTTCTGCCCTAAGTCCAGCACTCTATCCTGGGCCCTCCTATCGTACCACTTTTTCTGGTCCTCCTGGGCCGCCTGCAGGTTCTCCCGAACCGATTCGGTGAGGGCCCGCAGACGGTCCCGGAACTCCAGGACATACTGGACGATAGGGACTCCCCCCTCATCTGTATTGCCCTCCCAGTGTTCCCGTACGAGCTCCAGTGGGCCCCGAACTTTTCTCCCGTACAGGAGTTCGAAGGGGGAAAACCCAGTGGAGGCCTGGGGCACCTCACGGTAGGCAAACAGAAGGTGGGGGAGGAATTTTTCCCAATTCTTGTGGGACTCTGTAAAAGTTTTTAGCATCTGTTTTAGAGTGCCATTGAAACGTTCACAGAGCCCGTTAGTCTGGGGATGATACGGGGCGCTGAACAGGGGCTGCACTCCACAGCTCTGCCACAGTTGTTGCGTCAGGGTGGCTGTGAACTGCGTCCCCCGATCGGAGAGTATCTCCTGCGGGAAACCTACTCGGGTGAATATCTGAATAAGGGCCTCTGCCACGGTCTCGGCCTCTATATTGGTGAGGGCGACTGCCTCCGGGTATCTAGTGGCGTAGTCAACCACCGTTAGGATAAACTTTTTGCCCGACGGACTGGGGCGACTGAGGGGACCTATTAAATCCACCGCTACTCGGTGGAAGGGCTGTTCGATGATGGGTAGGGGGTGAAGCTTAGCCTTCCGAAGGTCTCCCCTTTTTCCTACCCTTTGGCATACATCACATGTCCTACAATAGTACTTTAGGTCCTGGGTAGCTCTGGGCCAGAAGAAGGTTTGAGTTAACCTGTCTCTGGTCTTTTTGACCCCTAAATGTCCTGCTAGGGGAATGTCATGACTGAGTTTTAACAACTCAGCCCGAAATTTACGGGGCACAACTAACTGTCTTTTTATGACCTGGGTAGCCCCCTGTCCCACCCCCTCGGTTACCCTATATAGCAACCCCTTATACCACTCAAATTTTTCGTGCGGGTTGTTCTCGGGGGTAGCGGCCGCGGCCTTCCTATAGCCTTCTAATGTGGGGTCAGTACGCTGTTCCTGTTCAAACCCCTGGGGGGTATCCCAGAAGGGTACGGGGGGATCGGGTAAAGGGGGTATTTCGACTCTTACCTGGTTTTCCTCAGAGTGCAGCGGAGCTTCCAGTCTGGCTTGAGCTCGGGTGGTAACCGGGTAGGCCTCGGCAGGGGGGTCTCGGGCTAGTTGGGAGGTTAGGCATCCCACATCATTTCCCAACAAAACCTCGGCGGGCAGTTCTTGCATAATCCCCACCTCCAGTTGTTTAGACCCGGAACCCCAATCAACAAACATATTAGCGGTGGGCAGTTTGTGAATAGCGCCCCCAGCCACCCTTACAGCGACTGTGCGTCCGGTGCGAGCTTGTGCTCTGACCGTGTGGGGCTGTACCACAGTCAAAGTAGCCCCAGAGTCTCTCAGCGCCCGGGCCCCCACGCCATCGACGGTAATCCATTGGCGGTGATGGTCCCGGTTGTCCCCCCCAGCTTGTACTGGATTGACCTCATGTAATACACTCCACTGTTCTTCGTGGTTAAGGCCAGGGCCTGTGTGATCCTGTTGCACACAGTGCGCAGCTGCCCTGGGTTGTTGTGGGGCTGGCCGTTCCCAGCTTCCCCGGTTTAAGCGAGGGCACTGATACTTGTAATGTCCTGGTTGCTTGCAGTAGTGACACACTGCAGGAGGTCGAGGTGTGTTTGCTGGGTTCGGTGGGGGGTTACCTATGGCAGGTCTAGGTGGAGCCGGGTTGGTTGGAGCTGTGTACTGAGGCTTAAATGGTGGTCTGCTCGCCCCTTGCTCTTTCCTCCTGTTATCCTGGTACTCGTCCGCTAGCCTAGCGGCCTCCTCCACGATTTTTGGTTTCCTATCTTTTACCCAGTCTTTTATGTCCTCTGCAGTATGATTAAAAAATTGCTCCAGTATCACTAGTTGTAAAGCCTCTTCTAGGGTGGTTGCCTGGCAGCCCTTCATCCAATTGCGGGCTGCCCGCTGCAGGCGAAAAGCCCATTCCGTATGGGAATCTCTCCCAGTCTTTCTCAGGTCTCTTTTTCCGGTATGCCTCCGGAGTTACCGCATATCTGGCCAACAAAATGTCTTTTATTTTCTCATAATTATGTATGTCCCCCTCAGGTACTGCTCGCAGCGCCTCGGCTGCTCTACCTGACAATTTACTGCTGACGACTGCAGCCCATTTGGTGGAGTCTAATCCCTCCAGTGCACACTGGCGTTCAAAGTCTTGCAAGTAACTGTCAATTTCCATTTCATTGTCAACAAATGATTTAAACGCTGCATAATTTACCTTCTTTGGTATTTCCCCAATACTTCTCGGGGGGTGTAGCAAATCCCCCTGTGACGCTCTGTCCCGGTCATCTCGCTCTTTTTGCGCTTGTCTGGCTTGTGCTACGACCTGCAGTATCGCCTCTGAGGATGGATTGGGTCCCAATAAACTGAGTGTCCATCGGATGTCCTTTTGCATCACGGTTTCTTCCTCTTGGTCCATCTCTATATTACTGGTATTATCGCTCTGCATTAACTCCGCAATTATCGTGGCTTTTGTTTTGTTACTTGCCACTCTGCCTCGAGCTTCCAGTAAGTCCTTTAGCGTGGTTCTTTTAAGTAGCTGGTACTGCTGAGCCATTCATTCCTTTGCTTGTTTTGAAATGTCCATTTGGGATTCGAATCCCTCCGCTTGCCACCAGTTGTAAGGAAATCCCATATAGCTGAACCGCTTTGATAATTCCTCCTGCAATGCCAGCGTCTAAGGTAGTTCCAAGCAATGAAGTCCATAAGAAATATAACAGCTTCCCAAGATAATCCCCTTGGTAAAGCATACGAATTCCCAAATAACAGTCAGAGTCCAGAATCAGGATACAAGTAGATCTGAGGTCTGGAATCTCCAGCCTGCTTTTTATTACGGTTACAGACAAGAAATACACACCCAGGGGGAGGCATTAAATCACCAATCAGGAATAGGTTACAGCCCATACCTCCCTCCCCTCTGATAAACAGTTAACTTAATTAAAACATGCACTATTTTACCCCAGTTCTGGATGTACCCCAAAAACAGGGGGTACACCTTTAAATCTGGTACCGCTGGATAGTTCTCATTTGTGTGGACAACATATCGAAAAATCAGTCCATTCGGATGAATGGTTCGGGAGTTATGGAACACTAAAGTTTTGACCGACCGCACGGACCATCTAGCCGAAAATAGTTCCATAAGTTTTGGCCCTGCGGTTGGTCTCCGTTTAGGCGAATAAAAGAGACGAAAGCCCTGCCATCCATTCGCATCTTTGGGATCGTTGAAATCCCCATACAAAGTTGCATGTAACTACCGAACGGCCGGTGATTCGGTTGTTCTCGTGCGAAGTTCTGGATGTATGGAGGTCTCAGCGGTGTTCGCCTGTTTGCGTATCCGATTTTAGTTCCACGCGTTGACGGGCAAACACCGCTGTTCGCACGTAAAATGGCTGCGGCGACGTGTAAAGTGCCGAAATGGCGGCCACCTATATTTTACACAGGGAATTCGCCTGAATACATCCGAAAGGTAGAAATCCTGATTAACGGAGTCATTTCTTCACAACGATAAACCCCAAAGACTCCAGTAGGGACACTGCCAGGTGAGTGTGTTGGCGTAGTCTGTGTTCGTCGGCGCAGAAGATGAGGAGATCGTCTAAGTAGATGATGCATCGAATGCCCCTTGATATTAGGTGGGCCACCACTGGTTTTAGGAGCTTGGTGAAGCACCATGGGGCTGAGCTGAGCCCGAAAGGGAGGCAAGTGAATTGCCAAGGGCGTCCGTGCCAGAGGAAACGTAGGAGTGCTCGACAGTCCGGGTGCACCGGGACTGACAGATACGCGTCCTTTAGATCGAGTCTGGTGAACCAGTCGTTGCTTCGAAGAAGGTCTCGCAGGAGGTGGATGCCTTCCATCTTGAAGTGGCGATAGACCACATATGCGTTGAGGGCGCGTAGATTGATGACGGGGCGGTATTCTCCCGACTTTTTCCGAACCAGGAAGATGTTGCTGAAGTAACCACCCCCGTCGCGGGCCGGCTGGATAGCCCCTTTGTCTCGGAGCTCGCGTAGCTCCGTGTTGACAAGGTTGTGGTCGGAGGGTGACATGTGGATGGGGCGAGGGGGCTGAACCTGAAAAGGGGTCCCCACTAGGTCTATGATATAACCCTGTACAGTTTGTAGGATCCATGTGTCTGAGCATAGGGCGGCCCAATTCTGGAAAGAAAGGGAAATACGGCCCGCAGTGCGGGTACATGGTAACAGTGGAGGAATATGGGTCCTTACCTGCGGTAAAGCGGGAACGTCCGCGTCCGCGAGGTCCACGACCTCTATCCGAGCCTCTGGAAAAGGGTTGCTGCCGGTAGTCTCTTGTCGGGTAAAATGGTGTTGGTTGGGTGCGGGGGCCTGAAGGCCAAAATCGGCTGGCGGCACGGCCCCGTTGCCGGCCAGCCCTTCCAAAAACCCCTCTGGTAGGGTTGCTTCTGAAAACTCTGCGCATTGAGGACTGCGCCTTATTGAGGGAGGTGAACACGTTCACGTGTTTGTTGAGTTCCTTGAGGAACGGTTCGCCAAATAGTTTCCCTTGTGCCTGGGGCCCAATTTCCTTTGTGCCAAGGTCTGCCAATTTGCCGTTAATACGGTACAACGCTGCTTTTCTTCTCTCCGAAGAGAGCGTAACATTAGTGTTTCCGATGAAACAAAAACACCGTTGTGCCCACTCACGAATATCATGTGCCCATTCCCTGATGTCCTCAGCGGAGAAGGAATCGGCTTTGGTGTAGGCATCATCAGCCAGATACATAATGCGAGCCAGGGGCCGACAGAATCCAGCAGGTTATCTTGGGCGCCCCATAGGCCTTTCTCCACCCCTCGGCGAGGGTCTCTACCGCTGCGCGTCATGAAGGTTGACATAACCTTGTCGAATTCCGGGGTCTGAGCGACCTTATCCGGCAGGGAAGGGCGTGGGCATTCAGACCTGAGACGGCTGCGGACCTCTTTCTCCAGAGGTTTGCGGAGCCACAGGTGCATAAACCTTGAAAGGTGTTCTGGAGGCGACCAGTCACCTGATCTGGGGTGCCGAATGTTGCGGGGGTCGAACATCACCTGGCCTGAGGGGTCCAAGATGGTGTCTGCATCAAGAGGAGGCTCTGCGTCCGCAGTGTCCTCTGCACCTCCTGTCTGGGCCGCACCCAGTAGGGTCTCTCGCATGAAAGCGGAGACAGATTTCTCGTCCGAGCCCCATGCGTCGTAGTCCGAGTCGGAGGCGTCAGCTTGCCATTCATCCAGCACTGACATGGACTGTGCGTCCTGCTCTTCGCCTGAAGAGTACTCCTGACGCGGGGCCGGGGTGTGTAATTTGGCAGACTTGCGCTTGGCAGGTGCCTTACCCTTAGTCGGTTTGGGTGTGTAGTCTTCGCCTTTGTCATGGCGTTTTTTAGGGCGGGAATCCTCCCGTGCCTGGTGGTCGGACACTTCAGAATCCGATTCGTGGCGTGGACGTCTGCGTTTTGGTACGTCAGGAGCCGAAGCTCGGGCCTTGGAGAGTGCCTTCTCCACAGAGGCAGCGACAGCTGCGTTAATCATGGCCTGGAAGTCCACAGGGACGTTCTGGGAATCTTCCATGTTAGGGTAGGCTTATAGGTCACTGAGAGGCACAGCAATGAACAGGGACCCAGGTCTTGATAGTAGGCGTAGGGTCAGATTTGGAAGTATGGTGGGAACAAGCCCAAAATAACCACAGCAGGGTATAGTAGTGACCTTACAAACTGGGGCTCACCCAGTTAGAGAGAACTGCAACAGCTAGTCTCCCAGTAAGCAGCGTCTTTATAGTGGGGGCTCACCCCGGTTGCACAGGGATGGTACCCTTAAGTGCAGGCCACAATAATAATAATAAACAGACAGCAGCACTGACCTGACTGACCCAGCCACAGGATAGCTTGATAGAAGCAGATGAGGCACAGAGACTGAGTAGCAGGTTGAAAGCAGCAGATGGAGTGCTGAGCAGGTAATCCTTCAGTCACAGGGGTGTCAGACACAAAAGGTGTGAAAAACAGCAGCTTAGGAGGTAACAGCAAGCTAGCACAGCCACACTGAGTCCCTAATGAGATGCACGAGGCAAAACTAAGATGGCCGCGAGAATCTCGCGATGTCCGCGATCCAAAATGGCGGCCGCGAGGTAGGCCGCAAGCCGGGGACTAAATTTTGAGGCCGGAAGCGGGCCGGCGCGAAAACGGCCGCGAACAAAACCAGCCGCAAGGAGGAAGCCCAGGAGGGCACTCCAGGGTAGGGGGGCAGAGGGGGAACCTGGGGAAACCAAGGGGAAGCCCAGGGAGGGTCCCAGGAGGCACAGAGGGGCAGAAGGAGGCAGGAAAAACCCACAGAGAGCCCCTAGTCCCCCAGCCCTTGTATAGAACAAATAATAGAAGGAAAAGCAAAACCAAGATGATAAAGTATGTTGCAATAGCAAGGAATAAACAAGTAATGACAATAAATGTATAACAAGTAATGACAATAAATGTATAACAAGTAATGACAATAAATGTATAAAGCTCCAGGGGAGCAAATATTCTGACCTGTCTGCGATGGAGCAGTAAAGAAAGAGGAAGTGTACAGGCAGCATGACCCTTATATACTATGCTGCTCAGTGATTTATTTGTTACTCTTTACGTTTTTCTTTACTGCTGTGGAGTTTAGTAAAGAGAGTTAATGCAAAATAGGAAGCCTCCTGTCATGTTATAAAATTGTACATTCAGTGATGGTTTTTAAATTCTCATTGTGCACGTTATATATATCTGCAGACAGTATAGGGATCTAGCCCAGTTCCCAGCGACCTCATTCTTACTAATTCTCTCAGCGCTATAAAAATCGCATTGCCAGAGAGAATATGCTATTGATATCTTACCAGCTATGGTCGTCCATGTTGTTGTTAGGGACGGGACAGACTCTAATAGATGGAGAAATTACACTTTATTGATATTTTCACTCTGTTTTTAAATTTAAATTCATTTTTTTCCCTTTATATATTTATCTAGCACAAACATAGAACGATGGTGGCTGGGGTTGTCACAGTTGGTTAAAATCAATTTTCTCTTGAAGACAATAGAGTGAGGCCATTTGGCAAAAGCCAAATATATACTGAGGTGTGTCCTGATACAATGACAAGCCTGAATTTGTCAGGTTATTAAACTAGCAGCGGCTGAAATGCATTCCTATTTAGTGTATGTGTGTACTGACTTTTATGCTAAGCCCACAGACAGGAAGGGGGCAGACACGGTCTGATAGGGGTGGCTGGGTTCCCCTGTCAGTATTTCAGAGGTATGGGGGCCCTTCCCTAATTGGGGTGTTTAGAAACCGTTGACAGATTCTACTGATAATGTCAAGGTCAAAACACTAAAGGAGGGGCTGTGCCCTGTCTAAAAATAGGAAAGATCAGGGGTCTCAGATGCCAAATGGCATTCAAAGGGTCCACTTAGCAATTTTATCCCTGAGAACTGGCAGCACTCCACCTTGTGCGAACTACTAATCTCATGATGCTCGACCGTCTCCTGGGTATCTAATCCACGGCATGGCTATCTGTCTTATTATTTATCTGTAGCAACCTGTCTAATGATTGTTCGCTGAATGAACAGTTACTTAGCGACATACACAGAAATATTATTAGGAAACACGAATTAGTCGTTAATCGCTAACCATATACTGGCAGAGCGTAATGTAGTTTATAAAGCACTGGGCAACCAATGGTCTCCTCAATGTCCTCTTTGTGTCAAACCTCTGCAGATGTGATGAGCACTAAACCATTGTTTTGGGATCCAAAGGTTACTGCAAGTCACTTTATGCCAAGTAGAAATAAGCAGAGGAGTGCAAATAATTAATAAAATCTAGGAACCGTAACTTCCTCAAATGGAGGTTTATATGTTGGTTGAACAAGAGGCAAGAGGGAAAACTGGCCCATTTATAAAAAACAATCAGTTCATATCCTCATCGGGGCAGAAAGCTTGGTTAATGAAATAGAGCTGTCTCTGATACATCTTGGATATTTTGTTGTACATCGTTCTCTTTGCACCAGTCCCGTTTTAACGTCTTTGTAATCAAACCCCTTTTACTGTCAGGAGTCCGGCAATATATCCCCAGCACGGCTCCTTGTATTGAGCTCTGAAATTGATTTTGTTTGACCCCTGCAATGACCTAATGTTTGTGATTTGTTTCCAGGAGGTTAGATTCATGCACCATGGGGGCAGTCGTGATAGATGATAATCCGTCCAGCGTTAAGGCCCCTGACGGAGGATGGGGATGGGCTGTCCTGTTTGGCTGTTTTGTTATCACCGGATTCTCCTATGCTTTCCCCAAAGCGGTCAGCGTATTCTTTAAGGAGCTGATCCGGGAGTTTGGAATTGGATACAGTGATACGGCATGGATCTCTTCAATCCTCTTAGCAATGCTGTACGGAACAGGTAGGTCAAAGGGAAAACTCATTGTGTCTTCTTAATAACTGTTTGTACCATCTTTTGGTTTCACAATAGGATTCACTCCCCCTGTTTTGGATTTTTCCCTCTTCTCTTTAATTTCTTTTCTGTTCTTCCTTTTCATTTTCTTCAATTACACAAGCTTTAAGGTTGGAGGTTTCGAACCTTTTTTGATTTTGTTTTAGTCCTTTATTTGTTCCTTTTATGCGCTTGCTGTGTTGTCTGGCTTTTTGGCTCGGAAACAATCAGTGCCCCACTTACACTTTTTTGTTTATTATTTTTTTTTCCTTTGCTGAAAGTTGCCAACTGCCATTGTTTTTATAGATGACTCCCTCTAACCCCAACTAACCTGATTCCCCTCATTACGTGGCTGTTTGTCTGCAGAACGGGAGAGAGTCACCCCCCTTCATCCGGCTCCCAGTGCACATGCTCCCCCAGCTTTGCTGCTGGTGTTTAGAAATCAATCTGTGTAAATAAGACACATTGACCTTCTTCTAAATTACATTTAGTTGCATAAATTATTAGTAAGTCACCTAAACAGCCTCCCATAACCGCACTTGGGATCATCCTGGCTTTATCCTAGAGCAGGGGTAGGCAACCTATGGCACGTGTACCATGCACGGCACTTGAGATGTCTTTGCACGGCACTCAAGGCTGGCTGCTAGAGCCAAACAGGCTCTGGCCTATCAGGAGTTCCAGTGAAACTTCAGATATCTGCTAATACAAATTCCAGCACTTGTGAATGGGAATCCACACTGTAGTAGAGCAGCCCACAGCTGCTGTTGTAGCTCCTGTCCTTGACCTGTACCTGGCCAGCCTGGTCCCTAGTGGAACCCAGGGAAGCCACCCACACTGCTAGATATACACAGAAATGCAGAATAACCCTCCCCTCATACAAATAGCAGCCCACACACAAACATACACACAATCCGCACAAACGCAACACTACTAACAATCCACATACATGCACACAACCCCACATGCAGCCTCTCACATGCAATACCCCAAACAGCCCAAACATATACACACCACCAAACTGTCTGGATTACTAGGTGATCCAGTACGCAGAATAATATCACACCTAGGACTAAGGATAACGTATAACCGGATCTTAAAATGGCCCGACTTAACGTATCCAAGAACAGTCAGAATACTTGCCGGGGTCAGGGATACAGAACGAGACACAACGATGAGGGAAAGCCAAAAGTCAAGGATACCAGAATTCAGGGAAGTCAAACAAAGCCAAAGTCAAACACCAGAAATATAACGATCAGGAACACTCTGTCAGATAACCAGCTAAGGGAAACCACGACAGGGCACTGACCAAATGCTTTAAATAACCCTCCTAAGGCTGTAATTGGCTTTGTCTGACCTCTGACCCCAAAACATGTGTGCGCCTCTATGATGTCACGCCATACGCACGTTGGCACCATCTTTGATGTGGGCGAAGGTGGATTTCTTATAAAAGCCCGGAACGCAGCGGCCGGCGCTCCTAGGAATGTTGCACCCGCTGGGGACCGGAAAATAGGGAGACCGGAAAATAGGGAGACCGAAAAGCTACCCGCCAAGCCCAAGGTAAGTTTAAAGTATCTATGACAGCGTGGCTGCTCTGTTTGAGTTCAGTCAGGCGGTCAGATATGCCAGGAGCTGTGACACAAACACACAATGTGACACATCCATGCACATACAATACCACAAGCATCCCCCATACACAGCCCACATTCATAGGTATCATACACAATACAACAAATTACTCTTGAACATAAACAATATAACAGCTCATATACGCACAAATACAACGATACAAAGCAACTTCATTATAAATAACACAAGCAGAATACGGCAGCATGCACACCTCAATTTAAGAAAATAGGACCGGCACGCTACGGGACATCACAATCATATTTCGGCACAGTGCTGATAAAAGGTTGCCTACCCCTGACCTAGAGACTTCGGGGTTTACAAATTAGCTGAACATCAATTGTCCACCCAGTAAACTAATTACCAGTAGTGCTACAAAAATAAAACCTCCCTCCAGTTCCTGCTTTTGTGTATAATTAGGGCGATCCTGTTGTGAAAGTAACTCTAAGATACATGAAGACACTCCTGAGCCTTCCATTATTTGTCTCTCTTTCAGGAACTGACTTGATGACATTTTAAACAAGATCTAGTCTGTACCAGTATGACTATAGCTTAATTTGACTCAGCCTGGTCTGGTGGGTAACTGAGAGGGCTGGAGGAAAGATAATTCAGCCTCACTTCCTCTCTGCAGTTAAAGTACTGTGATACTGTAATTGTCAATGTGCTTTGTCCTGTATAAACGTTCCCTTTAATAGTTACTGTAAGTGCTATAATTAACCGCTAATTCCGGTTATAGTCATGGCATCGACTGTGTGAATTGTCACGTCTGCCTGTTGGGTCACTAAACAAAGCGGCTGTTTAATCCCCTTCTTATTTAACCAATCCTTCGGATCCTTAAATTCAACACAAGTGGATCCATTTTGCACTAAATACTGAAGAGTTTTAGCTGTTCAAAAAAAAGTCAATACAATTTTGAGACTGTTATGGCTTAATTGAATGTGGAATGTTTGGTAACTTATGTTCTCCTTAAAATAAAACCTCATGGGGGCAGAGCCTAGCTTCCAGGCTGAGCAGACGTGCCAAGACTGAGCTCCTGGTAAAACTCACTGCTTTGGGGGGAATAAACCCAAAAACCCTGAACTTCCATCCTCTGGAGGAATACCAGCAAGAAGGGGACACCTGGGCGAACCCATCGCTACCTGACTCGTCTCTATCACCGCCAGGGAACCCGGAATAATTTACTGAGGCCTACTGAGGTTCAAGCTAGGGTGAGGCGGCCACTTTCCTCACCTGCGAATTCGCACATGGATCCCTCAGCTCTCCTGTCTCCTACCCCCACCCCTCCCTTTGGACCGGTGGGTGACATCCCTGTCTACACTGGGCATCTGGAGCAACCAGCTTGGATCGAGTATTAAGCCTCGAACACTGCACACGTGGCGAAGCCCTCTCGCGGCACACCCAAGATGGTGGCAGCTCATTCACCTTATGCTCACAGCCTGCTTCCAAGCCAAAGGCCCCAACAGGGTGCTGCTACTAACTCCCTGCAGTGCTTAGAGGCAATATTTCTCCGCTTCTGGAAGAGACTCCGGGAGCGCGAACAGGATGCCAGGAACAAGCCACAAGACAAACCAGACAGGGGTGAGCGAGATCACATGCAGCAGGGAGCGAAGGGGTCACCCTCGGGCACAGCACCTGTTTACCCAACCACCCTCACTCTTTGTGGCTGAAGGCCACAAGATCTAGGACCTGAAAGCATCACCCACACCTGCGGAGGAGCCAGCGCCGTAAGCAGCAGCAGACCACCAGGCCCTCCGGTACTCACATAGGTGAAAGTCACTGAGTTTGTGGTGATAAGATGCAGGCCTCTACACCAGCCTGGGGCTGGAGGGACACCCTCACCCGCACCGTGCAGCAACGGCCATCTGAAGCCCACCAGCGGGCTCCAACTGTTTTCCAGCAGAGGGAGTCGGATGACAGAGACAGTCACCCAGATATTACCCCACGTCTCCAGTCCTCTCTTCACCGTATTCATGTGCACCTCACACAGACATGTGGACTCACTTACCCCTGGCAGCTACAAAAAGCTAAATGTGACCTTTTCCTAGAGTTCCAGACTACAGTGCAAAGCAATGTTTAGCATAGCCTGATATGTTCTGCATAACCACACACAATAGAAACACTCTCAGGCACACATATATAAATATCTTGCCCAACCTAAGTGCATAAATAACGTTCTTGACCTGTAGTCAGCACGTTTGCCCAAGCATTCTCTACTTTTAGTAGACACGTCCACATAATCTATTGTATCTAGTTTAAAGTGTGTGGTCTCGCTCACTGTCCTAGGCTACTGACACTAGCATGTTTTCATATATTAACCCTTTCTTGACAACAATCATCTTTATTATCGTGTTAGAGTGTTTACAAAATTATGTATCTGATACCATGACACTGTTTATTCTGACTGTTTTGCTTCACCTGCTATTACTGTTGTGGTATCGCAGACATGTATATTATCATGTGCACTATAAAAAAAATTTTTTTTAAAAATAAAACCCCATACTTGACTTTTTTTTTTTTAAATGTCAAAAATATATATATTAGTTTCATGCTGTATGATAAACTGTTTAGATCCCCAGCACAATGGGAGCCACAGCACCACTCTGCCGTGTTTAGCAAAGTAATAAAGTTCTTGACAGGCGCACAGTCAGATTTACCGGCATATGCGCTAACCTTACCCCGAGCCCCATTAAGACACGGACACTGGTTATACTATTGGAAATATTAGTCCACAGCTTTAATTATTAATTAATTAAGGAATAACAAATAGGGTCATTGTCAGCAAATATTATTAAAGCCAACATCCCCCCATATACATAACATACCCCTGGCAATGACCCCACAATAATAACAATTAATAACAATCTAATTAACATATTAACACAGAAACTGGCCGTCCTATATGGCCACATTTCCACCAGATTAAATTGTAGGGGTGTACCAAGACACCACTACACCCCCAGGTTCGGAGCCACCGATGGGCTCGGAGCCACACTGAACCTCCAGATGCCCACCTCCTCCTCCATCTACGCCCCGATTTAACCTGGCCATACACCGCTGCTGTGAAAAATGGGAACATTTTTATAACCTAACCAAAGTCAGGGAAGGTGGGAGGGACAACTGACAGGTACGTTTAGGTTAAGATGGCTACTTCACAAAATAGCCGGTATAAATACTCCCATCGTAGCTCCGCCCCACCAAGCTATCTAGCTGTCACTCAACTGGCCGTTATGCCTACCTCCTGGCTCTGTCAAGGTCCACTCCCCTAGCTGCGCTGATCCATGGGCTACAAAAAACTGCTAAACTGCAGAGAAGATATTTCATACGAGTTTTAGTAAATTTGACAGCTTTTGTTTTAATAAATGCATTCATATCATCTTTCGTTTCTGTAACCAAACCAAAAGAGGTCTTTAACACCCGATTGCTGCTTTTTGAACACATCCTTTTCTAAGCCTAACCGGTTATTACTAAACAAAGACAACGTAATTCCTTGTGCTGTTCTTCGCACAGAAACCCAATATTGAGTCACTTCTGTTTTTATAAAAGTAGGTGTTACGATATAAAATTCAGCATTTCAACATGTGCTTTGATGCTTCAAGGAAATTGCTCAAAAATAAATGAACCATTTTGATGTAAGCTTCAATTTCATCAAAAGAAAACAGATTGACATGAAAATAAAATCCTCATTTGTCCTTCCTGTTTTAATGCGGTGTACGTTATATACATGTTGTACTTCTAAAGGGGAACTGAGAAAGAATCCGGTCAGATGAAAACGTCTGCTTAAAGGAACATTGCCATTGCCCCCAAATTTATTTTTAAATACATTATTTAGTAGATATACCACAATTAAAAAATGAATGCATTGGGGGTATATGCAAAACAGCTTGCAAAAGCTGCAGCTATCTTGTCTGCAGCCTTTGCAATTGTTCATTTCTTTCCCTGGCAACCACTTTGATTATGTGCCGGGAAATATTTCCAATCAGAGGCTTCTCATTTAGAAGTCTGTGGTTAAGCCACGAGCGCTGTATGATCGAGGCTTCTCAATCCAATGCTTCTCAGTACAGCTCATTGAGAAGGGGGAAGGCAAATTCGTGCTAGCACAGCGATCCTGCCAATTCAGTATGCTCTATGGTGCTAATGGAAGCAGTGGATAACCTTCCTGTTTCTGACCGCAATTATAAAAGTGCTGATAAATATTTAATAAACTGTCACAAATGTGACCGTTAGAAGCTTTGCCATTTGCGCCTTAGCGGTAAGCAGAGAGGGAGATAAGAAAAAATGCTTCATGGTTTGTCTGTTTGCTTTAGCTAATAGAAGAGATTAGTAGCCCATGTTGTAAAACGGAAAGCAGAACTCGATTTTTCTGTAGGCCTTGTAGCCGAAACGTTCAGCTCATGATATTAAAGATCAATATCTTTTGCAAATCATGGTTGCTCTGCATTGCATGTATTTATTGAATTTACACAATAAGCCCCATGTTTCTTTTAAGCAGTTATAGAATTGCTAGAGGTAAAAGTGTGTTCTGTTTCTGGGGATGAAGAGATTAGCCGCACATCAGATAATAAGATATAAATATCCTGTCTTTGTGTAAAACCACAGTCATCTCGTTCTTAGAGATGTCATCGCACAACTCACCAGTTACATTATTTTGGCGGGGTGATTTTTTAGGTTAAAAAAAAGTGTTTTCAAGCAGTTTGGTAACGTGAAAAAGATCCCTTTTATAGGAAGGTGGTGTGCGGTTTTGTGTTAAGATCATCAGAGGCGATTTATTGCGTTCGAGCTCATAAATAATTTATGATATAATGTATTGTTTACCTATAGTAACCTGATGTATACAGTAATCCCGATGCACCAAAATTGGTCAAATCAATAAATATTTGGGACATCTCACATGGAAGCTAATGTAGTTCAGTTGCACAGCAAGTGCTGCACTGAACCCTACTGCATCAATCAGGTAATGCAGTTAAATATAGCCATTAAATCCAACTCGCTACACCAGAGACAGATAACCTGGGATTTCCAAATATTTAGTGCTACCTAAAATACTTAGCCAATGGCAGCATTGACATCACATCACCAATGCTGATAGTTCCTATTGCTGAATGTTCAGTGCATACCACTTGTATAGCTCCTGGCTGCTGTGCCATGAAACTCTCATTCTACGTGGCCAGCCATAAGATGTAGCCCTTGTCAGCTTATAATCAGACTGGACACAGATTGCTACTGGCTAGGATTACACGTCATTCCCTGTTTAAGCCTAATTTTGTTTTTCTTTTGGAAGGTCCCCTATGCAGTATCTGTGTGAATCGTTTTGGATGTCGGCCAGTAATGATGGTTGGGGGCCTGTTTGCGGCTCTCGGAATGGTTTCCGCATCATTTTGCACGAGTATTCTTACAATATACCTCACTGCCGGAGTCATCACAGGTAGGTTACCTCGATGTGTACATTAAAGGAACACTACAGGGAGTGCAGAATTATTAGGCAAGTTGTATTTTTGAGGATTAATTTTATTATTGAATAACAACCATGTTCTCAATGAACCCAAAAAACTCATTAATATCAAAGCTGAATATTTTTGGAAGTAGTTTTTAGTTTGTTTTAGTTTTAGCTATGTTAGGGGGATATCTGTGTGTGCAGGTGACTATTACTGTGCATAATTATTAGGCAACTTAACAAAAAACAAATATATACCCATTTCAATTATTTATTATTACCAGTGAAACCAATATAACATCTCAACATTCACAAATATACATTTCTGACATTCAAAAACAAAACAAAAACAAATCAGTGACCAATATAGCCACCTTTCTTTGCAAGGACACTCAAAAGCCTGCCATCCATGGATTCTGTCAGTGTTTTGATCTGTTCACCATCAACATTGCGTGCAGCAGCAACCACAGCCTCCCAGACACTGTTCAGAGAGGTGTACTGTTTTCCCTCCTTGTAAATCTCACATTTGATGATGGACCACAGGTTCTCAATGGGGTTCAGATCAGGTGAACAAGGAGGCCATGTCATTAGATTTTCTTCTTTTATACCCTTTCTTGCCAGCCACGCTGTGGAGTACTTGGACGCGTGTGATGGAGCATTGTCCTGCATGAAAATCATGTTTTTCTTGAAGGATGCAGACTTCTTCCTGTACCACTGCTTGAAGAAGGTGTCTTCCAGGAACTGGCAGTAGGACTGGGAGTTGAGCTTGACTCCATCCTCAACCCGAAAAGGCCCCACAAGCTCATCTTTGATGATACCAGCCCAAACCAGTACTCCACCTCCACCTTGCTGGCGTCTGAGTCGGACTGGAGCTCTCTGCCCTTTACCAATCCAGCCACGGGCCCATCCATCTGGCCCATCAAGACTCACTCTCATTTCATCAGTCCATAAAACCTTAGAAAAATCAGTCTTGAGATATTTCTTGGCCCAGTCTTGACGTTTCAGCTTGTGTGTCTTGTTCAGTGGTGGTCGTCTTTCAGCCTTTCTTACCTTGGCCATGTCTCTGAGTATTGCACACCTTGTGCTTTTGGGCACTCCAGTGATGTTGCAGTTCTGAAATATGGCCAAACTGGTGGCAAGTGGCATCGTGGCAGCTGCACGCTTGACTTTTCTCAGTTCATGGGCAGTTATTTTGCGCCTTGGTTTTTCCACACGCTTCTTGCGACCCTGTTGACTATTTTGAATGAAACGCTTGATTGTTCAATGATCACGCTTCAGAAGCTTTGCAATTTTAAGAGTGCTGCATCCCTCTGCAAGATATCTCACTATTTTTGACTTTTCTGAGCCTGTCAAGTCCTTCTTTTGACCCATTTTGCCAAAGGAAAGGAAGTTGCCTAATAATTATGCACACCTGATATAGGGTGTTGATGTCATTAGACCACACCCCTTCTCATTACAGAGATGCACATCACCTAATATGCTTAATTGGTAGTAGGCTTTCGAGCCTATACAGCTTGGAGTAAGACAACATGCATAAAGAGGATGATGTGGTCAAAATACTCATTTGCCTAATAATTCTGCACTCCCTGTATAGTCACCTAAATTACTTTAGCTAAGTAAAGCTGTTTTAGTGTATAGATCATTCCCCTGCAATTTCACTGCTCAATTCAGTGTCATTTAGGAGTTAAATCACTTTGTTTCTGTTTATGCAGCCCTAGCCACACCTCCCCTGGCTATGATTGACAGAGCCTGCATGAAAATAAAACTGGTTTCACTTTCAAACAGATGTAATTTACCTTAAATAATTGTAACTCAATCTCTAAATTGAACTTTAATCACATACAGGAGGCTCTTGCAGGGTCTAGCAAGCTATTAACATAGCAGGGAATAAGAAAATCTTAATTAAACAGAACTTGCAATAAAGAAAGCCTAAATAGGGCTCTCTTTACAGGAAGTGTTTATGGAAGGCTGTGCAAGTCACATGCAGGGAGGTGTGACTAGGGTTCATAAACAAACGGATTTAACTCCTAAATGGCAGAGGACTGAGCAGTGAGCAGTGAGGCTGCAGGGGCATGTTCTATACACCAAAACTGCTTCATTAAGCTAAAGTTGTTTATATAGTTGTTTAAAGGTATTTATATAGCGCCAACTTATTCCGCAGCCCTTTACAATTTTATGAAAGACGGGAAGTTTAACAGTGAATGAGACAATATGACACAGGAACAGGTAGATGAGGACCCTGCTCAAACATGTTTACAGTCTAGAGGCATTTGCACAACATTCAACAAGAATTATAGTTAGCAATTCTGGAGGACTTGGCTACAGGTTTATGGCCTAGTGGAGATGGATTCCAGCGGTGGGGTGTCTGTGAATCAGACCTGGGCACAGATCTCCTGCTAACCGATGCCCATCAATGGTGGAGCACAGTCCCACTCAGTAGTGAGAAGCCAAACAATCATAAGCCCATATGTAGTTGACTGTCCAGTCACACAGGGACTTGTCGTTGTGGCAGCTGTTGGAACCACAAGGTTCTGCTTGCCCATGGTAGGTCCAGGTAGTCATGGAGTTATGGTTCAGCTCTCGGCTTCAGCAGGACCATCGCTTTTTGCAGCTAACAGGATCGCGTAGAAGCAGGCTTTCCCGCCCTTGCATGGATACCCTTGTAATGTGCTCAGAAAGCACTGGTGTCACAGGAGGGGTATGTATCTACTATCTTGGTCTGAGGGTATGTTGTCGATGATGAAGCTTAGCCCAGAAAACTGCAAATAGCTGGGCAAGCCTGGTCAGAACGTGAGACTGCTGGTCTGTATTGTCTAGGAGGAAGTTGGTATCTTTCATATTAAACAAGGCACCAGTCCCATGGCTTAATCGATAAAATATGACTCTACATATGGCACTACAGCGCGAGTTATTAATGTTCTATCAGATAAGTATACTTATCAGATTTCTATACGGACATCACGTCCCGTGCACCCGCTTCACCGCAGGCACGTTAGCTGATCCTGGGGGTATAGAATTCTGACGGAGGCACTGCGTGCATGCGCGCCACCTCCAATGACGTGGGATCAGCTGCTCCTCTAATCTGAAGGTGTACCGCGCATACGCGCATTACATAAAACAGATTTCTATACTACAGCTTTCACTGTGTACTAACACAGTGGAAATAGCTGAGATGCAGGATTATGGGGGTGACACATTAGGGATCACCCATCCCCTGTGTGTCACAACATTATCCCCCCATCCACAGTATATAACTCCCATTAACCTCACCATCCCTAGTGTGTCACCCCCATAATCCTGCATCTCAGCTATTTCCACTGTGTTAGTACACAGTGAAAGCTGTAGTATAGAAATCTGATTGATGTACCGCGCACATGCGCAGTACATCCGTCAGATTTCTATATCTGGAGGGTGTGCCACGCGCATGCGCGGTACACTTTCAGATTAGAGGAGCAGCTGATCCTGTGTCATTGGAGATGCGCGCCGCCTCTGTCAGAATTCTATACCCCAATATTAGCCTGCGCGCAGCTGATCTTGCGTCATTTCCCGTGACGCAGGTGCACCGGAAGTAACGTCCGTATAGAAATCTGAGTATAAGTATACTTATCTGATAGAACACCTGTCAGCTCAGCAGTTAGGCTCCGTCCCTCCTTTTTCCAAGTTATTACATTTTTAAAATCCTTAATTTCTTAAACCCCAGTAGAATCTCATCTGTTCTCATCTTTAAATAGTCATGACTATTTTACTTGACTGAGTCGCAGAACTGAGTGGTGGGTATGCTTTTTTAGCACAGCAGAGCATACATTCCTAGATACTTGTTACTGAAACCAATGCAGGATTCCCCACTGACCCCACTGCATTTCGAACAAGACCTTGTGCTTAGGCTGTATTTACATTCTTCACGTCCACCATACCTACTTCAAGGCTCCCATTGGGCACAAAGGCATTAATGTACCTGGAATTTATAACATATTTTCTGATGCATATGCATTAAAACCTAAATCAGCCCCAATTCCAGCATTCTGGGAATGTTTTTTGATGTCATGATCTCACATTTAACAGTTCCTATTTCCTCTGCTAACAAAATAAAAAATTTTTTGTCTTGTTACAGGTTTGGGCCTAGCACTGAACTTTCAGCCCTCCCTTATCATGTTAAATCGTTACTTTGATAAACGCCGGCCACTGGCGAATGGACTGGCTGCCGCCGGAAGCCCTGTATTCCTCTGCGCTTTGTCTCCATTGGGACAGATACTGCAGGATATGTTTGGGTGGAGAGGCGGGTTCCTGATATTGGGTGGGCTTCTTCTTAACTGCTGCGCGTGTGGGGCTCTGATGAGGCCACTGGAACCAGCGAAGAAGGCAAATGAAGAAGTTAAAGAAATCAAAGACAAGAAACCAAAAAAGCTTCTTGATTTCTCTGTGTTTAAGGACCGTGGGTTTTTGATTTACACGGTGGCTGCTTCGATTATGGTGCTGGGACTTTTTGTGCCACCTGTCTTTGTTGTAAGCTATGCCAAAGACCTGGGCACGCAAGACACCAAGGCAGCAGCACTGCTTACAATTCTTGGATTTATAGATATATTTGCACGACCCACGTGTGGGGTTATTGCAGGACTGAAGTGGGTTCGGCCACGGTGCATCTATTTATTTGGCTTTGCCATGATTTTCAATGGATTTACTGACCTGGGTGGCTCCATGGCAGATACTTATGGCGGACTGGTCGTCTTTGTCCTTTTCTTTGGGATTTCATATGGGATGGTGGGTGCACTGCAGTTCGAAGTACTGATGGCTATTGTTGGTACACAGAAATTTTCCAGTGCCATTGGACTCGTGCTCTTGGCAGAAGCTTGTGCTGTTCTCATTGGCCCTCCGTCAGCAGGTAAACACATTTTCAATGACAAATTGTAAATATTCAAAATGATGTCCAGCTCAGACTTTGCTTAAAATAACCATTACTGACTCTGGCTGAGCAGGGCTTAGTCCAGTCTCCACACTGTTATAGCTTTCATAATAGCAATGCATTAAATTCTTGCAGTACACATAAAGGTGCAATTAAAGCAATGTTGGGGTCAGACCACAGGCACCCAAGGGATGCAAGTTAGAGAAAACCATTCGAAGATTGTCACTTTAATATTGAGACAATACAGGAGTCTCCTGGCACCAAAACCACGACAGTAGGCTGTAGGTTAGGGTTTATATTCTAATTTATATATATATATTTATTTTCCCCCTCTCTACACATTTCAGCCCAGGGTAACGTCTGAATTGCAGGAAATTAAAGGGGACGTTTATTAGATAAGGCCCATTTGAGCTTTTGATCAGTTGAAGAATCATTATTTCTTGTTGGTGAAGACTAAAGAGGTTTATTGAACTTTGCAAAAATGTATGCAAGTCTGGTTAGAGATTTTATCAAATCAGCATAGTCACCAATCGACTACCTTTTCAGAAATTTTGCTGTTTAGGTTTTAGTCCACTACAATTTGTTTTTTAGTAACTAAAAAGTGTTCAGTAGTTCCTATCGTGCTCGTCAGAAACGCCATCCATCCCAGGTGAAGTTGGACAACCTGGAATTTTATGGTCAATACCTGCTCTTGATGAATGGTGTCCAGTTTGATTGGGATGGGGGGAGAATTTTTCTACAATTAGATTTTATGATCTTGTTGCAGTACATATAATTTTTTTTTCTGTTCAATGTGCAGGGAAAATTCTGGATGCAACAGGAAAATACATGTATGTGTTTATCATCGCTGGTGTTGAAGTTGTCTTGTCAGCCCTGGTGCTCACATTTGGAAACTTTTTCTGCATCAGAAAAACCAAGGAACTGGAGCATAAAGAGGATGTTACAGAAATTAATGAGCTGCATAAAGTGGAAGATCAAGCCGTGGAAAGTGGCCCAGTGGAACCTGCAGAAGTGGAAGAGTTTCTTAAAGATGAAAAAGCGAAAAATGGCGAAGTAGTTACAAACCCAGAGACGTGTGTCTGAACATTTGCAAACATTTGTAGGATGTTCTAATAGATTTTAGAGAGTATTAGGGCCGTGCCAATTGTCTGCAATGTATTCAGAAACTGAATGTGTAAACCAAAAACCACATCTTGTGCGTCACTTTTTTAATTGTTTTTTAATTTAAGGGAATTTTTCTTCAAACAGCGTGAAAGCTACTGTGGTCAAATATTTATTTTAAACCCAAATTGCCCATCATTATTTGCTTGGGGTAGTTTGGTCAAGGCCCCCCCAAAAAATTACTTTTTTTTTTTTTATTGTGTGACTGTGTGTATTTTTATATATATTTTTTTTCTTGTTCTTTTTATTATTTTAAATTTTAATGTTTCAGTCCTAAAGATGACGTGTGATTATGTGATATTTATTTGACAGTACTTTATACACTTTTTTGTGATATCTTTCAGAGTTTTATTTGGTATTGTACTGAAAAGTGAGTAAAACTATAAATACATAGTCCTATAATTTTTTAAAATTTGGGTACGTGTGTTTGTCCAGACTTTTATCTATGGTTATGTAGTTACCGTCAAACATATTTTCTCTCAACTGCTTTTTGTGATGGGGTGACTCCAACTTTCATACATGTCTGAAAGTCGAGCAAAATTTCGCAACCAATATTGGTCTGGTCTGAAGGATGCCACTCAAGGAACAAGATCATGACCACTTGGGTTGGACACAACGGGAGAGAGTTATGAAAGTGTCATGTTCTTAAACACTGCGGACCTCCCCGGGGGTTGTTCACTAAACTGCAAAAAGAATAACAAGTTTTAGGCCACAGTCTCGGGGCAAGATGCAGATGTGCTTCACTTATGGTATATGACAGAAGAGAAAAAGTAAAGAGATTTTTTTTTAATGTGTTAAAACTACACACCACATGGATTAACTAGAAATTAATCTCTATTTAGAAGAGGTGAACTCTATCTGTAAAACTGAGAAGCTTTTTAAAATAGTTTTTATTTACTTTAAATTATTACGAGATTTGGACATTTGAGATTTAGGATAACAGATTTTAGGTAATAGTCACTTTTCTCTGCTCTGATTTTGGAACTATAATTTTAGTGACTACACTGTGGTGACCTAAGACAGAGGTTCACTAATATAGGGGAACGAAGACTAGATTATGTTTGTCCCTGAAATGAAAGCTTCATCACACAAATGACAAGCTTCTTTGAAAGGTCTGCCTGTGCACTAGACTTTTGCACAAATCCTTTTCACCTGCCATTTAAACTAACCAAATTCATGCTAATCTATGTCCAAACAAATTGATAAATCATGTAATCCCTGAAGATCGATTTAAACGTGTGTTGATTAACAGGCATTTGATTAGTTTGTTGAAGGTTAAAAGTGTTTGTTCCCAAGTCAACTGTACACAGTGGATTACTTTGTGTGACCATCCAAATCAGTTCGTGTTTTCACAGATGGCCATTGTGATAATTACATAGAAGTTGAACCCTAGTCGAGTGAGTTAGATTTATTTTAAGGGGACCTGTATGATCCTAGGGGAGCATGGGGTTGTAGATGATGGTTAGCAAGTTCCCATGATTCATCAGGTTGGAGGGCCTTGGTTCAGGGCTCCTTTGCTGGACACCTACAACTGACGTGGGGAGGACAGTTTATTTTTATTTTCCCTAATGGCAGCTGCTTATCAAAGACTGCATTCTAGTTACCTGGAGAGGTAATTAACTGTCTGGAGTTCGCTAAAGGGTTACTCTGACCACTTAAGTGATTTGAAGTGGTCATGGTAGTAGGAGTGTGGTAGGATGTGCACGGTTTCTGTTTATAACGCTGCACATTCAGAGTTATTTTTAATTGTCTGCCGGGGGATAGTTGCACCCCCAGCACACATGACGTAGGCTGCCCAGAATTATTTTGCGGAATACCTCGTGTCAATTCTGTGCATATATTACCTCTGTTGTCAGTGCACTACAACAAACATAAATATGTTCTTTGCAGGGAAAGGGACTGCATGGGGAAGATAGCTTCACCCTCCCGCCGTTACATCAATAGTTTTTTTCTCTTGCTCAGATTGCGCACATGCCCTCTGAGCCAGCAAACCAGTCCAATCAGTGATTAGACTGCAGAGCGGACGTCACGTAAGTTTTAAAGCTTTTAACAGGTTTTGGAGAGCTTGGGACCAGTTAGTAATGTGCTATAGTGCTTTGTAAATGAAAAAAATATCTAGTCTTTAACCCCTTAAGGACCAAACTTCTGGAATAAAAGGAAATCATGACATGTCACGTGTCCTTAAGGGGTTAAAAGGGTTGGAGTAATTAGACGGGGATTATGTTAGGATTGGAATTGTGGGTGTTTTTGCAAGAAATTTGGGGATTAGTCTATTCAGTGTGTGGAGGAATGGGTCACACACAGGCTGAGTAAATTGTACCTTAATTAAAGCAATTGAGAACCAAAATAAATTGAGGTGATTAGGTAGTTACACCAGGGATGGGTGAGATCAAGGAGAAATATCAGACTGGTAAGATTAAGGTAGAGAATATGCACATTACATTGATGGGCTAGGATTGGGGAAATTAAGAGGCCACCTAAGGTGGAGCCTTAGCCTAAGGATCGGATTTGGTTTGGAATAATGCCCCAGCTATTTTCAATAAAATCCACCTACACTTGAGGTCATGAAGAAGAATTTGTGTGCTGTAAAGGTTAATGTGCTGGGTGGTCCTTGTATCGTGTACTAACCGATCATATATTTTAACGAGCCATCTACAGATTTTCTTGGAAGCCTGTTCTTATTTTAAACCTTTGAAGATGGCATCTGCCCCAAGTCTGCCTTGAGCCAAAGCATCCAACTGTGACCCATCTCCTATAATTAGCCCACATTATATAGTGTAGTCCCTGCATTAACGAGTTCTTATGATTGTACTTAAAAACAAATCTACATGTGCTGAAAAGTATGCATACTCTTGGAGAATTGCTAATATATGTATCATTTTTAAAGAAAACACGAGTGAGCAGGCAAAACACATTTCTTTTACTTCTTATGGGATTCATATTCAACCGTAGGTTATAACAGAATGGATAAATCATAAAACAAAACATAGCAGTAAAGAAAAAAATTTAAATGACCCCTGTTCAAAAGTCTGCATATCCTTAGTGGTTTTTTTTTACTATTTTTTATTTTCCAGTGGAAAGCAAAAATGACATGTTGTGTATAAACATTTCATTAAGAATACGTTGATACATGGCAAATACACGAGATGTCAAATAAAGTAAAATTATAGACACTAGAAAACCATATCTAAGCATGATGAGATAGTGACACGAAGAGAGAAAATTACATGAGGATACAGTCTAGGCCACTGTGAACTTGAGATTCAGAGAACCAGGTTTGTCATCAACAAAAAACCACGACAAGCATATCCTATGTGTTCAGCTTAAATGAAACTACCAGTAGCATAAAAAGACTACGCGATAAGCTCAATAGCCCTGGTGAGGAAAAACCGGAACCATTCCCAACATGTGGCAGACCGTAGGAGCACTCAATACAGCTTGTGCTCAGCCAATGCCTGTTCTGCAGAGCCACTGGAGCTAGTTGCTGAAGTCCGTAGATGCCGGGACTAGAATAATGCTCTGTGAAGCAGGCGCTGTAGGTTCACTTCCTGGGTGCACCAATTCGCCGTCAAGAATTAGGTAGGGAAATTTATCATGGCAAAATGCCTCCAAGTCATGCAAAGACTTTGGTCGCCTTGCATGAACCTCACGTTTGAGATCTCCCCAGAATGGCTCGATATTGAGGTAAGGAGACTGTGATGGCCACTCCAGAACCTTCACCTTTTTTTGCTGTAACCACTGGAGGGTCAACTTGGCCTTGTGCTCAGGGTCATTGTCATGCCGGAAAGTCCAAGAGGGTCCCATGCGCAGCCTTCATGCAGAAGAATGCAAATTGTCTGCCAGTATTTTCATAGAACATGCTGCATTTATCTTGCCATTTATTTTCACAAGATTCCCCGTGCCTTTATAGCTCACGCCAGAATCCTAGAACTTTCCACTTCTTAATAAGTGATTGAACAGTACTGACATTTTCAAGGCTTGGGATTTTTTAATATCCTTTTCCACCTATATAAAGTATATATAGATATTATACTTAATATATATTAAGAGATTGAAAAGTACTGACATTTTAAATGCTTTGGATATGTTTTCATATCCTTTTCTATCCCTATAAAGTTCCATGACCTTGTTTTGCAGGCTTTTTGACAGTTCTTTTCGGCTTCCCATGTATCTAGCCTGCTCAGTGCATCCACGTGAGAGCTAACAAACTCATTGACTACCTATACGCAGACACTAATTGCAATTTAAAAAGCCACAGGTGTGGGAAATTAACCTTTAATTGCCATTTTAACCTGTGTGTCTTTAACAAGGCCAAACATTCAAGGGTATATAAACGTTTGATCAGGGCCATTTGGGTGACATCTGTTATGATTTCAAAAGGAGCCAAACAACTATGAGATAATAAATGGCTTCATATGATCACTATCCTTCAAAAAGACATTATTTTGCATGATAAGTCATTTTCAAAATCAATGCCAAAATGTCACCATTTCTGCCACGGTATGCAAACCTTTGAGCACAACTGTATATTCCAGGGGTTCTCAACCCAGTCCTCAAGGACCCCCTACCAGTCCAGGATTTAGGGATTATCTGGGTAGAGTCTAAGGTGTTTTTTTTTTTCTCTTTCTAAACACCTTCGACACACCCAGGTAATCCCTAAATCCTGGACTGGTAGGGGGTCCTTGAGGACTGGGTTGAGAACCCCTGGTATATTCCAAAAACTTGTTTTGAAGGTAAGATATTCACGGTTTAGTGAGTAAATTCCACCTTTGATATCACTTGCATGCCGGTTAATAGTCTACAGAGAAATATTGAGGCTGTTGGAAACCAAAAGTAGTCACTAACTGAAATCTAAGAAATTTGCTATTTTGTCTCACATTCAGTTTTTAATTTACTGTTTAACTCCAATAATCACCAAGGTTTATTCACTAATATATCCTTAGACCGACTGACCTCAAACATAGAACTCCCATAATTTAACCATGAGCATTTTTTCCCCTCAGTCACCGAAGCAGCAAATGCCCAAATATTTAGATCCAAAAAGCAGCCGTGTACTATGTACTGCTACAGTGTTGTGGATCTTACAGTGTGGCGCCGGTTAGGTCTAGCGTCAAACCTGTACAGTGTAGTCTGTTTCCAGCCATCGGTTCTTCTGCGTTTTTGGTCCTTTTTATATTTTAATAGTTGAGATGGGACTTTATGGATTTTTATTTGCCCTTCTTTCGTCTGAAGAACAAGGAAGCTTGTGCTGGCAGAAGAAATTAGACATCGAACGGTATTTTTTTATTTTACAGGTATTTTATTGATTTCACCCCTCATTATTATTAGGTAGAGTATTTTTTTATGGGGGGGGGGCAACTAGGGGCTTTATGGAGTGGAATAATTTTTATGCAAAGAACAATAGGTCCACCCCCCTTTATTATTTAGGGTCCCCCACCACCAATGGGTGGGGGCTGGTGGGACACTATAACTGCCCATTCATTTTAATAGCCCCCACTGGATGGGGACTCTAGGTCCCTCGTTTATTTTAATTGTGTCTCATTGTGCACCGCAAGTGGGTCTGCTTTCCTGTTCATTGGGGGCGCCCAAGTTTATTTGCTTCTAGCCATACTGATTCATACCTGCAGTCAGCTGTGATAAGCTGCACGCAGTCAGCTGACATTCTCTACCAACCAAGCACAGCCTATCATTGCTGCCAAGGCTAATACTTCCTCATTAACCCAAGCAGCATGGAGGTAATGGCTGGCTGGCAATTCTTGTTTTGCATTCTAAATGAAAGGATAGTGTCTAGGGACTCCAGACACTATAATCACTTCAATGAGATGAAGCCCTAGAATGTAAGCTTTTTTGAGTAGGGTCCTCAACAGCCTCTGTTCCTGTGTGTCCAACTTGTCTTATTGCAAATACTTGTCTATTCGCCCACCTATTGTACAGTGTTACGGAATTTGTTGGAGCTTTATAAATATTAATGAAGCAGTCACTGTGCTTACAGTGTCCCTTTAAGCATTAGTTTCACTCAGAAGTTAAATGCGGAGCTACTTATGAAATGATTAACAGTGACGAATAACAGAAAAGCTAGGATTGGCTGTCCACTCCTTCCTAATTTGGTCAGATCTCAATTCAGGGACCTTCAAGAACTAGTAATTGGCAACAGATACAGAAACGTCCACAGCCAAGTAAAAAACAAACACACCATATAGCATGCGATATGATATGGACAGACAAAACGTTGAAACTGATGGGGATTAAGCAAAAAAAAAAATTAAAATCACATAGAAAGTAGAAGTTACGAATTTATTATTTACACACTTTGTAAAGTACACAAATACAGTAGTGATACAAATTGGTTTCTGAACAATAAGTATCGATAGACAGGATTTAATCAGATCCCATGAAAACATTCTGTAATTATGGCAAGTGAGGGTTGAAGCATTCCCCCTTTCCTCCCCCCTCACTGAAATTTAATGTTTTCAAATACGCAAAGAATTTGTGTACAGTGGTTAGAAAAAAGTTTCAGAAACATGACATTCACAGATATTTACATAAAACACACGCGTGAAGAATTGTACAAATAACGTGGTGACATGCAGAAAAATATTACATGTTGACTAGCATACACTTACAAGTCTTTCCGTTACAATCCTCAAATATGTAGAAATACTTGGAACTAACGCTCTTACAACAAGAACACAAACGCCCACCTAATGTGTATATATCCATCTAGCAAACAGGACGCCGCCCTGTACCATAAAAAGGTCAAAAAGAATTTTATGCTGCCTACGGAATAAAGAGCATCAATTTCGCTTTTTAAAATGACATCTGAAAAATAAACAGATGGATACCTCCCCACACCGTAGACAATATTGCACAGTGAGCAGTTGTTTAGCTTTTAGTGCTAACCCACATTTGGCCCTCGAAAAGGCTAGGTAAGTTTGCATCCCTGGAGAGGAGGGGGTGAGAACTGCTGATTAAGGAAACAAAAACATTTTCAATAAGAGATCATGTTATTTTTACAATAGGAGGGAGGACAAAAAACAAAACGGCCATCATTTTTGAATGTGATTTTTTGTGTGTACTTTCTAACAGCGTCGGCTTACATACATATAAAACAAAATACTTTACACAAAGTGTTTTCCTTATAAATGTATTCCATTAAGGGTTGGTTGGTGATAAATGCACAGCTTTGCTCCAGAACTCTGTAACTGTACAGTTAAAACCTTTCACACAAAAGACGCACAAGTCAGAAATTCTCCTAAAAACCACCCATCGCAATCTTCAGCTTGTATTTAATCTCAAGAAACGATCATCCCTTGTTGCACTCCAAGAGAAAAGAAAAATAAAGAGAACAAAAATATACAAAACATTAAATTAGTTAAAAGAATACAAGCTAGATACAATTTAAGAAAACAAAAAGTCATTTTAAAGCCCACTCATGCTCCTATATCTTTTATGCCCACAGTTGTTGCCGCAACAGAACCTCAATTCCAGATCGTTTTCACGAAAGAGAGACGGACAAACCTGGCACAAATAGAAGTGGTTTTAGCAAACAGATATAAAAACCATATAGATACAGTAGAATAAAAAGGGCCCTTGAAAGATAAAATAAAATGGCAATCCTTAAATTGATGTTATAAAAAAAATTAAAAATAAAATAAAAAAAGTTACAAGAAAGAAAAAAACAAAAAAAAAGGAAAAAAATAGTCAACTCTGCCATTTCTGCTGAAAGTGTCACTAGAGGGCTCCACACTACACCTGCTGACCCAGCCTCCACGGAGTCCCATTTCAGCAGCTAGTAATTTAACCCTGTCACGAGATCGTCCTGCTAAAAGCATCTAAAGCTTTGTTTGGATTTGGTTGCTTTTAGAAACATTTATTTTTTTTTTACATTTTTTTCTTTTTGCTATGGAAACCATCCAAAGCCCAGCCATGCGCTCTCTTCTCCACGGGAATGTGTTCATCGGTGTACTGTTGATGGAAGACCACTGGAGGCCACCCGACTGGGAATCTGTGGAACGAGAGAAAGCGTCACCATTAGATAACCTATTGAGAGAGCGAATTGTGAAAATAAATAGCCATGTTGAAGCCTATTGCATGTACAGGTAAAGATCTATGCACGCACACATACTTACACACTCAGTGTCAAATTAAGAGCACTGGCGGCATACAGATCATGGCTCAAGACTGGTACCACTAACGATGGTCCCAGCTTACAGAGAAGAGCCTCAGGTATCGATTAATACTTGTTTGTCCCTGGTGCGAGCAGGGATTTAACAGACAGGCCTAACCTCATATTGTGACCCATGGATGCTTTGCCCATTTTACCTGGATATTCTGGTCATATAGTTTGTACGAATATGAAAGAAAAGCTGTCAAAATACATTTTCCCACTTTTCTAATAAATAAATAAAAATGGTAGGTTTGAACCCCTGTTGAATAGGGTCACAAACTCCATTCCTGGACTGGGTAAAAGAAAGAACTTAATTTCCCTTGATTCTACCAGACACCAGTCTAGCTTACTTAAGGCATAATGCAACTTAATAAGCATCTGTATACAGTTACAGTGGGAGAGGCCTGGAACATGAAACAACCAAGGTGCTGCTGGTAAACCACTCATTCTATTCATTGTCAGGACAGCTAAACCATTCATCAGGGGATCAGTGAGACAGCAAAAATCAACAAACTATACATCGTGTCAAATTTGAGAGGAAAATAGCATTCCACGGAGAAAATTATTTATTGGTGAGACAGCTGGTTCAACACACAGTGTCACACGGTAACACATTCTGAGCTCAAACAATTTACAGATTTACCAAATGCCAAACTGACAGGTAACCAAGTTAAAGGAGGCATATAGTACTTGTTTACTCTAAGCATACTTCTCACTTATTGTTTTTTCCAATTCTTACAGAATACTAAGAATCGTAATTCATTTTTCATGCAGCTCTGGATATCAGATGCAGTTTAATTTTGAAAATGTTTCTAAAATAAACCAGGTGTGCAGATCTACTGCATTTCTGTAAAGTACTCAGCACATTGAACACATGAATTCTTCCGTATCCTAACCACGCACTTTGAATAAAAAAAAATTTGCTTGAAATATGGAGTTGAACAGGCTGGCTGGTTCCCGTAGTACGGTTATCTCTACAGGAAGCAGCTAAACGACAGGAGAAACATCCACATTCAGCAGAAATTCTAGGTACTGCCATAAATTAACTGGATCGAAGTTCTGCACAACGTAGCAGGGTCATAAAACATCTAGATAGAGACTTAGCCAAATTACACTTAAAGGGACACTATTACTCACCAGAACAACTACAGCTTAATGTAGTTGTCCTGGTGTCTATAAGCCGGGCCTTGCAAAAAAAGTGAGGGTCCAGAACTGGTAAAATTTGACAATTTACTTTTAAATCCTGACACTTCGCACTTTAAAATTAAAGGACCACTACAGTGCCAGGAAAAAACACTCGTTTTCTGGCACTATAGTGCCCTGAGGGTGCCCCCACCCTCAGGGACTCCCTCCCACCAGGCTGAATGGAGAGGAAGAGGTTAAACTTACCTCTTTTTCCAGCGCTGGACGGGGAGCTCTCCTCCTCTTCTTCGGCTGGCCGCGCGCGCACATTCAGCCAGTCCATAGGAAAGCATTCACAATGCTTTCCTATGGACGCCGGCGTCTTCTCACTGTGATTTTCACAGTGAGAAACGCGGAAGCCCTCTAGCGGCTGTCAATGAGACAGCCACTAGAGGCCGGATTAACCCTAACATAAACATAGCAGTTTCTCTGAAACTGCTATGTTTATAGAAAAAAAGGGTTAACCCTAGATGGACCAGGCACCCAGATCACCTCATTAAGCTGAAGTGGTCTGGGTGCCTATAGTGGTCCTTTAATTTCACATTTAGACCAGGGTGGAAAGCAGAGATGAGGAAGGTGTAAAGGATACCTAAATACTCAACAGGATCTGCAAAATAAATTACATTTTAAGCCCAATCACCTTCAATCTTGTAGAATGATCACCAAAGTAAATATTTAAATCCCACAAGCAGCCAAAAGTCCTTTTTTATCCTCTTGAAATAGAGAGAATTGTTTTTAACAATGTATTTGTGTTAACGTATCCTGTTTGTGCTTTGAACCAATTTCTCAGCCTGGCATCTACCAGTTTACACCATTAACCCCTGAAGAGAAATTGAAAATGATGCAGTTACAATCTGATCTATTCCAAAATAGAATGTTCTCCCGTTTAATGCCTTGACGGCCGTATAGAGCAGCTGATGCTTAGTGATCAGGACATGTCGAGGTCCAAACAACAGATTGTGAAGACATCAAGACATATAAACTAACTGTCCTTTAAAAGGAATACAAGTACAGGAGATACCCCACATGCAGAGGCGGGCATCTTGTACAGGTTCTCTGATTCTCTGTATAACGGTCACCAAACATGATAAAGGTAGAAAGACTAAGGTTTCATGTGCCATGGTTGTAAACATTAAAATTGTTAACGCAGTTCGCATTTACATACATGATACACCTGAAATTATTGCCTGCAATCATATTAATTTGACAACAGTGAAGGTGATGCCAGGCCTCAAGCTAGGTTAATTTACAGTGGTGCTACAATTTAAGGAGTTAAAACCTCTGACTGGTCCAAAAATCAGGAAATGTTACTAAGGGTTAAAAACACGTATCTGTATAATGAATTAATGACGCCACACATTTCAAACAAGCCAAAGCAGGCAATTTTCGTTAGAGAGAGTGGGATTGGAAGGGTTGAATATTTTATACAAATTCGTGAGTTACAGATTACAGTTTAGTTAAATAGGAATTAGTAAACTTAAAAGACTAAATTTTTCTGAACACATCTGTTAGGGTTTAAATTCACACTGCAGCGTGTTTCATTGCTGTGATGTTCAGTTATACAAAAATATGGATGTCCAAGAAAAGAGACAGTTTGGGTCCAAAATAGGAGCGGATATAAGGATTCTTGGCATGTAAGAGATCAGTTATTTCAGCTCACGCTTTTCTTTACGGATTACAGAAAAGGGACACGAACAGTGTGCCATATGTCTTTGCAATGATTAATTTAGGAAACACACACAAGCACACACACACACAGTGCAAGATGATCCCTTTAGCCCAGGCAGGGTTACAGAATTAACAAGCAGTAAACCAGGTCTCTGCATGCACAACTAGACGTTATGCTAACAGAACTGGCTAGGCTTAAGAAGCTTAAAGGAACTGCTGAAATAAAGATAGGGAGGATTACTAAACAACACTCACCCGGCACTGCCTTCAACCGAGCACGAGGAGAGCAGCTACTTGCCGTGATGTTCGTAAGGAATGCTATTCTGAGGTGGGGAAAAGACAGCTGCTTGTAACTATCCCAAAAACCGAGCACAAGCACCGAGGACAAACTTCTCTGCTAGGACATTAGTGCTCTAAAGCTTTATATTTTACTAAACACCCTGATCACCTGATCTTTAAAGGGACACACAAGCCCATAATTTACTAGCATGCAAAAATCAAGACAATCCTGAAATTAGTTTTCCATAATGTTTGCATGCTAATAAATGAGTAAAAGCAGGAGAAAATAAACATATGTTTACTCCATTCCATTGCGCTCCCGGGGTCACTTGACACTCCTATTGCTCTATACAGTGACAATACAGTTTTACGCTATCTAAAGCACATGCGCACAATGGCAGCAAGATGTGGGTGTACTGCACATGTGTCACAGTCGCCACTCACGCAGTATTCCTGTGCTTTTGCTTCCATTAGGAGGTCCTTACTTCCTGCAAAGTTTAACAGCCAGCACATACCTGAGAAGTTGACATGCGAGAGGTATCTTGTCGGCCGGTTAGATCAGATGAAGAGACGTTGACTGGTGCTCCGCGATGCAGTCTCATGCTCACTTTCCGCTCGCGTTCCATCCCGGACACAGGACGGGGAGAAGTGTTTGCTGCGGGGAAAACAAACAACATTTTAAATACAACACAACGTTTTTGGAATTTGGTAATGCTTTTGGTTCACGAAACTGATCCAATGCGCATTTTATTCACTTCCTCTTTTATGGATGTAGATTAATGATTAACGGTTTTACTGTAGCCTCATATAATAGCAGCTCAAAGACAGAATACAGAACTTATTACTCCTGAATAAAAGTAAACAGATGCAAGGGTCGTGAAAAATCAGAATCCAGCGGTGATTTTTTTTTTTTTTTTTTTTCAAACCTGGAAAGTGATTGGCTGAACTCTTGTGATGCAGTGATCAAGTAACACCGATTACAAAGAACAAACCTTTTATATTGCCTGTACAACAAAGATATCTACCTACCTGAGCTGTGAGAAGCACAACCAATCCCAGATCACTAAAGAAGTCTGAAAATGATCCGGAGAGAGAGGACTCTCACCCGGCTGATTGACAAGGGAGGAAACATAAAATTAAAACACATTTAAAAAAATAAAATAAAAAAAATATAGGTAGCTCCCGCTTACCAGTGTGAGAGGTTGGAGTCAGGGGAGTTGGTGGTGTGACTTCTTGGGCACCTCTCACTCTGCCAGAAGCAGTAGAAGGTAAACCGCGAGTAGCAGGATTGCGGGAGTGTCTCAAGCGTTCCTCGCGCTCTCTCCTTTCGCGTTCTGCATCTTCGGCTGCACGACTTGCACCCTACAAGAGGTCAAAATTGCATTTCAGTAATTAAACTCCACCTGTAAGATCTGTGTAAAGTCACAATTACTGCGTAATCAAACAAGCGAAAATTCTAACAGTTTGCATACAATTTACATGGGCACTTTACAGACAAAAGAGTGTTACATTGCTTATAGTAAAAAAATAAATAAAAAATAAATAAAAAAATCACTATTACAAGCACAGGAGTTAAGACAAGATGACAAACTTCTAACACTTGGAAAACTACAGAACGCAGTCTTTTCATTACGGCATTCACAGTTCAGACAAACTAGAAAACCAAGATTGGTACAGATGCACATATTTTCTTACAGTATTGCTGGCACAAAATATAAATTTACATGAAGCGGAAAGTGTCATGTGAACCATTCATATCTAAGTAAATAAGGATTTTATTGCAAACATAAAAGAAAAAAAAACAAACTAACAATAACATTTTAAAGTACAACTTAAGAATAAATGTAAGAGAAGCAGCTTGTGTTAAAACAGATGCTTTTTCTTTTTGCCAGCTTAGTGATTATTAGGACACACTCGACCCCTAAAACACTAACTTGCTGAGATGCTTTGTGTGTGCACAAATAGTGTAGATTTCAGTAGAAATTTACACTTTTATAACTCAACCTTGTTACTTCCCCCTGGCTGTCAGACAACTGGACCTGTTACTTCCTGGCTTGATGATAGGCCTATCACTGCTTCCACTAAGAAACAACCAATAGAACAAGTAGTAGAGAGGGACTGGGTGTCAAGACACACATAATCAGCATCAAAGAGACTGAAAACGGTTTCAAAATGAACAGTGGAATGGTGCCACGGGACTTTAGAAACCATAACCACCTTTAATGATACTATGGAGTAGGGATCGACCGATTATCGGTTTTACCGATATGATCAGCAGATATTCGGTATTTTTGGCAATATCGGTATCGGCCAACATAGATATTGCCGATAATGCCTCGTAGGACGAAGTTGATTATGTGTGTCTTGACACAAATTATATCCCTTCAGAAACACACACCCTGCATTTTATTTATATACACAACTATACAAACACACACACTCTGCATTATACACACACACACTCACTGCATTCACTATACACACTGCATCCACCAGACAAACACACACTGGCCCCTGTCTAAACACACTGCATCCACTACATGTGGCATGTATATTTTGTGCATTTACCTTAAGAAAAATTGTTTATTTTTTTCAAAATGGTAAATGCACAGAATATCGGCAAGTTATCGGCCATCGGTCTGAAAGTTCACAGATTATCGGTATAGATGGGGCAGGTGTAACGCAGTGACAGGTGATAATTTTACCTTTTAACATGGAAACCTTGCGTTAGTGTTTAGTAATAAGTCCTGCAACATGGAAACAATCGGCAACAAATGTAACAGCCATTTCTGAAAATTACCGTTACTAGCTTATAGCTAAATGAAGCAAGCCCATACTCTTTAATTGTGCTCATCTATCAGCAAATACACAACCAATAATAAAATAAAATGTAAGAAATCATCCAAACTTGTTTTAAAAGTGTTTATAAAGCGCCCAGTTCTGGCCCGCCCATGCTGATCAGACGTGCTAATGAGAGCTCCTCACTGACCTCACAAAATCAGTAGTCAAACTGCGTGTTCTGCACCAAATCGACACCCTTACTGACTTCTTACCTCATCCTGTACTCAAGGGTATTTTCCTTTGTCGATTCTCGCCTTCATTTCGAGCCATTTGCATGGCATTGCAGTCATTGATCTGGCCCACACTGCGGACAGGAAAAGGCCCGATGTTCCGGTCTAGAGCAGCCTGTATATTCGAGTTTATAGCTGGAGCCCTGTCGAACCCCCTCCTTGGACCGGTGGGGGGTTTTCTGGTCCCCACAGTGGAGGGTACAAGGGGAAGAAGCTACATGAACACATCTTGCACTAGTGCAGTACCAAAACTCACTACAAGATGGCTGCGAAGTTCCCAAATATCCTATGTGAGGTTTTGGAGTCAGTTATCTGGACAGCGAACTCTGACACCATCTGCTACCTACCCTGTGAAGCAAGAGCAGCACCAACAAGGTGTTAGACCTAGGAGACCTGTATTGGGTGTATTTACATCACCTAGCGACGACAATCTAATCTAATTTGTAGCCTACCTGGGCTGAAAGCCATGTGGGGCCCGCCCTCTTTCCACCACACCCTCCTGAAAAAGGCTAATTAAGGGAAACGCCAAGGAAAGCTCTTACCTTTGTTCCCGGACCCCCTGCATTCCCTTGAGGAAAAGGACTTGAGCATTCTGCGATGCGGGGTCCACTGTAACATGGTGAAGGCTCATTATTCAGCTCGGGTCTGGAGTATCTGTTCTCCAAGGTGTTCATTCCAACCTAATAGGGGAATTGGCTGCCTGCTTCTATAACCCTGGAACAGTGGTCGTCTTTTTCAGGCCTTACCCTGGTGCTACCATTTCACGCATCCTCCATTTTCCTCAGACGCCAACAGCTTCTGTGAGGCCAGAATGTGGTCTAGATAGTCAGCTAACTATTTTCTATAAGCTTTCTTAGCGTACCTAAATGCCTAGTTCTACCTACAATTTAAAATCGCAACGCATTTAGTCGAAAAGGCTAATCACCTAACAGCAGAGTTGGCTCATATCGCTGACAAGATACTTTTATATATTATAACATATAGCATATAACATATATGCAGCTACTACCTTTCTTATGCATTGTATCTGTATTTCATACCACAGCCTTTTAGGTTCAGCTGCATGTAGCCACATAAAAGTTCATAAAAATATAAAGTGCCCAGTTTAAAATGCAATTTACTTCATATAGAACTGAAAAAAATATTTCTATCCGTGTATACACGTGTACACTAGTGCAGAGTACTCACAAATTTCAGCATGTTCCAGTCAAACACATAGTCGTAGGAAAAGCCTTGGCGGTGGAACAAATTCCGGAAGAGCTGTCTTAGGTAGGAATAGTCAGGCTTATCATCAAAGCGCAAAGACCGGCAGAAGTTCAGGTAGGTGGCAAACTCGGCTGTGTAGAGAGTATGGACGTGATCAGCTCCAGAAATTAAAGGCAATGTATATAATAAGGCAGCAAATGCTACCAATGGCTGAAGTATGAGATTTCAAATAGAGCAATGATCTATTGCAGATACACTGAACACAATATGTTTAATCATTAGTTTCATCCTACGAACTAAAGAAACCGCTTCACCCATCAGACAGTGAATCAAACTAAGACAAGTCCAGTGATTTATCTGCATCACTGTGTTTGATCTCCTGTGCGTGATTTGCTATTGGGGAAAACAAAGCATTATGAAGTCCACCAGAAATTTTAAAGGGGTTTTTCTAATCACAATGCTCACTAGAGCCCGCTGTACTGATTATGGTACCTGAAATCCCCTAATACAAAAATGTGTTTCAGCTGGTTCCAGCCAATAAAATTCCTTTTACATTAATAAACAAACAAATAAGACTCCACAGGTAAATCCCAGACTGATCAAATTGTTTAGACATAGATTAAAAGGAATTTGATTAGTTCGAACCAACTGAAATGCATTTTTTGCACAAGTCTACTAGAGCCCAGTCCTGGTTGGGAGTCAAATAATTTGTGAGTTTTTTTTAGATTTCCCGGGCGTCCTCAATCAATGCTGTCTTCACAAAGCTTAAAGGGGAAATTTCCATTCTGCTTTAGCTATATTACTTTGTACAACCTAAAATATGGCTAAGAGTGTCTGATCTCTTACCAGGGAACGATGTAAGGAGACTCCTGGCCCCATAACCATTACAGGAGGCGGTACAAATGATGGTACTTAGAAAGCACTTTAAATCTGTGTGTTTTTTTTTTTTTTAAATACTACTCGTGAATTATTTCAAAAAGCCTTTAATCCTAGAGTGAAGCCACAACCTCCAGCTATTTCCCCAAAGCAAGCAGTCATGCTGTGTACACAGAAGATCCTAGAATAATATTGATAAGGAATTCTTACATGGATAACCTTTGCAGAGCACCTCGATAGGCGTCGACATTTTCTTTTCACTGATCCGCTCATATTTTTGCCTTTTGGTAGCAGCTTTCAGCCCTTGCCATGGGAGGGAACCCAAGTTAAAATACATAAGGACATACCCTAAAGACTCCAGATCGTCTCTGCGAGATTGCTCTGAGAAAAGAGGAAAAGAAATTTAAATAAATAAATGTATTTGTTGGATTACTTATGTGGGTTTCTCTCTAAATTTGTTTAATATATAGTGCTCAATAATATATAGTGCTCAACGTACAGCACTAATGGGGGCAAGAAAGTGATATTTAACAATTTAGTAGATTCCAAAAAAGAAAACGCTGCACATTGTGGAAGAATGACGAAGGCTATGTGCAAAATAAGTTACTTTTAAAGTCAAACTGATTGCTGCCTCTTGAGTTTATCTTCAGAGCTATAGAACCGGGAAGTAACTTAACTGTTCGTCGGATTTAACAGCCGAGGGGGTGTATCATTTATATAAGAGGAACCCTAAACGTATCATTTTTAGATATACGGCTATTTTGCACTCATGTACAAACACTATGTGCGGTAGCAGATATATGAATTTCTATTTAAATAAAAGGACATTTTATAAATGATTTTTAAAGCACTACATCACAGTTATATGTAGGTATTGATGTTATACATGGTTTAACCTATATGTGTACCGTTGATGTTTGCATGCACAGTGTACAGATTACTACTGTCTCAATATTTATTTATAAGATATTTTACCAGGATGCATACATTAAAATTTTTCTCATTATCAATCTTGTTAATCGCAGTTCTAAGATAATATGATGGCTTTAACGTGTGTATATGTATATCTCTCTATCTCGAATGGCATTCTGATGCAAAGTGCAATGCAGGGTTTAAATCATTAACGGAGTCACCTGATTACTCTCAGCCAATCGGCTTAGATCAGACAGAGTTTCCACCTCTCCACTGGCAGCACCAGGTAATAAGTCAAATCATTCTAAAACAGTCTGGCTCCTTACAAAAGTGGGCGCCAGTGCACCATGACCACAAAAAGTGTGGCCTGGTCCTTTAAAAAAAAAATTGCATTCTGAAGATTTGTCTTCCTTTGTCCTGCCAATTAATTTACTCAACTAATTTCAGCAAAGTTAATATAGGAGGACATATCAGCCCCCAATAAAAAAAAAAACAAAGAAAGAAATATAATTTATTGGAGATTCCCCGGCAAGATGTTTCATGAGATGGCGCAAGAGGTGCTGGTGAGAAACATGTAGGGTGTAGAAGGAAACCACTAAGACATTTCCTTTCTAAACCTGATAAAGAATAGTTTAAATGTATCGTCCAAGTGTCACTGTGCAAAACAGGAATTCAGCACACATCCCCAATTCAGACTACGTTCATACACTTACCTATACCAAGGTGAGTATTGATAGAAGCATAACGGGCAGTTCCTGTCAAATTCTTGTTTTCACGATAGGGGATGTGCTGGTGTGTGCGAGCGTCTCGATATTTTTTGGCGAGCCCAAAATCGATAATATACACAAGGTTTCCTTTTTTCCCAAGCCCCATCAAAAAATTATCTGGTTTCACATCGCGATGGATGAAGTTTTTGGAATGAATATACTCAATACGGCTAATCTGTTAAACAGAGGAAAAGGGGCCACAAGGAGGCCAATTAAATTGCAGTATAAATTACATATAAACACAAACTGCGAAGGATAAAGACTGCAGGGTGTAACCATGTATCCTCTAAATTATGGCAACGGACACAAATTCTAGGCCACCAACATGAAGGGGAGGGGAGGAGGGGGTGGGAACACTTATTGGAAATAATAAAGCTGGAAATATTTTGCCTTCATTTTGAAAGCCTGCTGATCAAATTTCAGAACTTAGGGAAGAAAATCCCAAATAAAATGGGAAAGGAGGGGGTGTTAATGTTTTTCCCTACATTTAGAACAACCCAATAGCTAACAAGCACAAAAAAGGCAAGGAAGGAACCATCGAGTGCCCATGTGCCATTTCCATGCAAATAAACAAATATAAACAAACACACCCAGGGCCTGATGGGGCGATTAGGTTGGCCACACAGAAGGTGGTGGTGGTGGTGGTTTTATACTTCTCTTCACCCCATTGACCACATCAATAGCATTTGGGGTGAAGGACTGGGCAACTGTCTAAGAACTGATAATTACTTTGAGCTATATGAAAAGTATGGTTTACTAGACACTGCTAATCATTACAGGCAAGAGTATCAGAAATGATCTGCCCTCGAAACGCACATATAGAAATTCTGCACGCCTTCTACAGCCTCCCAAAATCAGCCCTCATCATTAAATTCCAACCATTGCCACTTGCCTTTATTTTCATGGTCTTTACTTCCCTGCAGGGTCTCAACACCTGGGGGGCCTCCATTTTGATCACCTCTGTCCATGATGTCTACAGTTTGCTCTTTTCTTGGATTCAATGGAACTTTGTTTAAAGGACCACTATAGGCACCCAGACCACTTCAGCTTAATGAAGTAGTCTGAGTGCCAGGTCCAGCTAGGGTTAACCACCCCCCCCCCCCCCCTTTTTTTTTTTTTTTAAATAAACATAGCAGTTTCAGAGAAACTGCTATGTTTATGTTAGGGTTAATCCAGCCTGTGAAAATCACAGTGAGAAGATGCCAGCGTCCATAGGAAAGCATTGAGAATGCATTACTATGGACTGGCTGAATGCGCGCGCAGCTCCTGCCACGCATGCGCCTTCAGTCGAAGAGTAGGAGAAGAGGGAGGAGAGCTCCCCGCCCGGTGCTGGAGAAAGAGGTAAGTTTAACCCCTTCCACCCCCTAGAGCCCGGGGGTCCCTGAGGGTTGGGGTCCCCTCAGGGCACTATAGTGCCAGGAAAACGAATATGTTTTCCTGGCACTATAGTGGTCCTTTAAAGGGACACTCCAGGTACCTGAACAACTTCATCTAAATGAAGTTGTTATGGTGCCAGGAGGCCTCCTGATGCACTCTTATCTCAAGGGGTTAAACCGTTCTCAACCATAAAGTTGCATCCAACGGCAATGTCCACTCCCGCCCTAGCAGTTGCTGGGTGCTAAATTTTCAGATTCAGGAACGGTGCAGTGCCACTGGGCAGGGGCGTCGTGAGAGCAGTCAGCTGACAAACTCAGCCAATCAGTGACTCCCCATTTACTAAACTGGCTTGAGAAGAAACGCACTTTTTCCCAGCTAGTTTAGTGAATGGGGAGTTACTGACTGGCTGACATCAGAGGATACCTGGCACCATAACCACATCATAACTATGCAGTGGTTATAGCCCTTAGACTGAGTTGAGTAAGGTATACAGCAGAGGCAAGTGTAAGACTCAGATGTTCCTGCCACTCATCCAGTGGAGCTTCCCTGCTACCAAGATACTTTCTCTACACGAATGGGTGTGGATCATTTTCCATGTTTCACCAGCTGTGTGCACAACACTGGGTTCGATCTAAATAAAGTTAAAACAAACAAAAAACCCCACAGCCAAAAATAAATCACCCACCACAAAATAATTAAAGGGACACTATAGTCACCAAAACAACTTTAGCTTAATGAGGCAGTTTTGGTGTACAAATCATGTCCCCGCAGTTTCACTGCTCAATTCTCTGCCATTTGGGAGTTAAATCACTTTATGAACCCTAGTCACACCTCCCTGCATGTGACTTGCACAGCCTTCCTAAACACTTCCTGTAAAGAGTCATCTTAAGTTTATCTTTCCTTTATTGCAAGTTCTGTTTAATTTAGATTTACTTGCTAGACCCTGCAAGAGCCTCCTGTATGTGATTAAAGTTCAATTTACTGAGAAAGATACAATTGTTTAAGGTAAATTACATCTGATTGAAAGTGAAACCAGTTTTTTTTCATGCAGGCTGTGTCAATCAATCAGAGCCAGGGGAGGTGTGACAAGGGCTGCATAAACAGAAACAAAGTGATTTAACTCCTAAATGGCAGTGAATAGAGCAGTGAACCCTGAGAGGCATGATCTGTACACTAAAACTGCTTCAGTAAGCTAAAGTTGTTTAGGTGCCTGTAGTGTTCCTTTAATAGAGGGACTTTTCCTCCAAAGTGACTCCTGTTATTCATTATTTTCATTGACTAGGAACAGTCCTGTTTCCTCCCACCCTGGGTAAATCGCTAGATCCTAGACAGAACAGGTGAGAAAGAACTGCAATAAATGTTACCACCAACATATGTGCTGTAGCTTGGCAACTGGTAACAAAGCCTGAATATAAGTTACAGGTAACCTTGTTTTGTCTCCAACTGTTCATTTTACAAAGCTCTGACAGCACCGAGGAAGAAGAGATGTGTTTGTCACCAGGAAATGAATGTGTAAACATAAACCATTAGCCGGGAATCTCGCTTCCTCAATTACATGTCCGAGAAAACGATGAAACGTCTAAGGGTTCTGTCAGGCATTTGAAAATTAATAAAACAAACAAAATAAATCAAATCATCACAGCTGAAATTAAGGATCTTACTAGAATAAACAGGGGAAAAAAAATAAAAAATACTACAGGCAACAGTTGCTAAGTTCCCAACGCCGTTTTTTTGGTTGCGCAGCAGTGTAAATTCTAGACTAAAATTTTTTAGAAAGCATTTGAGGAAAGATAATCACCATCTGGTCAGCGAGGAGAAGAACTGTTTTCAAGCTAAATTTCCTGGAGCAGAAATTAAAGAGATCTTCAAGACTGGGTCCCAGTAATTCCATGACCATAACATTGTAATCCCCCTCCGCTCCACACCACTTTATGGTAGGAATTCCCACTGGAAATGAAAAGGAAGTGTGAGTACAAAGATGGCTTCCTGCGTTCAGGCAGGGCAGAGCAGGACTTACGAAGACTTACCTCCTCCTTGCATCATTTTGTAAATCTTGCTCTCTATGTGGAGCTGAGGGTGCTTTGTCTTGACACATTCCAATTTAATGGCCACTTCTTCTGCTGCAGCAATATCGGTACCTAGAAAAAGATGATCACAGTTTTAATACAAGCACTGTAGACATGCACAGAGTATGATGGAACCTTGCGAAAGAGAAACTAACACAATGATCTGATTCAAGGTCACATCCACCCTGTACCAATCCTCAGGGCAATTAAGGTGAATCATTTCAACAGGTTGTAAAAGAGGAAACGCTGACTAAGTTATGATTAAACAATAATACGAGGGGACGGAGAACTGAAATAGGGCCATTAGCTATTGAGAGAATTTAAACACGGACGCCAAGTGGTGATACAGAATACAGACCAGCGCAGGCAGCCTCACACGCAGGGGAGGGGGGCGGCCAGCGCAGGCAGCCTCACACGCAGGGGAGGAGGGCGGCCAGCGCAGGCAGCCTCACACGCAGGGGAGGAGGGCGGCCAGCGCAGGCAGCCTCACACGCAGGGGAGGAGGGCGGCCAGCGCAGGCAGCCTCACACGCAGGGGAGGGGGGCGGCCAGCGCAGGCAGCCTCACACGCAGGGGAAGGGGGCGGCCAGCGCAGGCAGCCTCACACGCAGGGGAAGAGGGCGGCCAGCGCAGGCAGCCTCACACGCAGGGGAAGAGGGCGGCCAGCGCAGGCAGCCTCACACGCAGGGGAAGAGGGCGGCCAGCGCAGGCAGCCTCACACGCAGGGGAAGAGGGCGGCCAGCGCAGACAGCCTCACACGCAGGGGAAGAGGGCAGCGCAGACAGCCTCACACGCAGGGGAAGAGGGCGGCCAGCGCAGACAGCCTCACACGCAGGGGACACATTACGGTCAGGAGTCCTAGTTTAAAACATGTTCATACCAGAGAAGACATTTTTGAAAGCTCACTGAAGGAAGGCCTAGAATTGGCCATATCACAGGAAGGCCTATAGAGACTTATCTCAGCCTTCCATTACAGAACAAGAGCCCAGCCATATCCTCTTGAGTAAATACAGTCAGATTGCACAATAATTTCCTGTCTGGGAGAAACAGTCTTACACCAATTACATTAAACATAATATACACAATAAATAATAAATACAGCAAATATTGTACAGGGGGACAGGGTGATATTGGGGGTTCAGCCCCTGGGTGAAGGGGCTTGGGGGTCTATATTTATATGTAATATTCTATGAAGGAAGAGAGATGTTTACCCCAATTACAGGGACCCTGTGTGATAATTGGGGTACAGACCAGGATGAGGGTTAAAAGAAGGGGTGCACACACTAAGTGGGGTGTCTACATTTGATCCCCAAATTAGAGGGGCGCACAGGGGGTCCTTATCAAGACCCCCAACAGCACAGGAGATGGGAGTAAGCCAGACCCCCTACTGGGGTACAGGGGCCCCCCAATGAGCAATACCCCCCACTGGGCCCCCACACCCCGCAAGGCCTGCAGCTCCTTACCCAGGTAAATGTCTCCAAACGAGCCGCTGCCGATCTTGCGGCCTAGCCGGTACCGGTTCCCCACTCTGAGCTCCATGTCCCCGCTCAGGCCCTCTCCTTCTCCCCGCAATCAGCTTCCGTCCCCCGGCGCACTTTTCACCATCGGTTCCCAGGTGTCATCGGTGACCAGAGTCCACAATATGGGGCTGGGGTGACAGTGCGGAGCCTGCTCTGGGTGTCCCCGCCTCTCTCGCCGTCCGCCGCCGCTCCCAGCGGGAGGATTACAGCGGATTATACCCGAGTCTCCTCCGCTCCCGGTAAACAAGCCCGAGAAAGGCTGTCAGCTAGTGCTCGTGACGTCACTCCACCTAGCAACAAGCTGAGATGCGATGGGTGGAGCTAGAGATCACATGACTACTCCCCCTCCCCGGAACAGCCACCAAATGATGGGCCCCCATGCGGCCATGTTTGGGTATTGCAGGTTCCAGCTGTGTGAGGGTGGATACACTGTAACTGGGAGATACAAATAGTGACACTCTGCCTCCTTAATGTCCACATTTTGGGCTCTGGTCCTCCTGTCCTGATTTTGTTCCCAGTCAGCAACGCGACAGCTCATAATTAGTAGCACTCACACTCCGCTGAGGACACTAGGTCTACACAGAGAGCATCATTAGGAGCACTCACACTCCGCTGAGGACACTAGGTCTACACAGAGAGCATCATTAGGAGCACTCACACTCCGCTGAGGACACTAGGATTATGCAGACAGCATTATTAGTAGCAATCACACTCTAATGAGGACACTAGGTCTATGCAGACAGCATCATTAGTAGAACTCACACCCCGCTGAGGACACTAGGTCTACACAGCAAGCAGCATTAGTAGCACTCACACTCCGCTGAGGACGCTAGCTCTACACAGTGAACATCATTAGTCACATTCCACTGAGGACACTAGGTCTATGCAGACAGCATCATTAGGAGCACTCACATTCCGCTGAGGACACTAGGTCTATGCAGAGAGGATAATTTTGAGCACTCACACTCCGCTGAGGTCACTAGGTCTACGCAGTGAAGAACATTAGGAGCACTCACACTCCGCTGAGGACACTAGGATTATGCAGACAGCATTATTAGTAGCACTCACACTCTACTGAGGACACTAGGTCTATGCAGACAGCATTATTAGTAGCACTCACACCCCGCTGAGGACACTAGGTCTACACAGCAAGCAGCATTAGTAGCACTCACACTCCGCTGAGGACACTAGGACTACGCAGACAGCATCATTAGTAGCACTCACACTCGGCTGAGGACGCTAGCTCTACGGAGTGAACATCATTAGTCACATTCCGCTGAGGACACTAGGTCTACACAGACAGAATCATTAGTCAATTACTCTGCTGAGGACACTAGGTCTACGCAGACAGCATCATTAGGAGCACTCACACTCCACTGAGGACACTAGGTCTACACAGACAGCATCATTAGGCACACTCACACTCCACTGAGGACACTAGGTCTATGCAGTGAAGATCATTAGGAGCACTCACACTCCACTGAGGACACTAGGTCTACACAGACAGCATCATTAGGCACACTCACACTCCACTGAGAACACTAGTTCTACGCAGAGAGCATCATTAAGAGCATTCACATTCTGCTGAGGACACTAGGTCTACGCAGAGAGGATAATTATGAGCACTTACACTCCGCTGAGGACACTAGGTCTATGCAGACAGGATCATTAGGAGCACTCACACTCCGCTGAGGGCATTAGATCTACGCAGAGAGGATTATTAGGAGCACTCACACTCCGCTGAGGAAACTAGGTCTATGCAGACAGGATCATTAGGAGCACTCACACTCCGCTGAGGGCATTAGATCTACGCAGAGAGGATTATTTGGAGCACTCACACTCCACTGAGGACACTAGGTCTACACAGTGAGCATCATTATGAGCACTCACAATCCGCTGAGGACACTAAGACTATGCAGAGAGCATCATAAAGGGCGCTCACACTCCACTGAGGACACTAGGTCTACGCAGACAGCATCATTAGGAGCACTCACACTCCACTGAGGACACTAGGTCTACACAGACAGCATCATTAGGCACACTCACACTCCACTGAGGACACTAGGTCTATGCAGTGAAGATCATTAGGAGCACTCACACTCCACTGAGGACACTAGGTCTACACAGACAGCATCATTAGGCACACTCACACTCCACTGAGAACACTAGTTCTACGCAGAGAGCATCATTAAGAGCATTCACATTCTGCTGAGGACACTAGGTCTACGCAGAGAGGATAATTATGAGCACTTACACTCCGCTGAGGACACTAGGTCTATGCAGACAGGATCATAAGGAGCACTCACACTCCGCTGAGGGCATTAGATCTACGCAGAGAGGATTATTAGGAGCACTCACACTCCGCTGAGGAAACTAGGTCTATGCAGACAGGATCATTAGGAGCACTCACACTCCGCTGAGGGCATTAGATCTACGCAGAGAGGATTATTTGGAGCACTCACACTCCACTGAGGACACTAGGTCTACACAGTGAGCATCATTATGAGCACTCACAATCCGCTGAGGACACTAAGACTATGCAGAGAGCATCATAAAGGGCGCTCACACTCCACTGAGGACACTAGGTCTACACAGAGAGTATCATTAGGAGCACTCACACTCCGCTGAGGACACTAGGTCTACACAGAGAGTATCATTAGGAGCACTCACACTCCGCTGAGGATACTAGAACTATGCAGACAGCATCTTTAGGAGCACTCATTCTCAGGGGTGTATTTATGTTGAGTGTCAGTGTATTTGAATGCAGTGTCGATTATCAGTATGCATGAAGGAACAAGTGTATTTATGTGGAGTGTCTGTGTGCGTAAATGCAGAAGTGTATTTATTTGGAGTATTAATGTGTGAATGCAGAGGAGTATTTACACTGAACAAAATTATAAACGCAACACTTTTGTTTTTGCCCCCATTTTTAATGAGCTGAACTCAAAGATCTAAGACTTTTTCTATGTACACAAAATGCTTATATCTCTCAAATATTGTTCACAAATCTGTCTAAATCTGTTTTAGTGAGCACTTCTCCTTTGCCAAGATAATCCATCCACCTCACAGGTGTGGCATATCAAGATGCTGATTAGACAGCATGATTATTGTATAGGTGTGCCTTAGGCAGGCCACAATAAAAGGCCACTCTAAAATATGCAGTTTTATCACACAGCACAATGCAACAGATGTCACAAGTTTTGAGGGAGCGTGCAATTGGCATGCTGACTGCAGGAAAGTCCACCAGAGCTGTTGCCCATGAATTGAATGTTAATTTCCCTACTATAAGGAGTTTCAGAGAATTTGGCAGTACATCCAACCGGCCTCACAACTGCAGACCACGTGTAACCACACCAGGACCTCCACATCCAGCATCTTCACCTCCAAGATTGTCTGAAACCAGCCACCCGGACAGCAGGGCAAAAACAAAAGTGTTGCATTTATACTTTTGTTCAGTGTATGTGAAATGTCAGTGTCTGTGAATGTAAAATGTATTTATGTGGCATGTATGTTGTGTGTCAGTGCGTGTGTGAATGCAGGGGTGTATGAATGTGGAGTGTCAGTGTGTGTGTGAATGCAGGCGTGTAAGAAAGTTGATTGACAGTGTGTGTGAATGCAGAGGTGTATGAATGTTGAGTGTCAGTGTGTGTGAATGCAGGGGTGTATGAATGTGGAGTGTCAATGCATGTGTGAATGCAGGGGTGTATGAATGTTGAGTGTCAGTGTGTGTGAATGCGGGGGTGGATGAATGTGGAGTGTCAGTGTGTGTGAATGCAGGGGTGTATGAATATGGAGTGTCAGTGCGTGTGTGAATGCAGGGGTGTAAGAAAGTTGATTGTCAGTGTGTGTGAATGCAGAGGTGTATGAATGTGGAGTGTCAGTGCATGTGTGATGCAGGGGTGTATGTCAGTGCGTGTGATGCAGGGGTGAGTGTCTGTGTGTGTGAATGCAGGGGTGTATGAATGTGGAGTGTCAGTGTGTGTGAATGCAGGGGTGTATGAATGTGGAGTGTCAGTGCGTGTGTGAATGCATGGGTTTATGAATGTGGAGTGTCAGTGCGTGTGAATGCAGGGGTGTATGAATGTGGTGTGTCAGTGCGTGTGTGGGAATGCCGGGGTGTAAGAATGTTGAGTGTCAGTGCATGTGTGAATGCAGGGGTGTATGAATGTTGAGTGTCAGTGTGTGTGAATGCAGGGGTGTATGAATGTGGAGTGTCAGTGCGTGTGTGAGTGCAGGGGTGTATGAATGTTGAGTGATATGGCATTTGTGAATGCAAGGGTGTAGAATAATGGAGTGTCAGTGCATGTGTGAATGCAGGGGTGTATGAATGTAGGTGTCTGTGTGTGTGAATGCAGGGGTGTATGGATGTGGAGTGTCAGTGTGTGTGAATGCAGGGGTGTATGAATGTGGAGTGTCAGTGCGTGTGTGGGAATTCAGGGGTGTAAGAATGTTGATTGTCAGTGTGTGTGAATACAGAGGTGTGCGAATGCAGGGGTGTATGAATGTTGAGTGTCAGTGTGTGTGAATGCAGGGGTGTATGAATGTGGAGTGTCAGTGCATGTGTGAATGCAGGGGTGTATGAATTTTGAGTGATATGGCATTTGTGAATGCAGGGGTGTAGGAATGTGGAGTGTCAGTGCATGTGTGAATGCAGGGGTGTATGAATGTGGAGTGTCAGTGTGTGTGAATGCAGGGGTGTATGAATGTGGAGTGTCAGTGTGTGTGAATGCAGGGGTGTATGAATGTGGAGTGTCAGTGTGTGTGAATGCAGAGGTGTATGAATGTGGAGTGTCAGTGTGTGTGAATGCAGGGGTGTATGAATGTGGAGTGTCAGTGTGTGTGAATGCAGAGGTGTATGAATGTGGAGTGTCAGTGTGTGTGAATGCAGGGGTGTATGGATGTGGAGTGTCAGTGTGTGTGTGGGAATGCAGGGGTGTAAGAATGTTGATTGTCAGTGTGTGTGAATGCAGAGGTGTGTGAATGCAGGGGTGTATGAATTTGAGTGTCAGTGTGTGTGAATACAGAAGTGAAGTTATGTAGAATGTCAATTATTGCGTTATGATCTCTTTTATGTATGGTTCTGCTTCTTTGTGATGGATTTTAGTTTTTTTTCTTTGTCTTTCTCGTGTTTTCTATTATATAATAAAAATATATGGGTGCTGTACTGCATGCCTGGTGTATTTTTCTGTATTTGTGCACTAATATTTAAATAAATATATTGCTTTAAAATGGCAGCAGCTCAGTGGCTCTTAAACATTTTTGACAGCAACCCAAATTCTGTCCATAGTATCAGCTGGGAGACGTGTTCTGTCACAGCAAAATTGATGGGAAATTAAATGTATCAAACTCATACGAAACAGGAGTTAACTGTATGTTACACATTGAATAAAACAGAAGACGGACGTCCTCAAAGGCGGGAGAGGAGTCCCAGCAATGAAAACACCTGTCTTACTTTTTGGAGGGTGGACATAACAAGCAATTGTTATATTTTGGACTATAGGTTCCCTTTAAGGTAAATTATATTTGATGAAAGCCTGCAAACAGCATATTTTAACTTGTTATACATGTTGCTGCTCAAACTTAAGATGTGGTAGTCCTGCCTAATTTACCATTCAGATTTCAGTTATCTACAATTCTCTACACCAGAGGTGCCCAAAAGGCGGAACCCAAGATGTTCTAAAGCTACAGCTTCCATGACGCTTTGTCTTTCCAATGGCACACAAGCATCAAAGGAGTTGTAGTTCTGCAACATCTGGGGATCTACCTTTTGGGCACCCCTGCTCTACACAATATAAAATCATGCTAGTGAGGAAACCCCAAGCTAAAAATCTTTGTGGTGGAGGAAGCAGGGACCTGGCCAGGCTTTTTTTTTTACTGTTTGCTGGAGCCCAGTGTGGCTATTCTCACACCACCCGAGGTGGCACCTAAAATGCAGCTAAATTAACAGCTAACCCAGCCCAGCAAAATGTTTAACTACAAAATCTGCCCTAATCTCTGGACAAACACAATTCATGCCGGGCCCTGATTGGCCATCTATAAGACATAAAGCTGTTCAATCAATATATGCATTTAAATCGTGTTATTCCTTATAAGTCTTTAGATTTAATGATTAAAATGTTTTATATTGAATTAGTCTTCCATTTGGCTGATGAGCTAATGCATTCATTACTATTGAGGGTTAATCCTTCCATTGCACATGCACTTGGCATGAGGGTCTGTCATCCTTCTAATACCCACCCACTCAGCATAAGGGAAACCTCCCAATAAAGCCCACTTGGCACAGAGAACCATTTGGCATAGCAGGGATAAGCACAATGGCTTACTGTGGGAAATCTTAATTGAGATTCTTTTGTGCTCTTCCTTATTTATATTCATGAGCCAAGGAAGGAGAGATTAATTCGATGTTAAATGAAGAAGGAACTATCGGGTTGAAGAGCGAAGGAATAATGTGAGCCACAGATTTAATAATAATCAGACAAATATATTCACAGAGTAGATAAACTACCTGCTTCACTCATCTGTCCCGATAAAAGATCAGGTGTGGCCCGCAATGAAACCACAAAAAAAAAAAAAAGGTTTTTGGTGTGTATTTTCTAGTTATCCCGGTTTAGGAACGTCAGACCTTAACTTGGGCCCAAACCTCTCTCTATCCTAATGTTCCTCTATTCTAGAAGCTTGGTGTGTCTGAGTGTAGAACATAGCTTCAGAGCAATGAGTCACAGTAATCGGTCATAAAAGGGGCACTTTATAAACCATGACAATTAAATGCCACTGTAGTGGTTATGATGTCAGCACCCCTGTTACAGCCTCCCAGTTTTGGGTGATAGTGTTTTGGAGTGGTCTGACACAAAATCTTGCAAGTATCTGTGGCCTTGCCAAGCAGGAAATAAATTCTCCAACTATTTGTCCAGGTCAAGTTATTTTGCCTAAAATCTGCTTTGCCCCCCAGCTTCAGAGTCCGCTATGAAAGTGACCACAGGTGTATATATTGTGACGGACCGCCTGGCACCCCGACTGGGTAACTGTCAATCGCTGCTTCCTAGTACTCCTTACGAGCACCATAAGTACTGTAAACCCCACAAAACCGCCGCAGCTTGATTGGGGTCTCGCTGTCCTCCACCCTCCCTGGACCCAAGACCAAGATCCAGCTTCCAGTGGGTAGACCTCTCCTAGTCCAGAGAGCAAAGCAGGCTGCTCTTACAAGAGCAAATGTTGTGATCCAAGGGAGTATAGTGATTATAGCAATCCCCAGATTGTGAATATATCTCTCCAATCCCCCAAACATGAGCCTAGACTTCATGAAGGGTAAAACAAATCTCTTTAATGGCAGCCACAACTGGCATTATATGCAGGTTTGTGCGGCTGTTCGGTTCCTGAACCGAATATAAAATCCCACGAACCAAGTCTGTTCACATATTTTTTTTTTAAAGGGCCCATAGTCTTTTGGTAAGAGGCTAGCCAGCAAGCCCCTCCAAGAACACGTGACGAGGCTCAGTTTGTCACATATATCTATGAGTTTTTGAATAGTAATGTAATTTTTGTTATAACCTTAAATTTAGTGCATATATAATGTGCCTTGTGAGTATACTCATCCAAGAATTAAAATCTTATTTAGCACTAGCAGTATTTAATTTGTCTCCCATATTTGGAATGAGTGTAGCGTAGGACCGATATTGGGGTACTATGAAGTAGTGGTGGGCTTAACACAGTATGGCCATATGGCAAAGCTGAATCCCCATATTTGTTTTCTTATATAGGTGGTTTTAAGTAGCCTGATAAGATTTATAAATGTATTTTGTATGTGTGCGCTGTAACTTAATTTGTATTGTGTGTGAATATTGGCCAAATGCATGTTCCGGGTGTGCCCCCAATCCTTTTTGTCTTTGCTACTCGAATATTAATAGTTATACAGCTGAAGAAACAATAGTGTTTACTCACTAAATGGTGAATTGCAATGAATTTAAAACCAAACTGATGGATTTTGGGTAAAATATTTACTGTGACTATAGCGGAGTTGGATAATTGTTCTAAACAATTGCCTAAATGTGATTTTCAATTCATGGTTTAATGAGAAAACTCCTTAGTTTCCCTACTCCTGTTAAAGAAACATGTAGTTAATAAATATCTTTCAACTGAGGGTAAGGGGCTTTGAACATCTCTATAACAATAGCACGTTAACAAACAGACAGAAGCGCTGAAGCAGATGGTATGTTTTTAATCAATCCTCCAACCATGATACAAGTAATTTACATTGGACCCAAATCATTAAATCACGCATATTTTACCAAAAATAATAAACCAACACATTTTAGTTTTGTGATATTTTTTGGTTCCATGTAGGTTCCTAGAAAAAGAAAAAGAAAATAAAAAAAAACCCTGAAAAAGTGCCTGAGAAATCAAAGTTCTGAAGTCCTTAATAATAGTATCTACAAAAAAAACAATAACCCTTAAAACTTCCTTCTTATGCACACAAAATTACAAAACTATACGGTCAACCATACTGACTACACGTTGGAGTGAATAAAAATGACTTCTCGTATACGCTTGTAGTCTGTTCTTGTCCAAATGCATTTCAGCGTCCATCCAATGCTTTGTCCCGAATGATTACTGACTCATCAAATTTAATCATAAGAGTGGTTCCCTTGTGCCAGTGCGCTGTCACTTTAGCAGGAAAACCGCTACAGGTCAGTAGCGACTCCACAATACCAGCTGTAAACGAAGCACAGTTTAACGTGCTGTTCTCTTTTGGGACAGATATATAGGAATTTATAAGAGGCTCCTTCTCTATAATGTAGTAGGTTTTATCATCATCGTTTGCCTGCTCTAGCTTATCTGCTTCCTTTCCGAAAAGTGCTTTCCAAGCATTGACCTTTATGAAAAGGAGGGCGCTTATCACCTTCGTCTCACGTTTCCCATTCTTTTCACGCATAACCAACGGGTCAAGGATGCGACATCCTACTTGTTGGCCGAGCTCTGACAGTTTGGTCTGTAGCTCAGACACGGAGTACACACGGTTCTGACAGTACTGAACTATTTCAGAGAAGAGCAGAGCAAAAGCACTGAGGCTCACTTCAGTTTTCGGCCGGGCCAATGAGCGCTCCAAAATGGTTGACTTTCCTCTGCTAAAGCGGGAATCCATGACCTGCACAAAAACAAGAAAGTTTAACTCCTAAGTCACATTAATAAAAAAAAATAAAAAAAAATTTGGCTGGTGTAAATAGTCTCCGCGAACAATGGAACTCACAACATACTTTAATGTAAAAAGCCTAGTATCAAATATTATACATTTAACAGTATCTGGTAATGTTAAATCATTTTTTTTTAAATATGAAAGTTAAATGTATAATTGTATGTCTGCAAATGTATAACTGAAGACTTTCAGAACAAGGGTTTTTCTTACCTCCTGGTGAAAGTAAGTCTACATAGTCAATGGAATAAAGATCACATTAAACTGCTTAATACACATTGCTTACTATCAATTAGTTTTATTCCTCCCAGCCTGATTACAGAGGACATTTTCTCTTCCAGGGCGTTACACCGAAGTAAAGCTTACCCTACATCTAATCCATGCCCACAAATGTGTGAGGGCTGTAACATCACAAGTGAGATGTCACTGTCCATTCCTCTCTTCTCAACCCTGCAGTTTGTACATTAGTTTAGGGATGATTTTTTAGAGCCGATACCGATATTCTGTGAACTTTCAGGCCGATAGCCGATATAATTTGCCGATATTCTGTACATTTACCATTTTGGAAAATAAAAACTATATCTAAAGATAAATGCACAAAATATACATGCCAAGTGTAGTGGATGCAGTGTGTATTAGTGTAGTGTGTATATAATGAAAGCAAAGTGTTTGTGTAGTGTGTGGGTAGTGTGCGTAAAGTGAATGCAGTATTTACTAAATGCAAAGTGTGTGTGTTTGTGTAGTGTATATAATGAATGTAGTGTGTGTGTGTTTGTATAGTGTGCATTATATAAACACACTATGCAAACACACACAGCATTAATTATATACACACACTACATTATATACGCACACTACACACACACTGCATTATACACACACACACACACACACTACACAAACACTGCATTGTATACACACACTGCGTTATAGACACACACTGCATTACATACGCACACTACACAAACACTGCATTGTATACACACTACACACACACTGCATTATATACACAGTGTGTTTGTGTAGTGTGTGTGTGTATATAATGCAGAGTGTGTGTATATAATGTAGTGTGTAGTGTGTTTGTATATAATGCAGTGTGCTTGTATAGTGTGTATATAATGCAGTGTGTTTGTATAGTGTGTGTATATAATGCAGTGTGTGTTTGTATAGTGTGTATATATAATTCAGTGTGTTTGTATAGTGTGTATATATAATGCAGTGTGTTTGTGTAGTGTGCATTATATAAACACACTACACAAACACTGCATTATATACACACACACTATACAAACACACACTATACAAACACACACTGCGTTTGTGTAGTGTATGTGTATGTGTATATAATGGAGTGTGTGTGTGTGAGGGGGGCATTTTTTATCACATTTTTTTAATATATATATATATATATTTAATTATTTATTTTTGTTGTCCCTCCTCCCTGTTTCATACCTGGCCAGAGAGGGGGGATATAGCAGTCCCTGGTGGTCCAGTGGTATTGGCTCACCTCCCAGCAGCTCCTTCAGCTCTCCAGTGTAACTCTCGCGGCCAGCGTGCTGCGCGGATCGTTGCCATGGTATCCCATGGCAACGCTCGGACGGCCGCGGGTCACGCGAGAGTTACACTGGGGAGCTGCTGTGAGGTGTGTAAGCGCTTGCTGCCCGCCCCCCCAGGACCGCCGGGCTTGTAATGAGCCTGGCGGTCCTAGGAAGTATTATCGGAACTATCGGTATCTGAATTGGCCGATACCAATATTGGCGAAAATACCGAATATCGGCCGATTATATCGGTAAAACCGATAATCGGTCGATCCCTACATTAGTTACCTCCGAATATTCTAAAGGGTCAAAAATGGACACTTCAATTTTAGGGGTATGAGCGGCCAAGGAAATTTAAGGGGACTTCCTAATAATTTAAAGAACTAAAATGTAATTTAGATTTTAGAATACGAACAATGTATCTTATTTACACAGACTGATTTTGAAACACATTTATTGTAATTTAAAGACATATCACTGGGAGTATTATTACTGTAGAGCTCTGTTATACACTCAGACACATTACTAGGCGTATTATTGCTGTGGAGCTCTGATGTACTCAGACACATTACTGGGAGTATTATTGCTGTGGAGCTCTGTTATACACTCGGACACATTACTGGGCGTATTATTGCTGTGGAGCTCTGATATACTCAGACACATTACTGGGAGTATTATTACTGTGGAGCTCTGGTATACACTCAGACACATTACTGGGAGTATTATTGCTGTGGGGCTTTGTTATACACTCAGACACATTACCGGGAGTATTATTGCTGTGGAGCCCTGTTATACACTAAGACACATTACCGGGAGTATTATTGCTGTGAAGCTCTGGTATACACTCAGACACATTACTGGGAGTATTATTGCTGTGGGGCTTTGTTATACACTCAGACACATTACCGGGAGTATTATTACTGTGGAGCTCTGGTATACACTCAGACACATTACTGGGAGTATTGTTACTGAGGAGCTCTGGTATATACTCAGACACAATATGGAGCTCCTAGAAAGAAAGACAAATTGACATTAGGATAGGAAAGAGGGACAGAGGTATTTGGACCCAGAATAGGGACTGTCCCTTGTAAGCAGGGCCGCTTGGGTGGTATGGATGGAGTAATGTTAATGCTGTCTGCCCTGATTCAGGCAGTGCCAGCCATGGAGCCGGTTTACCTGTAATGCTTAGGGATAATGATGGCAGCCTGCTGCTGCTGTGTTAATACAAGGTGTGGTGGTCGGCCAGTGCTGCCTGATTACAGGCAGTGGGGTCGGTTTGTGGCTTATTTACCGCACAGACACCCCCATTACCGGCTATTTATCAACATTACGACAATAATAACCAGAACCAACCTCTCTGCTGCTCTCCAGACCCGGAACACAGCCTGTGACGTCACCACGCTGCGTCTGTCACACCGGCGACGTCATCTTCTATCGACCCACAAGGGGCCTTCTGCGATGGAACGAGGCGTGGAACGCAAGCACTTGCGTGTGTCCATTTTGTCCATGCGTTCCACAGGAAGATTAGCCTCTTTTTTTTTTTTTTTTTGAAAACAAATAAATATTTTTTCTCCCCAGGATGGGGTTATGTTTAAATGTCATTTAAAGGAATGTGAACTTATAAATTGTTTCTCAGTCGTCTGCATTAAAATTTTTCAGTCACAATACTGGCCAAGCTGCTGGAGGGGGAATGGGGCAGGTTGTCAGGTTAATAGGAGCACATTGTGAGGCTGAATATAAATGAGGGGACTGAACTCTGTGGATTGGGGAAACAGATAACTGATACATTTGGCCAATCTCCATAATTTTACTGAAATAAAACCCCTTTGGCAATGCAATCACAACTGAGACTCAAAAATGTGCAAAGTGAATTCAAACTGAAATACGCACTAAATGGCTTTATTTTCTAAACTCCACATTGTAGGGAACTGAAATCTGAATGGCAAAATAATAAATTTAAATGAATTGAAGCAATTTGGTTGTCAGGTCATTACAATTCATTGTACCTTGAATAAACCCAGGTGTACTTTTCTAATCAGTCAGTATGTGAAATTTAAACATAAAACTAAGCTTCTATATCTATATCGCATCTATATATCTATATACAAGGAGATAAATATATATCTATATTTTCCTTCCTTCTTTAAAGGGTTACTCCAACCATTATAACCACTATAGCCCGCTGTAGTAGTTATGATGCCAGGACTACCCCGGCCCTGTTCACCGGTTATCGGGCAAATACATTTAGCAACTGTTTGCCCCCTTACTTGGGTCTACGCCGGGCTTGCCCTCTGACCTGGGATTACGCCTGGTGGTTTGGTGACGTGCTTCTGCTGAGCCACAAAAGCGGGGAGCTGCCCTCAGCCAATGAATGCAATTTGGTGCAATGAAAGTTGTACAGAATTTACATTAGCCAAACCGGTAACACAATGACACTGCCGGAAGTGGCGTTACACCTCCGTCAGTGACGGGTTAAACTCTGTACGTGCAGTGTTTTATGCTAAATTTTGCACATACAGACTCCAGGCACCATAACCACTTCAAACGGCTGAAGTGATCATGGTGCTTGGAGTATCCCTTTAATAATGAATATTTAACTACCGGTATATTTAAAAATCAGTAGATACACCTGTACAAATAGTGTAGACTAATAAATTTATTAAAATCAAGTAAAATCGATGTGTGTTAAATATATATATATATATATATATATATATATATTACAAATGCTAAAATGTAAAAGAACATAAATGCCCAATTAAATCAAAAGGATTGAAGACAATACATTTCGGAAGAAATATATTTACATATTTATTTTGTGTAAAAAAAATTAAATTTATTGAAATACATAAAAGGTACATTTGTTATTTTTCACATTCATGCTTTAAACAATTCTTCAAACTTAATTATTTACATAAGGAAATCAATCCCCATTAATAACCACACCTGGAAAATAGGATTGACTATATACATATATCAATTTATATTTCAAATACATACAATACCAATGTAAAAATGAACTATATTTTATGTTTACTATTCTCTGTATTCTTTAAAAAAGCACTTTATGTAGATTTCTTTTGCCATAACGAGAAACTGCTGGTCTATTGAAGTATGAAAATTAAATAAAAGAATTAATCACAGTATTTAAAATAATTAAAGGATCTTTGCAAGGAGTATTTAGCACCATATATATAGGGTCAAGGGGTAATTATATTACACAAAGGAAAGGCAAAAAAATAAAAAAAACCCACAAACACTTAACTAAAAAAAACAAAAAACAACGAAACAAACATGAATGCAATATATGTAAAATATATGTATATATTTAAATCTACGTTATGCCCTCCTGATAATTTTCCATGCCAGAAAATGCATGTCATTAAAAGTCAGTCATTCAAAAAAATAATGATTTGTGCTAAAAGCAAGAGGTGTAAACGGCAAATCTACATATTAAAATTAAAGTTAACACTTTAAAAATCGTCCTAATTACTTAGCCTATAATCATTTCTATGGTTATTTTTGCAGTCGCTTCATATTTTAGGGTTTATTAATGGAAAATAAATCTGCTGATTCGCCCCATGCATTACATTAACATGCTATCTGATTTAGATTATCTTAAATGTAGAGTAGGAATTCCAGAAAGGCTCTTGGAAATTAAAGAGATTTTCTTCACGCCAAAAAAAAACAACAAAACTTAAAATACCACCTACAAACTAAGGAGTGGTACATAAAAAGTGCTCCCACACAATACGTGAGACGTCTTATGATCCAGGGAAGAAAACAGTTTATCAAGGAGTTATCTTGATGAATTAACTGCCTTCCCAACTGCAGAATACGAATCCTACATACTACAGGTAGCATTTTTCATGTGGCACCCATTACCTAGTAAATGTAATATGTACCTAGAAACATTTGGTGCATTTGGGAACTATAGTAGTAGTGCTCCGTTTGTGAGATACTACTTCCCCAGGTCCGGCAGGGAAAATTTCCCCTGCAATAGGCCTCTGATTTTTTTCTCTTGAAGTCCCAAATGTATAATGCTCACATGAAATCATATGACATGGATTTGGCGTCTCTGTACGCAAGGAACCATGGGAAATCAAAGGTGTAGCTCTGCGTTCTAGTAAGTCTACAAGGGTTCTGAGTGTTCGTAAGGTCACAGTCTGCACATTTTCTTTCTGTGTGTAATTACAAATCTCTGGGTTTTTTACTAAAGAATGAACTGTCTAAAATTCAAAGAGTATTTCAAACGTTAAGGATAAAATATTTAAACTGAAGACGTAGGTCACTTCAAATGTTTTGAATTCAACTACTTTGTCCAACAATTTGAAATTCACTTTTAAATCCAACCAATCAACACTTTAGTTCAGCGAATAATCCAGGGTCGAGAACTGTTGCAAGTCTGATAGTTCCCCTTTAAACTTCATTATTAGAACTATTTTCTTCCTCTGTAGAATATATACATACATACAAACCAATTGGGGAGAGCATCATTCTCTCTAGATTTTATATTCCAAGTCTTCTCTCTTATTGTATCTATTAGCTATAACTATTAACTGGGGCAAAATGGGTACATAACGAAACCCGACAAAAGATTATTCAATAAAATGCATATTACAGATCTGAACTGAAGTTAGCTGAATTGGATTTAAAAAATGTTTTTAAATCACTTTGAATTCCTAAAAATTCACAGTTTATTGAATAACCCTGACAGCTGTTTATTTTTTTCCATTTTCCAGAAAATAGTTTTAGTATCTGGTAAAATGGGTAATCGGATCATCTGCATGTTGCATAAAATAATCCCAAAGTTTTTATACCTCCTGGAGAAACACTACACCATTTGGATAGCCGATTGGCACGATTACATAAATGCAATATTTTTACTATTGCAAAACTGCCATTTTTTCATTGTATTGCATTGTGAATCTAGAATACCAAAGCATTAAAATATGTAATGCATACATCATAAACGTACTTTGCACATCATTAAAGCCATACTACCGAAAAATAACAAGAAACCTACTGACTCCAGAGCGTGGCCTAGCAGGCACAGGCAACCTGCCGCACTCCAGATGTTCTGAACTACATCTCCCCTGATGCATTATGGGAGATGTAGTCTACAACATCTGAAGTGCAAACGCTGCAGGACATTAACATCAGTTTGATAGAAACACAGGGAGATGCAGAGAAATCATTTGAATAAACTTTATTGCCACAGGTTTTGTTCTGAAATTTTACTAAAAATACAAGTTCCAAACGGTTTACTTACGCATGTTATATACATCTATACACACACAAAATATTATACATTTTTCCTGAGAATTCATTGAACACATCTAATAGAAACCCGAACAGGGAGGTTTGCTAAAGATCATTACATTTTTTAATAAAATGTCTCCCAAATTTATACAAGTTAATATAAAAGCATTGTCTTTATGCTAATAAAACAAATTTGAATTCACTGTTGCCTCTGAGAGGTCTTGACATTTTCATTTAGTCTGTTTTGGGTACTATGACTCTAAAAACACACATGACATTCTACATAGGATTAAAAACAAGTCGTATTTCTATATAAACACTTCAGTAGAGATTAGGTATTGCGTTCCCCGATCAATGAGGACATTTGGCACCAGGAAACTAAAATAGATGCATACTCCTAATTGCTTGTCTCTCCATCTTAAAAGGAAACTCTCGATCCGGGAGAGCTGAGCTTACACATCACTGTAAAAAATATTTTTAAAAAATGGGCAAACCCTGTCTAAGCCGTTTTGCACATATACAGCCAGATTACTGTAATTAGAGCAAAGGATTTTTTTATACGCAGCAAAAGTGATCATCCTTTGTAGGACGCACTGCTGAGAACTGGCTGAGAATGATGGTCAATGCAGTCCAGTCTGGATTGCAGAAAGCTGTCTACCCATGCAACAGTGTATGCAACTATCTCTAATGATGACAATTTAAACAGATCTTACAGGACATTTTGCTAATCTAATGCAGCACCATTTCAAAGAAGCCATTTTGTTTCTTGCCATTTAAAAAACATCCCTCGTAACTGGATACAATCACAGCTCTATTGGACAGAATATAAATCTAGCAATAACCGTGAACTTTTACTGAAAAATATTTGCAAACTTTAAAATATACATTTATATATGCAATGCCGTTTTAGAGGCAAATTCAATTTGCAAAATACTTTCTTTTTTTGTGTCAACGTTGATGTTACTATTAAACACCATTATCACGTTTTGTAGGATTTTAATGATTTACTAAACTACATTTATTGTCTGATGATATTTCAGGTTTTACTCGTTGAGCAGCAGATATGAATCGGACAAAAGGATTATAGGATTATATTACATATGACAAATAAACAATCTTCCTTTATTTTATTATTTTTTTTTTTTACAAATATATAGTACAATTTCTCTTGATAGAATATGTAGTAGTACAAGAGTCATTTAGTTAATAATTCTGCTTTTTAATTATTATTTTTTTTTTAAGAACTTTTTTTTTTTTTTTTACCATAATTTAGGTAAAAAAATTTCTCTTAATCTGCCCTGTAAACTTGACAGATCTTACTAGTATAAATATTTATTTACACTAATGCGAGACAGCGGGATTTAGAGTTAGACCATAAACTCTGAATTGTAATAAATTGAAACCCGTACCTGAATTAGATAAATTGTTAATTTCTGCTTTAGTCACAATTTGTTTATTTTTGTATAAATTCTGCCCTTTGGATTTTTCAGAGTATAGTGAATCAACTTCATTGTGTGCCGTACTACGGCAACAAAATGACTATAACTTCTTGAACAAAGCATTAAAACACTCCAAAGTTATTTTGTAAATAGCAGGCACATATACAATTCCGCAAACTGTTAAGTACTAAATAATTACAACAAACAACAAGGGAGCAAGTGCAAGATTACTGTGCCACACATATTGCATAGCGTCCAACCCCATAAATAACGGAACGCTATGTGGAAACGCCAGCATATTGTATCCCGGTTTAAACGTATACCTAATCTGAACAAGTTTACTCTCCTTCAATTTATATATATATATGCAAAAATCTAAAAAACTTAATAATGTATAATTGTACACAGAATTACCAGTAAACAGGTAAGGGTGAAAATTAACTCCTCAGACGTAGCTCCCATTTAACCCCCTTCAAATTTTACCATGGCGAACTATGCTTCTAAAAAGTGACATCTTCCTTCAATGTTTGCAAGGTACACGCACACACACATTTATATACTTAATAACCTGTATACACGCTGTCTCTTTTCACACGCTTTGCAAAAGCAAACAAGCATAGATATACAAATATGTATCACAGCATTAATGCTTTTTTAAAAAAAAACAAAAATGACAATTGCTAGCGCACACTGACCTAGACATTTTTTTCCCTCTTTTCACGGCAAAAAGTAGATTGCACACATATCTGTGAGTTCTGACACAAACAAGAAATGTATATATGTATATATATATATGTACACTTACAAAGATATCTTAAAAATTCTCTGTATCAAACATTTGGTGCTTTCTTTAACTAAGATTTGTAAGTTGATATGAAAACAGTCTTTGTCATGGCCGTGTGTAGTAGATTACTTGTAGGACCTGCTATACATGAGATGTGTAATCAGTTAAAATTCTCTAAAAATTTCTATCAGCTGAAAATGGAAATTAAAGGGACACTCCAGACTTCTGACTATTCTTTTTTAATGTATTCTATAAATAGTGTACTGAAAAATTAAAAACAAAAAAATGAAATGATACATCTGAATTTGCTGGTTAGGAGAGATCCGTCAACAAATCAGGAAGTGATTGCTGCTCACTTAACTTTGTGTAGCACTCCTGAGCTTATCCCTTAAACTATGCTTTATGAGTACAGCAACATGCATGAGGTCCCGGAGTGTCTCTTTAAGTGTTAATACAGGTGACAGGATGTTCTACCAAACAAAACAGGGATATGGATTATAGATTGTCAAAATTTGATGGCCTGCTTTAGGGACTTTGTGTAAAATCTGAAAAACTCTCATATAAATCTATAACTTTAAAAAAAAAAAAAATGTTTTAAATAAGGGGAAAATGATGATATCTTGTTAATAAAATTGCCTTTCATCCTTGCAGCAGCACAAATGTAGTTAAATGCCAACAGATCTAGAGTAGGAGAAATCCTTAATATCCCACATTTTGGAGTCTACGTGACCAGGGGTATCAACCCAACTGACTTTGGACTACAATTCCCATAATTCTCTAAAAGCTATGACCAGAGCAGAGATTGAGATTTATAAGAGATGTAGTCTGACAAGATGTAGGAAGTAGACCTCGAGTGTTCTGGCTACCTCAGAAGTCCTATATATATATATAAATATATATATATTCTGAGTATGTACTTATTTCTCCATTAATTCACTCACGCCAAGCTACCATATGCCAAAGGAAACATTGTGCATTCTGAAAGCCTATATACTTTAATGTAAAGATCAGGTATTGAAGAAATTCACAGTTTAGAAAAAAAGACGAGTCAGAGATCATTTACAATGTAGGCTGTCCTTTGAAGAGTGTGTTGAAAAGGGGCTTTTTCATTTATTAACCAGTTTCCCAGCAAACCACGGGCAGCCCCACCTTCAGTCCTAAAGGGCACATAATTTAGGTCATAACTCCGTTTGGGTTAAAATGTGCAAGTTTGTTATCAGCTTGCAGGTTATAGTGGATATACCTCGGAGCTGTTTTAGTAAATAGCCGTGGCAGAATGCTAATATTACAGAGCTGTGCCTTAAATATAGTGTTTATTTATTTACATACATCTTCATACAAATATTACGTGTCTGATAAGCAAGAAAATATCATATCAAAGCTAATAAAATCTTAGAAAAACAGTAGATATTAAACTTAACCATAATGTAATGTGATACTTAGAAAGCCAATATGGCTACAGTTTGTCACAGTATGATCCCTTATACTGAAAGAGGACCACACATTACTTAATGTCTGTATAGTGGAGTCTCTATATTCTACCACCTATTGTTAAAGGAGATATCAGTGTCAGCAGAACATCGATTGGGACTGACTCGCAGAACATGTGTTATCACTCATGCATGCAGCGGACCCCAAATTTGTGACATACACACACAGCCTGCGACGCAAATCAGTTATTCTTTATTAAAAGCATCCTATTAGAAGAAAAGGCTGAGTAGTTATGATCACAAAAAAAAATCTGTTCATGTGCTTGCTATCTGCTAAGTATATATTTTTTTTCTTTGTGCTGTGTACACAATAGACCTGCAGTGTCTAGGGTTTTTTTTTTTCCCCCCTAAAGTGTGAATTGTAGCTGATTTGAAACATTTTATGAGAAAAATGGAGGAGTTGCGTTGGGGGGAAAAATGACCAACTCTTCAAATAGCGCACAAGTGGTCTCAGTATAGATTTTATTATACTTTAACGGTATCTGATTATTAGGGATGGAAAACATTTTTAAAAGGGCCCGCTTGCAGATATTTTCCTCAATTCCTCATTTCACTAAATCCCCAGTATTTATTTATCACTTCACCTCCGTTCCAGACCTTGTTACTCTGGGCCAAAAACTCCACAGTGCTTATTGGAAATAACTGCTCTCAACAACTCGCTGCTTAGTAAATAAGTCCCTAAAATGCCTCTAACAATCTATAAAAGAGTGTTACGTTTAAGACAGCAGTACATTAAGAACAGGCTGTAGAATCCAGTTTGTAATGCTTTTGTGAAAATCTCTTTACAGTTTCCAGCTGCTATATACAATTCTATTATCCTGTGCCTAACAGACTGATATATGAGAACTTGCCATTATTTATACTGAAGAAAAGAAAACGGTTTGAGCTGCCATAAATCTCAGTGCAAATCAGTTCAGCATCAAACGCGCGAAAACTTGTTAACCAAGTCTCACACATCTGATTTGTCAGGTAGTGAAAAAATAAAATAAAATAAAAATGAAGGCTACGCTTCACATAAATGGCGATTTTTTTTTCCGAATTGTTTTGAGAGCAAAAGAATTATGCAACTCAAATAGTAACACCTGGGGTGGGAAAACGGTAATCCCAAAGCGGTTGTTGAACCGGAACACCCATGATGCTTTGCTCAACTGGCATGGCATCATTGGAGTTAAAGATCTTCAAAAGCTGAAGGGGGGCTGCATGTTGCCAATTATTGCCACACACAACATATTATACAGAAATTACAAAATACACAGCTCTCAGTAGGCATTATTTTTGTTGCCTGCAGTTTGATTTATCACTACCAGTATGCTCAAGCAGAAATAAAAAACACAGTTGTTTGCTCTCGGTGCCAAATTATTCTACTAATTCAAACTCTACCTATTCTCCAGAAACAGTGCACCTCAACGTCTATCCAAAGTCTGGAAGTCAGATACCCACCGCCTCGCGTGGCATCAAGAGTAATGATTGGACAATGATTAATTTTACCATGGGCGTGTGGCGATTTCTTGGCACCGCATGAGATATTCTCAGCACTGTTCTATGTCCCATTTACCCATTCTAAGACACCAGGACCAAGTAACCAGCTTAATTCAAAGGCAAAAATAATTATCATGAGCACACACTACGACATCAGAAAACTCACAGGAATTCTGATTACTTGTTAATTCTATTACGTCCTCTACTGCTAAACAGGCCAGTAGAATAAACTGGTATAGCCATGTCTTCTCCACGCAGGTTGGGTAGGTAGGCACTAACTGACCAATCCCGTGTTGACATTAATTTGCGCTCAGTGTGCTTTGTCATATCATATCTTGGTATTGCTAGCAGCTGTATAGAGTTCTCTTTAAGATACTCCCCCTTCACCTGTCAGTCAGTTCTTTGTATACAGGGCTATGTCAGGGTCACAGTGTGATACTAGGAACTGAGTGACAGATGGATGCTGGAGAACCCTCTTACAAGCGGTTCTCCTGCTCTCCTTCACAGAACATAAATCATGTGTGATGTAGTCACTATATATATTCCACTGGCAAGTCCATTTGGCACTAGGCTAGAGGAATACAGCCTGTTGCCTGTTTTTGAAGCAGGGCCAATTTAATAAGAGATTTTGGAGGTAGGAAGGAACTGGTATCATGGCAGGCACAACACCATTGCAGAGAGGTATATATTTAATAAGCCTAAAGTAATAAAATATATAATATATCTTTAAATTTGGGTACCCATTAAGCAAACGCTTTACGTAGCGGTTTTGATGCTTAGATGCCGTCTGTTATTTTGAACAATGTAACTTGACATTTGTGTAAAAACATGTCATTAGTGGCTCTCTGACTGGCAGTTACTGGAGGCATTTTCTCTTAAAGGTCTTCAATTTTTAAAGCACTTCACATTCAGCTGTGAATAGCCAATGTTTTTAATTTTTTATATATTTTTTTACTTTTACACAAAGGGGGCCAGTAATCAAAACTAACACAGGAACACTCGAATGTAGCGTATTTTCTTAACTGCATAAGAAGATGGTACCCATTATGCCATCACCTAATCCTTACTACCTTTCACTCATGCGCACACTTGGAGACTGTTTAGCAGTAGTGGATAATGTGTAATTAACAAATATTACAAACTGGTTTTATAAACAACAATAATATACAAAAAATGTATCTATTTTTTTTTAAACGTTTTCGATATCAACTACCAGGGTGCAAAGGTATTTTGCAAGAATTCATACATTGTGATATTTGCTAGAATAATGTTATATAGGTACATATACAAAAAACAAAGGGGCTGATTCACTAAACAACACGTTGTAATCAACTGAAAACAGAATTGCAACATTTATTATAAAATAGCCAAAACTGTGACTGCAGCTGAGCTGAAGTATTTTTCAAAATCTGTTTTTTGGTTTTTTTTGCCTAAATTTGCAGTTCAATTTTCATTTCACTACAATTAAGTATTTAGTTGATAAACCCCCAAATCTTATCTCCATTAAAATGACCTCGCTGTTTCACCTCTAACTTTTGGAGACAAATTTATGTCTTTTTTTTTTTTTAAAACAATTATAGAAGGGCATAACTGTTCAATAACCATAAACCTCTTAGTATGAAATAATTAATATATCTTTATATTTACATATTTTTGTATTCAAATTAAGACTTTAGTTCCTAAAAAAAAATTAGTAAATAAAATCAAAAAAGCTACCCAGTGTGTACCAAGTCTGTGTATTTTTGCAAACATTTCACCATTTCTTAACAAATATATCAAGCCCTGCTAAGTTTACCAAAAATCTAGGAATTTTGTTTCTTTGCCCACAATGCACAATAATTGTAAAATTCTCAAAATATTACATTTTTTTTTCAAAAAACTTCAAATACAACACAAAATTGTTCATGTCATTTAATAAACTGGAAAAAAAAAATCTGTTTTTGTGTTTTGATTTTTTGTTTCACCAAAATAGTTTTTTTTTTTTTTTTTTTACGCTTGTTTGAGTGTCCCTGCACATAAGTCCGTTTTTTTTCTGTTCTGATTTCAAATAATTTTGTATTAAAACATTCTCCTCTTATATTAATAATTATAATAATAACAATGATGTCATGGCTCTTGTTTGATAAAGTAGCTGCCTGATCCGTTACTTTCCTGATCCGAAGTCTGAAGAAATGAGTAGTCTTCTCCATCCAACAGCTCCTCCTTTATTTGTAACGGTGTCACTATAAAATAAAGTGGTGAAAAAAATATTTACATGATCAATTATCAATTCATATTGTCTTTTACTGTCTTTCATTTTTGAATTTTAGTATAAAACTACAGGTTATTTAAAACCAGCCTTTACTTCCTGCAAACACTAACAATGTTCATTTTACAAAAAGTACAGATTTAAATAGAAATTTAGACTTTTATAAATTAACTTTGTTACACCCTCTCTGGCTGTCAATCAGACAACCTGTCATCTTACTTCCTGGTTTGGTTAGCTCAGTGGAGATAAACTCAGAGGCAGCAATTGCCCAGAGCAACTGGCTTGAAAAGACTTCTCATTTAGCTGCATTGGGAATGCATGCATTTTTCATTGGGGTAGATATATTAAAGAGTGATTTAAAAAATTATTTTTTTTGTATTAGGGCAGTGGAGTGTCCCTTTAAAGAGACATTCCAGGCCAACGGATTTCAATTATTTATTTAATGGACAAAAAGTAGCCAGTGGGTGCTGAGTGAGCGCAGTATCAGTTTCTAGGAACCTGTTCATCAATACCTACCATTGCTACGGCTGTTGGATGCATTGATGCACTGAAGTTTACATGTTTTTATAGCAGTCCGGACTGGCTAAGAGTGCTCATCTATATCATTGTTCCTGCAGAAGCTGCAAATGCTGTGGATTTGCCACAAGCAAGGAATATTTATAGTTTGTATCATTCATTATTTTTATACTAAACACTTTAAAACAGTATGGTCAGTTTCCACTTGGAGCGATTTAAAGAAATGAGCAGACAAACAAATTGCAATTTGGTGGCATGCTCAGCGTGGAATGGCATGTATCACAGGACAGCTCGAATGCTCAGCGTAGAATGGCATTATTAAAAAAAAAAGTCGCCCCCAAACGCCTAGGCGTATCCCTTGTTTGCCTTGTGTCCTGGGGGGCTTAGGAGCTGGCTGGTCACTTTTGAGGCCCCTGAAGCTGGCGGCAGCTTTTATAGCAGCGGGCAGCAAGGCTCATCTGAGCTCTTCCTGCTCAGCTCCCTTGCGCGTCGCTTAATGAAGCCAGAATATGACCTCACTACAGCTTCCAGCATCAATAAGCGACGCGCGAGGTAGCTGAGCAGGAAGATTAGAGCCCCACTAGACCGCAGGTAAGTAATCCACTCCAGCTCTCCCAGGCAGGCTGGTTGATTTAGAATTAAAATCGAAACAATAATAATTTGTGAGTGTTGGGTAAATGTGTGTGTGTGTCTGTCTGTAGGTGTGTGTGTCTGTGAGTGTTTGTGTATGTCATTGTTTGTCAGTGTATATGAGAGAGTGTGCCTGTCAATGAGTGTATGCATCTGTCAGTGAGTGTGTGCGTCTGTCAGTGAGTGTGTGCGTCTGTCAATGAATGTATGTGTCTGGTTAATCAGTATGGAAATCTAATACAAAGTTGTGGTGATAAAGTATTTGGTATATTGAGTGAAGTGTAGTAATTATTCCATTACACAGAGGTTGGGGACTATAGCCTTGTTTAGCTATCCTCAAGTGAGTATTTAATCTCTAATGAAGGGTAACACATGTATGTCAGTATGAAAAGCCACATCAAGACGTTTACTAAAGACTGAGATTTGTAATCTCACGGTCAGTTTGCTAGATCGCGCAATGGTCTATGTTCGTGACCTAGCATATGTTCCTGGTCCAACTATAGAGTCGCAGGTTCAATTCCTACAAGAGTTCGGAAAGTTGTTCCTTCCAAGCTCAATAAAAGGTTAATTGAGTTGTCAACTGATTCCTGGAAAATACCATCAGTGCAATGTCCTTCATGTGGAATGATGTATAGTACATAAAAAAATCTCAAACTCGACTATCTTTGCATGCACATAGTCAACTCACTAGTTAAGGAATGAATCTCACAGTGTCTCTAGATTTAAATGAACAACAGCTTATTTGTTCTGGTGACTAGAATAACTTCTGTCAGGCTTTTTTGCAGTAAACACGTTTGTTTTTTTTCCCAGACGTGCTGGCTCTGCCTCCTTGACAGTCTCAGCCAATCCTATGGAAATTCATTGAGAGTGGCTCACAGAATTACATCTGATGATGTCACTCAAGTAGGCAGATCAGGGGCAGAGGCAGCATCTGCAGACTTGAAGACAAGTAAGACTTTGCTATATTTAGGGGGGTTAGATGGTGGTTTTAACAAAAGAGGGTCAGGAATACATGTTTGTGTTCCGGACCCTATAGTGCTCATTTACATTTTAGCCATAACACCATTTGTGCAAAATCACTTTATTTATTACCTGTATTCCTATCTGGTCCTGTTCAGTTGTTATTTCTATTACATTTTTTTTTTTTTTCACTACTTGGCTAAAATAATCTGGGCACCCAGGGTTTTCCATATAAATGCTACACGTAAAACAGAGAGTCCATGTTTATTTTTTAATCAAAAGCTTGCCTCGCTTGAAATCATGTATGGAGATAAACTAGTTTGAGCCTCACAGGCACCCAAAATATCTGCAAGCAATGTTTTAATTCCTAGAACCAGCTGTATTTGAATGAGCAGTTTAGACTCCAAAGCAGAATTGCCAATATAGTGTTACAGTGCCATTAGTGCAGTTTAAATGGTTTGACGACAAACATCTCTTGAGGCATTGACAGCCCATCCAATTTCATTTGCTAAGTGGGTCCATTGCCACGTTAGAAATTCCAGGAAACTGCACCAAGCTAAAGCGGCCTCAGGAAGCCCAGGAGAATGTAGCCTAAAGGCACCATAACCACTCCATCAGCATGTGGTGCTTATGATGGTTAGATATCAGTTTTATTCCAGTTTAGTGTGCGGCGTGATATGTCATATTCAAGTTACAAGTTAGCAGCCAGTCCCACACAGGACCCAATCACACAATTTGTAGGGGTTCAGAGTGATTTTACCCAGTCTCCTGCTTCTCTGGTACAAAGGACGAAATCACTCTAAACTCCTAAAAAGAAAAGCGCAGCTGTTCCATGTTAGATGTTTGGAAGAGAGGCCTTTTCGGTCATTACAAGGATTTAGTCACAAAACAGATCGTTGAAGTGAATTGAAAATTTGATTAAAAATTTCAGGCTAAAATAGCTGAGGTGTGACTGTAGCAGAGTTTGAGAATCGTATCATGTGTTTGGCCTACATTGTGCAATTCAGTTATCAGATCACTACAAATTTCCTGTTTATTGAATAAACCTCATACAGATTTGCTTTCCAGTAAACGTTTTATGCTGTCCTTACTTGTGTTTGTGTGTTCATGCGCTGTGTTGCTCTTTACTGTACGCTTCAGTTCTCAGCAGTTTGTTCTTTAAGGCTTTGTATATATAAATATAACACTTTATTAATCCTTTAAGTGTACAGTAAAAACAGTGTTTACTTCCTGGAAGCTCTGGGCACGTTTGTAGCTGCTACTCCTCAAAGTCTGACATTCTATTAGATAGGCAGCTGAGACCAGCTGTAGACTGCTAGTTTTGGTCCTCACAGGGTCCCTTGGTTTGAAGTGCCATATGTTCCAATAGTCTGGAGTTCAGCAAAACAATCCTGATTTAACCCCTTAAGGACACATGACGTGTGACATGTCATGATTCCCTTTTATTCCAGAAGTTTGGTCCTTAAGGGGTTAAGGACCCTGCCCTATTGACCCATTTATTTTGTGGCTTCGGTAGGCAATCTTCTGCACTCCAGCTGTTGTGGACAACATCTCCCATTAAACCAGGCTTCCCCAAACTACGGCCCTCCAGATGTTGCTGAACTACAACTCCCATGATTCTCAGCCTATTTCATTCATAGAATCATGGGAATTGTAGTTCAGCAACATCTGGAGGGCCAGAGTTTGGGGAAGCCTGCATTAAACTCTTACAGCTAAAATAGGGGCAAAGCATCAGGGGAGATGTAGTCCACAATATCTGCAGTGCCAATGGATGCCTTCTACTGTGCTAGGCATTTTACATTTGTACACTGGCTGTGTGCCTTGCTAAGCAGCCGGTCATCTGGGCATGCATGTGTGTTGGGATTTCACATCCTTGCGGCAACTGCATGCATCTCCATGATGCAAAACGCACCAGTGGCAAATCTTCCCTTTCATGCCAGAAACATACCAGCTGCAGTGTTAGTGAGATGAGCTATATACTATAATACCAGGCTTATGTTTTATAATGGGAGAGTAAACACACATATTGGTGCAAGTAGTGTTTGTTAATGCAGACAATCTTTGAAGTTCCATGTGTTTTACCACAATGGTAACCAAAGTAAAGGCAAAACAAAAGCAGACTTGGAAACTTTTTCAAAACCTGTTGTTTTGCCTTGAATTTTATAACCATTTTCCACTCACTCGAGGAGCTTACAGTTTAATTAACAGACCCTTGGCGTCTGCCTTATTTAACCTTTCCTGCCACAGATGAAAAATGTAAGTATATATCCAGATTTTACATACACCTTTTCATTACATGTCTTCTCTTAGTCTCCCAGGATCTATTTACTCCACTGTAAAGAATGGTAATGAAATTGTACATTTTAAACCACAAAAGCAAATAAAATCTTTATCTTGGCTATTTTGGACATAAACTAATTCTGTAATCTCTGATTTATGCTAAGTGGACTTAGCGCCAGTTGCTTACATAACTTTGGCCAAGGGAGTCCCTTCCAATTTACTGGCAGCAGGATGATCTAAGCGTGTGTTCCTAAATAAATAGGGCATCTACTCTGCTTTTTAATTTTTGGATTTTTATTAAGTATTCCCAGTAAAAGGTGAGTCAAGGGTCAGTATGTAAAGAGTAAAAAAAAAAAAAAGAATCAAAACTTTGATTTTACGGGAATCATTATAGCACATATTTCAATTATATAAGAGGTGGCTAACTTTCCACTGGTGATATAACAATTACTAGAATACAATTCTAGAAAACATCTGTTTCCCTGTGCCGCTACAGCAAACCATTTATGGAATATGGAGTGTGAAGAATATTATGTGCCGGTTTAATAATTGGGAATTTACTAGATAGTTCTGAGCCCCATGAGTAAAATGTAATAACCACCAGTGGTGTTAAAAATTGAATTATTGTGCTATATTTCAGTAATGCTCTCATACATTTTTACAGAACCAGTTTTGGCAAATCTTTGGGTCTTCCCTTAGGTCTGCCTACACGACTGTCTTACTACGAGAGAAAACAAACAGACAAAGTGTAGAAATTGGATCCTTTGGCTTCATGATGAGCTTCCAACAATTCCTACTGTGCAAGCTAAGATACAATGGGACATGTCAAGTTATCGACCATGATCCATCACAGTTCTCAGTCCTTTGAATAGTTGTGGGCGCCTCGGCTTTTTCAATCTGTCAAATTTAAGTTACGGTGCAGTAATCCACGATGGCTCTGGGACTCCGCAGTTGGATGCTTGCTTCCTCCCTTAGTTTCCTTACGTTACACAAGCACAATTTATTATTGGCTAACCTTTCATATTGTATCATACCATAAACAAATGTCGTAATGCTGCATCACAAATAAAAAAAAGAAATAAAAAAAAAAGAAACAAATATCAAGATGCAGCAACGAGAAGAGTATGAGGTGGGAATCTGCACAGATATTCCTTCCTAATTGGAACATTGCTGAAAAGGGGAAGCTTGATGTATGTTAATGAGGAGTTGGCTTTTAGTTGTAGTTATATGAATTGTGTGCAGTGAGATCAGTACAGAGGACGATCTTACATCACAGCCAAATTGAGGGGAATACTCTATAGTGCACAGACTGTCCCTTTAAGACTTTTCTTGTACATTATGGGCGTATTTGAGATATTCTTACATGCTATCTTTACAGTAAGGAGTTAATGAGAGCAGGATTTGGTAATAGTAGGGGTGGGGAGTATTTAGTATTTCCTCATAAACAAAGTCAAGATGGGTCATAGAAAAGACCACATTTTATTGCAATTGGGAGAAAAAAAAATTACAAGGTCATAAACATATATTTAAAAAAATAAATAAAAGCCATATCCTATAGGAGACTGCTGTGCATGCTGGTATGCAACGCTCTCTTTCTAGGGCCTGCTATTTGGAGGTTTCCTTAGATCTGGAAATCAATTTAAGAATATGCAGCAATCAGAATGGAATTGGCAAAGCTACTTCCTTTATAGCTGTATTGATATGTACTATATGTATTCATAATACATTAATATGCAGCGTGTAACCATTTTATTACTGTACCACTTGGGCACCATAACTTATTTGGAGTTCCTGGCACTGGCTCACCTTTTGGGGTTAAACTGTTCACAAAGCATTTAACCCAAAAGTCTGTGCTCCAAAGCCATTCTGCTCTGTCCACTGTCCTTCCGCTTTTTTAAATTCTTCGCAACGGCAGTGGGTGGCTTAGAGAATCAGCTGACCACTCTAAGCAAATCACCGTCGCCCCTGCTCAAGGCTTTCGTTATCTAGGATTTCAGATAGCGGAAGGATAGTGGGCAGAGCGATCCAAATCTGGAACACAGACTTGGATTTAAAAACTCTTCCCAAATGGTTCACCCGTATAAGTAAGACAGTGCCGGGGGACGTCCCAGCACCAAAACAACTTAATTATGATAAAGTTCTTATGGTGTCTAGAGTGTTTCTTTAAGTAAATTTTCTTCACTATTAAAAAAAAACCAAAAAAAAAAAACCCCAGTATAACTATAATCAGGCAAAGTATATAAAATTTATAAAAACATATCACATCGTTCCTCTCCTTGACATATTAAAATGTCACAGTTGTCATATACAGCTTACAATGATTACAATCAGTTGTTAATTTGTCTAGCATGTTACAAAAAAATACAATATTATACCAAGCTAACCTAGTTTTCATAGTATAATAGATATTCAGTATTATTAGTGTTGAAAGAACCTTTTTATTGGCTATTGGGAGGTCCTGGGTAAATAGCATATTCTGATTGGCTGGTGACATGTGCTCCCTACGGCTTTTAAAAAAATAAATACAAATTGTCTGTCACCGCAGCATGTGATACTATTCCAAGATGGCTGCCTCCATTGTAAAATCTTCTAATTGCAAATAGCTTACAATTATTATACATTGGTTAGATAAAATATCAAACTGGGCTCTCCAAGACCTAATTTCTGTCTCTGTCAATCCTTGCATTGCAATTCCAGACTGCAGGCAGCTGATCTGTAGGTGGCCAGGAAACCATAGCTTAATACCTGTTTGACATACGACACGGTGGTGGCACTCAAAGGCTCTCTCTGCACCATAAGCACTACAATAAGCTGTAACAATATAATAAGCTGTAGTGGTTATGGTGCTTATAACATCCCTTTATCAAACTCATTGCAACCAGGGACAACAAATGCACATACTATATCACTCATATAATTAAGGAATCGTTATCTCAGCAAGTCCATTCTTGTATCATTGGTTAAATTGATAAATGGCAGAGGCACCTATAATAAGTGATTTACCAGTTACTGCACATTTTTACAGGCCTACATGCATCATTTACAGCGGGCTTAAAACCTTAATTCGCCACTCGCCTTTGTGAAAATGTAACCCTGGCGAGGAGACATTCACTCCTGGTGAGTGTGTCATGAATCATCCAAGCTTCCAATGGTGAGTAACCAGCTACTAGTGTAGAAATTGTAAGCCCTGATTTAGAGATTTTTCTTTTTCTTTCAGTACCTGTCCTGCAATTTAAAGTCAACCTACCACCTGAAAATGAATCTTGCATTACGAATATTAAATGTTAGCGCTTTTGATAGAAGAAGAAAAACGCTTGGGTCATTGGGGAAAGAGAAAAGGGAGGACAGTTTCTCGCATTCTACGGCCAAGTCTGTCGCTCTTTCCAGTTCTGAAATTACCTTTTTCGGGGCTTAGATATTGCAGTGTATACCAGAACTCGCAGAACTCCACATCCATGACACTTGCAGCAATGCCTACATGTATTACAGAGCTCCACAACAATAAAACTGTTGTGGGCAATGTATTAATACATCACAGAGCTCCAGAGCAATAAAACTGTAATGTATAGTGGATTAATACATCACAGAGCTCCACAGCAATGTGCAGTGCATTAATATACCACAAAGCTCCACAGCTATTAAAGTAATATGCAGTGTGTATATGAGTCACTGAGCTTCACATCAACGAAACCCATAGCAATGTGCGATTGTATCACAGAGCTCCACTTCAATAAAAATGTACTATTTTGTGCAGAATACATGAGTGCACCACCGAACTCCACAGCCAATATGTACGAACAATAATGTAGAATGTGTATGGGTACACAGAGCTATGCACTAATAAAACACACAGCAACATAAAACAAATAAGTCTCAAGATATTTTAGAAGGAAAACAAATCACATTTGTAGTGATATTAGATGTCCCTAGCAGACAATATTTTATGGTTTGGGAGGGTTGTGGGGGGGGGGGAGAGAGAGAGAATGGGTACTCGCTATAGAAGTCACCTTACTACAAGAAGCAGTAAATCACTGTCATGTGCCCCTGGGTTTGACCACCTCACCGGTAAGTGTCCCTGGGCAAGACACCTAATGATATATACAGTACAGTATATACCCACGCCAAATCCAAATCTGCAAGGATAGTTTATTCAGGGCCTTCTTAACCTCTAAATATAGTCTTTCTATAAACGTACAGCGCTGCTGAATATGTTGGCTCTATATAAATGCTAAGAATAAAGTCCTCATGTACATTTTACCTTTAATTTCTAATGTTGTGTTCAAGGATTCAGCAGTTTGCAGGTTTAATTTTTTTTTAAGGATATTTTGGTTGGGCCCACGTGTTTCTGAGCACAAATCCTGAAACCACACTATTTTCCAGCATGCACCTGACATCATCATCCAGATTGGCTGCTAGTTTGCAGTCTTTATAACTGGTTTTAAAACTGGGGCACCGGTGAGAAGCCGGCAGGGGAGGCCAATGGATCAGAGATGCGCTCAAACACTATGCCACATTAGCATTTTCGTCTGGATGGATTAAGTCTAAGCTGCAGTCATGTGACATAAAAAACAGACACTGATAGGTCGAGAGACTAATTGTTTCCAAATCACCAAAAAGGCTTCTCCTAAGGGAATGTTATGTGTTAAAAAGCAATGACAAATTAAAGGACCACTACAGGCACCCAGACTGTGGCGAAAGTGACCTGTTTGCCAGCCTCCTGCCCTGCGACTATGGCCCTGGGATGTATTGCCCTTTAAGGAACTGATTTGGGCATACTGTATTTTATTATGCTGCTGCTGGCCCTTTAAGAACCATCTAGGGACATATTGTGGAGTTACTGGGTGGCCACCATTTCATGTATCAGAGGCACATGGTGAGAACAATGGATGGCGGCCATTTTAACTCACAGACACTGTTGTGACTTTTCTACACAGTCATCTCGCCGGTATTTGGTGCACAAAGACATCGTTCAGTAGTTTTAAACTACAGAACAGGGGACACATTATACAGTAATTATTTTTCATATAGCCTGTATATGTTCTGCGGAATCTGCATTAAACCGTATCTTCCAAACTACTGAACGGATCTGGGTGAATTGTGGATATGTGGTTCACCCAGATTCCCCGGATATATATTTTATGGAGTTATTGCATTTTTTTGGGTTCCCTGTGATATGTTTTATAATACTGTAATACTTCTATAATACAGGCAGAGGGGAGGATTTCTGATGTAATGAATGGGTGTGTTAGCTGTGTTGTAATGTGTTGATTGGTTGTTCTTCAAAACCCTGTGGGCAGTACTATGTTTGTAGAATGTGACTAAAAGAGGCTGTATGTGCCAGTACAGAGAGTTCTTCTTCACCCTCAATCTAGAGTCCTGTCTCTTATTGGGGGAATTGCTATATCACTACAAGGGATTGCTATGCTCTGCATACTCCCTTAGCTAATCACTACAAAGCTCTTTCAAGACCTTGTTTCCTGCTTCACTCTCTTGGAGGAGAGGTTCACCCACTGGAACCTGGAGCCTTGTCGTAGGTCCAGGGTGGGTAGGAGACGGCGAGACTCCAACCAAGCTGCGGCGGTTAGTGGGATCTGCGGTGGTTGTGGTGTCTGCAGAGCGATTGGAGCATCCTTCAACGGAGGTACCCAGTCAGGGTGCCAGGTGATCCGTTACCCAGACCACTTCAGCTCAATGAAGTGGTCTGGGTGCCAGGTCACTCTAGGGTTAAGCCTGCCTGCTGTAAACACAGCAGTTTCAGAGAAACTGCTATGTTTACATATGGGTTAATCCATCCTCTAATAGCTGTCTCATTGATAGCTGCTATATGCGCTTCCGACTGATTTTCACAGTGAGAAGGCACCAGCGTCCATAGGAAAGCATTGAGAATGCTTTCCTATGGACTGACTGAATGCGCGCGGCTCTTGCCGCACACGTGCGTTCAGCCGATGACGTCCAAAGGAGGAGGAGAGTCCCAAGCGCCAAGGGAGCCCGGCGCTGGAGAAAGGCAAGTGTTTAACCCCTTCCTCCCCCTAGAGCCCGGAAGGAGGGGGGACCTATTAATACTATAATGCCAGGAAAACGAGTTTGTTTTCCTGGCACTATAGTGGTCCTTTAAAATTGAAAATTTTAAAAGAAGATAAAATATGGAACACTCCATGTGGTCTGGGCTAAACAATACCTTTAAATGTTACCAATATCAGCATATTAGGATTTCAGGGAAAATAAGTAGGTCATGTTTTTAGTATAATGCAATTCTTTACCAAAATCTGCAGGGTGCCTATCTAGCTCTGGTTCCTTGCTATAAACGTGTACAATTTCTTGTAGGTCTCACACTATAAACAAAAATTATTCTGCCACACTAATGGATAATGTGCTCAAATGTAACATTTATAAGACATTACATTAAAAATCTACTTCTAAAAAAAAAAAAAAAAACAAGACCACAACCCTTTGTTACATGAGGGCTTTGTCAGTTTGTGCATGCGGTTTGACAGATCTTTCATATCCCAATTTCATTGAATTCAACACAAAGAACAGCTTTTCTGTGAATTCTCAGAATTTAGAGCAGGTCTTAAAGGGACCCTCCCAGCACCATAACAACTTCACTAAAACCCTTCAGGCAACATTACAACTTCAAGGGAAGTTGATATGGTGCTAGGAGGTGCCTGGCAGCAGGTTACCGTTAACGAACGGTTTAACCGAAATTGTTCAATCCAGTGTCAGATAGCTCTGCCCCTCTCCACCCGCTTTTGGCCAAGGCCCAAATCAGGAAGCCGGATAGCTATTAACCAATTACTAGCTCCCTATTCATAAAACAGCTCGAAAAACTTATTTGTTTTTCTCAGGGGTGTGAACGAGGAGCTAATGAAACTAATTGTTGAGTAATTTAAATTTATTTCTAAGGTTTTCATTCTCCATTTTGGGGTTTATCTTCATTGGGTCAATTACTTTTCATAAAAGCAGCTGGATACAACTCTACTTAGTCTAATCCACAGTTAATTCATTAGCTGACTGCGCTTGAATTCAGCCCTTAACGGTGCACAGTTTATAGGACAGTCTAAATTATGCTGGACAGTTTGGATGGAATGTCAAAAGTTGCAAAAAGTTACAGTCAATTATTAATCCCATGTTTTGTTGACTGCTCACAAAATTACTCTTTTTCCAAATAACTTCTAGATAGTTGACCCAAGCTTTGGTTACAATTTATTTCTGACAGTAAATGAAACTGCTGGGTTTCCTAAATAATCTGTCAATACTTGGGATGACTTGTGCCCTATTATTATTATACTAAATGAAATCGGAGCAATTTGACCTGTTACACACTATGACTGCTGAATTCTGCATGTAAATATTCTGGGTGTTTTTTTTTTTTGTTTTTTTTAATTCCACCCATTTTTCTTTATTTGTAAATAGAAACCTATTCCGATTTTACAATTTGTCTAATAAATGTTACATTTCCCCACATTATTCAATAGTCTGCCAGAATAATGGTATTTATGGTGTAAGTTCACATCCTAGTCAGTGCGATTATTTTTAAGACTTTAAAAAGACGGCAGGAATACTCCACTGATATAACACAGATGTCATCACCCAGAGTACAATTACCCAGGTGAGATGCAGCAATGCTTACTTTCTGTTTTGTTAGGTCAGGGGCGGCAAAGCACTGAACCTCAGCTGCCGTAGATCTGGCAAAGCTACGGAACTTACAGCTTCTAAAATCTGTGTTAAAATCCCTTTACAGCCCTTTACTGGTCACTTTCCACAACGCAACAAAACTTTAAAGGGGATGTTCCACAGCAGAGAAGGAGAAGAATAAATATAATATATATTTATATATTTTTTTTAAGAATTTGGCTTTGAGTAATGTGTGACAGTGCAGTGCTGCATTAAGTGGAAAAGGGTGAATTTATTTTTATTGTTACAATATACTTCCTCATGGTGTTGAAGTATGACAGATAATGGCTACTGAGGTCTTTCTGGTTTACTTAAAATCCAGACAGACATCCTATTGCACAACATAATAAAAGCTTGTTAGTTACAAAAATTAGTACAAACTGAAAAAAAGGCATAACACCAACTTAAAGCAAATTCACACGCACAAGTGATTTGAAGTGGTTATGGTGCCTGGAGTCGGTATGTGCAGCATTTCACTATGAAACTCTGCACATATTGAGTTTAACTCCACCGCAGGCAACGTCATTGGAGAGTCGTTAGCCAGCCTGAAACTAGAGTTCTGGGCTGGCTAATGTAAATTCTGTGAATATTTCTACACATGGAATCTCCATCATTGGCAGAGAGGGCCCAGTGGACACTGCCAGCACTGCAGAAGCCAGATTCACATCACTGGCAATAGAGGACCGTCAGCCCTTCTCAGGGACCCAGGCAAGATGGAAAACCATTGAAAAAGGGATTGCACCATTACCGGAAAATGGGGCGATGCTTGGAGTAACCCTTTAATTGTATGGTGGAACATCCCCTTTAAGGAGGTTGAAAATGTCTGACTAGGTTATCCATTGTAACATGTAAAACATAAGCAATGCATTTTATCAACAGTGAAACATTTGATGTAGATAAAACACAGAAAAATCCTCACCAAGAAATTTAGCAAGCATGGTTTCCTTTGGCATGGTAAATGAGAATTTAGTGTAACGTTGCCATATTTATTAGGTTACAGTTCGTTATAGTCTGTGTAATTATATCGTTAAAGGGACACTCCATTCACACTGACAGCCACTAGTGGTGCACTGACCATGTAAAATTCAAGCCACGGAACTTTGCAACTCATAGGAAAATGTGGGAAGTGGGGGCTGAATATAAATAGTGACAGTGGCCTATTCTTTATACACTTCCATCCAAACCTGTAATGTCCCGCATTCACTCCAAAAATAGTGAAGTAGTAGTTGAGCTGTTGGATTTCTAACATAGGACAACTCCCAGGCACATTTGCTATGCCCATAGGTCACTGCTTATTTAATAAGCTTACCAATAGAAAGCTGTGTAATCTGAGATACTTCCTGGTTTGGAGAAAGTTCACTCTAGATCCTGCACAGCCTCAAGATATGCAGGAAATGCATGCGGGTATCTTGATTATTTAAATTAGCATATTTTTAAATGCATTATATATAAAAAGGCATAGGTTAAAGAAAGCTATGGCACTTCAATCCTGTCCTAGCCTTCAGCATCATGGGAATGTAGTTCACAAATATTTCTAAGGGTGTGGGAATATACAGAAGAATTTCAAGTTACAAAGTTCTTTTGAGAACTTATCTGTCCACTCATCCTTCCAGGTATGAATCTTACAGTAATACGATCAAAATAATGACAGAATTCAACCATTACTTTATAACACTGTGATAAATACTCCCATTGTGGAAGTAAAACAGGGACACGGGACATTCTTACAATCTTGCAATAAGTGCTTTGAGTGTCCCATTAAGACATTTATTGTACACTTCTATAAACAACTCACGACAGAGACAGCCAGTGCATCATGGGAAATGTAGTTAAAAATCAAATGCCTTGTGACAATCAAGTCACTGTTACATTGAGATGTTTATATTACTTGATAGACCATATAAAAAACAGAGTCACATGGGATTCTATTTTGTCTGGTAAATATAGTCAACCGAGCATGAAATACAGTGTCTGAAAAATTCAGACAGAAGGAAGATGAGGTAACAGTACAGACACTAAAGGAACATTTGCCTAGTTTAATTCATTTTTAAAACACTTTTTGTCACATGAAAATGATAGGATTTGTATGTATATCTTTCATGAGTGATGTTAAACTACTTGTTTCCACTCCCTTCTCTATAAAAATAGAACAGATCTTTGTATATATTTTTTTTTACTCTTTACAGAATATTCCCTGGAATCCACAAGGATCAACCATGCTTGCTACATCTGTGTGTAAGAAGAGCCTTATAACTTAAAGCAGCATTGCCATCAGTCTATCAATAAAAAAATAAATCTAAGTGACTCGAGGGATTTTCATTACTTTTTGTGTCAAGCTACGGGGTAAATATTTCCTTTCTTTTTAGAGGCAGTAATAAAGAAAACCGGCAGTGTGAGGCCTTCTCCATTGATCAGCTCATCAACCACAATGTGATTTGAATGTGAAATACAGAACCATCTGTTTGGGAGCCGTGACTGCGGAGGGAGAGATTCTCCCCAAAACACAATTTTCACAGTGCCCATCAGTTTATTGTGGAGCTAGAATAGCTAGGAGGTTTTGGCTCGGTGTGAGGTAGCGATTCAGATTTCACTGGTGGTAATGCTGCTTTACGATTAAAAGAAAAAGCGTTCAAAACACAACAAAAAATAAATAAAGTTCATCCACCCACTTTTTTTGTGTCCCTTGTACTGCTGTGATTTGGATTTCTTCTTCTGTTTGGAGACACTGGACTGGTTGTCTTTTGTTGCTACGAAAGATAGTAGGGGAAAAAATATAGCAATGCGTTTTTATTAAGTACTAATAATTTAACATATAAAACGAGTAATAATACAAAATGTATCAAATCAGTGGTACAATTAGTCACAATGTCCAATGGAAAGAAAAAAAGGTATTGCAAAAACACCAACTATAAGTCCCCACTTAAAATATATCCAACCATGCCGATTGCCCTCCCCAACTCACCGACACAGTCCCCTTCTAAGAAGGTCATAAGGCTAAAACTTGTTCCTCTACTCCAAGTTTTGGAATCTCAATATATGATGAAATAAACTAACAGTATCCGATTCAGGAAAACTTGTGCTACACTTTATTCAGGTGTTAGGTTCGACCATGTTCCTACGTGTGAGAATAGTAATACTTAAATTATTTCCTCTAGGGAATTTTTTGTGTCCTGTGATATCACTATTGTGAAAGTACCCATCAACATTAGCACATGAATTCCTTCCATCTTCAGAAATCATTGGCTGAGAATCTCATCTGATGCGTTCAGCCACTGAATGAAAACGTACCTGCCATGATACACACAGCATTACATATTAATGAGATTCCCATACCATCTAGACATTGTGGTAGCAGAACGGCTTACAAATGTATAGACTGAGAGTCAAATAAATAAATACATTTCGAAATAGGTCGTTTCCATCCACCCGTCAGTCAAATCTCCGGCATAGATCTCTGTACTGAAGGAAAGGCAGAAAGACTGAGCAGGAGAGACTTCCTACATATGGTTCTCTTGCCCTCCAAGGATTGCACAGAGCCCATGTGCTCTGACTGCTATAATTTCTTTATAGCCACAGCTAGGGGGTACAGGAGCAGAGTGACTGACCTTGCATTTACATTTTTACACCCCCCAGAGAAAGTAACTGGTAAATAAAGTAGAAATTCTGCAAAAAAACAGCATTAGATAAATATGGGATTTCTGCAGTTAAGTAGATCAGTTCTCAGCATCAATGGTGCAAGGAAAAGGAATGAGATTCCGGATGGTGCAGAATTAATGAGCACGGCCAAAAGAAGCTCAGATTAGTTAGAAAACTGATTCAAAAGTATTTAAAATATTATACAAGAATATTTACAGTGAGAGTGGGCGTTCGTAAAAGGAAAACGTCACGTCAGTAAGGACGGCAACTTACTCTGAGGTGCCGGAGGTTGTAGTTGGTAACCCGTTAACTGGCACCAACCGACGGGATAGAGGTCAGCCGATTCACAGTCTACCCATTGATCATACTCATCTTCCCAGCCGTCGAAATGAATCCTTAGCAAGCGATGGATGATGCGTGTTACCGTGGCAACGCACACTAATCGAGGCTCCATCAGGTCCACAGCCTCCAGTTTCATTCCAACACGAAAGCCATGGTTGGGAACGTCCTAATATGGTGGGTGTAACAATATCTCACAAAATAAGGATTCAAAATAACAGCAAATGAAATAAGAATTGCATCACATTGTACAACTTTACCTATAAATCATTTTAAAAAATACTATTGTGCGGATCGGTATAACAAGTTGATTTGAATTTCTCATCATATATAAATAATTTCTTTTTGAGAATTGTAAAAATGTTTTTCTCCAGGAAATATGGATTTTTACAGCAGAAAAGAGGCAGCCATTAGACTATCACCAGTGGACCTTCTATTCCCCGATCGTGGTTTGAATTCTACATGGATTCTTATTGGCTAAAATGTTTCTGTGGCTGTAAAGATAACAAGCAAGTTCTGTAACTCTTACATAGATTTCTGGGTTTACAGGTCATTTAATAGTAAACAATGAATGTATGGCGATATTCTCTCAGTTTGTATGAATTTGAATCATGTAACTATGAAAAATGCTTCCAATAAGACATCCCAAATGCATCATGTATTACCTTATTAAAGAACTTTACAGGAGCAGCTACGGATCCCGTTTCCCTGAGGTAGTCAAACCATTTGAAAGGTAGTTTTGTGTAGCCTGAAAAGACATGTGTTCCAAGATTTAGTTTAGGCATAAGGGGTCAGATTAGAGTAGAAATTCCACGCAGGGGGGTGAGGAAAAAAAAAAAAAAAAAAAAAAGTGGCACGGAACACTAATGGGGATGCCAAAATCCACATGCGTGTTTACAGGATTCTAAAACATAAAATATGCAGATCTAACAATTCAGGTCATACCGGCAAACCAAGAAAACAATTACTGGACACATTTTGCATCCTTAACAAATACGTCTCTTGCTTTTCGTTTTAAAGAGTGACAGCATAAAAAACAATAAATAAGAATTCCTTCTAGAGAATATATTTCCTTTAATCAGACCTCAGCAGCACAGTACATTAGAAATGTCAAAATAAGCGCTATTAATAACGTAGGGAATCTAAATTCTGACTTTAGAATGTATTTTTCCTTAATATGCCTCAGGAGCTCGTATTTTGCTATGCCTGATTTCAAAGTCAATGCCCTTTTCTTGATCACACCATCCAATCAAAAATATGCCTTAGAAACTTTTGTAGTTATTTGAGAAGCCATACAAAGTTGGAAGAACTCATGAAACCGCAACATGTGATTGTACCCAAATGACCATGTCCAGCTGAAAAAAAAAAGTCTATGAATGCCATCACACGGTTTTCCCACCCTGAACGGTTTTCAAGCAGTTACCTGTTCCTTCTTCAGATGCTCATATAATTTAAAAGAAGGGAAATAAATGAATAAATAAAAACACCAACACAAATCCACAAAAAGAGGGAGACTGCACTCATAGAGCCATTTCACAACACACACACTACAATAATCAGCTGCAATTGTGGTTCCTATATTCAAAAAGGGTTCAAAATCCTTGCCTGGAAATTATAGACCTGTGAGCTTAACTTCTGTGGCTGGTAAAATATTTGAAAGGTTATTAAGGGATAATATTCAAGAATTCCTTGAGAAGAACAAGGTTATCAGCAAAAATCAGCATGGTTTTATGAAGCACAGGTCATGTCAAACTAACTTGATTGCGTTCTACGAAGAAGTAAGTAGAAGTATAGATCAGGGTGTTGTCGTAGATGTGATCTATTTGGATTTTGCCAAGGCATTTGATACAGTTCCACACAATAGATTAGTGTTCAAACTCAAGGAAATCGGTCTAGATGAAAATGCTTGTTCTTGGGTAGAACATTGGCTTAAAAACAGAGTACAAAGAGTGGTCATTAATGGTAAATTTTCAAGCTGGACAGAGGTGGCAAGTGGTGTCCCTCAGGGGTCTGTTCTGGGACCCCTTCTATTTAACATGTTTATAAATGATCTTGAAGACTGCATTGAAAGTCATGTTTCAGTGTTTGCAGATGACACCAAACTTTGTAAAACAATACAATGTGAGCAAGATATTACTTTGCTGCAGAGGGATTTAGATAGACTGGGGACTGGGCACTCAAATGGCAGATGAAATTTAATGTTGAAAAATGCAAAGTTATGCACTTCGGCGTAAAGAATACACAAGCAACGTATACCCTTAATGGAAGCGAATTAGGGATAACAACACACGAAAAGGACTTGGGAATTGTTATAGACAACAAACTATGCAACAATGTGCAATGTCAATCAGCAGTGGCCAAGGCCAGTAAGGTATTGCCATGCATGAAAAAGGGCATTCATTCTCGGGACGAGAATATCATTTTGCCTCTTTATAAATCACTGGTAAGACCACATATTGAATATGCTGTGCAATTTTGGGCACCTGTTCTAAAGAAGGATATTATGGCACTAGAAAAAGTGCAGAGGCTGGGCTACAAAATTAATAAAAGGAATGGAACATATCAGCTATGAAGAAAGGTTAACAAATTTAAACCTATTTAGTTTAGAAAAACGTCGCCTGAGAGGGGATATGATAACATTATACAAATATATTCGGGGCCAATACAAACCATTGTGTGGAAATCTATTCACAAACCGGACTTTACATAGGACACGAGGACATGAGTTTAGACTGGAAGAAAGAAGATTTCGTCTAAGGCAAAGGAAAGGTTTTTTTACCGTAAGAACAATCAGGATGTGGAATTCTCTGCCTGAGGAAGTGGTTTTATCAGAGTCCATACAGATGTTCAAACGGCTACTAGATGCATACTTGCAAGAACAGAATATTCAAGGATATAATCTTCAATGTAGGGTAATAACTGCTTGATCCAAGGATAAATCTGACTGCCATTCTGGGGTCAAGAAGGAATTTTTTTCCTAGCTTGTTGCAAAATTGTGCTTCAAACTTGTTTTTTTTGCCTTCTTTTGGATCAACAGCAAAAAACAAATGTGAGGTAGGCTGAACTTGATGGACGCAAGTCTCTTTTCAGCTATGTAACTATGTAACTATGTAATTATAGTGCACAGAATGCTTCATTTTATTACATATGGACAAATGATTTTATTGTGTCATTCAGTTTTTCTCCTTGTGAGAAACAAGCACAGGGGAAAAATAAATAAACAGTCCTAAGAATATAATGGATAACAACTAAAGGGTAAAACACTCTAGATTTCCATAAATTAAAGACATATGCTTAGAAATCTGATCAAACGATCCTTACTATGCTGGATCCCCTATAATATCTTAGAAAAGCAAAACAAACAGTTAACTAGGTAGAAAGAAGGGCTCACCACAAACAAACAGTGTGTGGGTATGGAACAAATATCCTAAGGACTTCTTTCACTGGTTTCTTTTGTCAAACTGATTGGGACTGCCCCGAGTGACTCTCAGTGTATCACTGCGGTCCACGTCAACAGAACCAATACTGAGAATATGAAAGAGTAAATTCTGCATCATCGCGGCATCCTAGGGGATTGTCTATAGGTGCCATGGAGAGCTCCAGATAAATTGCTTAACACTGGCTAGATTTGATGGTAAAGCATTAATATTTGTATTTAAATATTGAGTGGACCTGCCAGAGAAACCTCATCTGGCAGTGGATTCCACATGTTAACCACCCTGTCTGTACCTAGTAATAAAAACTATAACCAGTGGATTCCAAATTTTCTGCTCCGAGGAGTAGTTTACAAAAAAAAAACCTGCAAGTATGTCTGATTTCCCCTGGCAAAAAATAAATACACAGCAAAATAAATCAAATAAAAAGAAATATTCTTGGAGACAGAGAAGGTGCACTCACTGAGCTATCAGTAGATAGTATAGTCTGGAATATCATTTACCTCGTGGCGGCGTTAATTCAATCTTGTTAATTTCACAGAAACCAACAGGGAATATTGATGGAGACAACGCGTGGTAACAAAACCAGTCCGAACCATCAGCTGCTTCAGAGCCGTCGATCCCAATCATTAGGAATCCTTCAGCCAGAACCTTGAACACGGAATAGACACAGGGTGAACACGGAACAGACACATGGTGAATTATTCTCTCAAATCAAATGTTCGTTATACAGGAGGACACTTTCAGAGAGAACAAATCTTGGAACAGTTCCCTCACATTCCAAAAATACAAAATGTAAAATAGTGAAACATTCTACAAGTGGCTTCCAATCCTGAATTACTGGCTGTAAGTGTAATGATGTGCTTGTTCTAGAGGTTGCAGAATTTAAAAAAAAAAAAGGCACAAAAAGTTCAGTGAAATCGAATTTCTTGTAAAAACGGTACAAAGATTAGGCATATGGATAGGTGGCAGAAATGCTTATCTATACTGTTAAAGAGGAAATGTGACAATTGAAATTGGATTTTATTCTTTATTATTCAGCAAATTAAAGCCTTACATGACTTCTAGATGTAGTTCAATCTTTTCATTAATTTAGAATAGGAACATTTCCCGACTTTGACAAACTCCTTCAGAAGACACAGGTGTTTATGCATTAAACCTTGAAATGTAGTAAAATATATTCCAAGCTATAAAATTGAGGCTGGAATATTCAAACCATAACTAGAACGGAGGTAGAGAATTTGTCCAAATCATCCGTTTGCAAATTGTTGGTCAGCTCTCTACAGCTCTTTTCAGTGTTGAGTGAATAAACCCCACAGGATTGTTCACTAAACTGTAGTTGGTCAGCACATTTTTGGCTAAAATAGTTGGATTAAAAAATAAAATAAAAAAAATAATAAAAAAAATTCCAAACCTTCAGCACTCCAGATGTTGTGGACTACATCTCCCATAATGCATCTGGAGTGCCGAAGGTGTTGTATTGGTAAATAAGATCATGGAATTACCTTTCTGATAGTTGCTACACATATTGCCGATAAGTTTAAGGGATCAATCGCTTCCAGTTTCATCCCTTCTTTGAACCACTCCAAACCCTGGTCAACGTCTTTCACCTAAAACATTGCATTCCATCAAATATTGGTAAATAACAGAAATGAACGCTGAAGACAGCAAAACTAATCATTTCACATGAACAATAAAACCCACGTGTTTACCTTCGTGAATAGATGTGGGGGGGCATCATAGTGCGATTCCTGTTTTTTCAAAATGTCTAGAAGCAGGAAATAGAACATGCAAAACAAGAGTCTGTAATCATGTTGTAAGAGCTTTGAGCACTACAATTAGGAAGCTATGTTTCCTGGTCAATCCCCATGCGGTCATTCCACATGGATCACAATTAAGTTCAATAACACTGATGGGAAAGAAGAGATAACGGATGTATTCCTAGATCAAAATTATACAAAGATTTAAAGGGCTACTGTCACTCCCCAGAATATTACATATTCTGTTTACTTAGAACTATAATTAAGAACAATTTGCATTTCTAAGGTATGATTAATACAATTTGATGTAGAAATCAACATCTCTCCATTCTGCAGCGGGAGTGTCCATCTTTGGTCCCTGACAATCACTGTTATAAGCTCTGTCCTCGGCACATGGCAGTCAGAATATAAAAAGCATACAGAGCGGAGGAGAAATTAAACAAGGTTTCTTGCCCTGGCTTTGGATGTGCCCTTCTGAGTAATAGATACCTGTTCTCTTAAATCGATGCCCAATACTTCGAGACCATCCAATATGATGAATCAGAGGACTGTACATATGGCACCAAAAATCATCAGTTTTGTCTTCACTTTCTTCATAGACCAGGCGTAACCTCCCTCCGATCACGCTGTCTACTATTGCGACCCGTGTCCGGCAAAGATGCGTTTTGTCCACAACTTCTACCCTCATCGAAGGTTTAAAAGGATATTGCATACTGTCAGACACCTAGTAAAGGGCAGAAAACATCCACAATTAAATGAAGATAAAACACATACAGAAAATCACCCTAAAGCAAAATACTGTATATCTGAAATATTTACCTTTTGAGAAAAGTCAGGAGGCAGCGTCTTGGCACCCGTTAGTCTTTTAACCAAAAAGGCTTTCCAATTTGTGTATTTGTGCTGAATTGCTGAGCAATTGGAGAAAAGAAATAACAGACAATACATTTAACACTTCTATAAATTAATTTAAATGGATAATTCCCAATATAATCAAATACATGTTATTTTTGTAGAGGACCACTGCTATCAACCCCTTAAGTGCCAGCATTAAAATACTAATAGAGTGACCATGTAGTGCTTTGCAGGCTCTCCTCTCATCCCTACAATTTTAACAGGAAACACGTGAAAATACCTTTAACCCGGAAAGTCTACTCTAACAAGCAGAGTGCAGATAGCACTGTGTCATAATAAGTCAAACAGCTATTTACAAGAGATCATTTAGCAATCTTGTGTAGTGTTTAGAGATTGGTTCTTTAACTGCACTGATTGATCTAAAGCTGGCGCAAGCGTTAAATCAAGCCTTACTGGTTTATCAATACATCGCTGGACGGTGGAGTGTGATCTGAATGATTAATGCAGACAGTTATAGCTAGGGATCGACCGATATTGATTTTTTAGAGCCGATACCGATACCGATAATCTGCGAACTTTCAGGCCGATAGCCGATATCTTGCCGATATTCTGTACATTTACTATTTTGAATAAATAAACTAATTCGAAAGGTAAATGCACAAAATATACATGCCACATGTAGTGGATGAAGTGTGTTTAGACAGGGGAACTGTGTTTGTTTGTGTAGTGTGTGTGTGTAGTGGATGCAGAGTGTGTGTATATAATGCAGTGTGTGTAGTGTGTATATAATGCAGTGTGTTTATGTAGTGTGTGTATAATGCAGTGTGTTTTTGTGTGTATGTAATGCAGTGTGTGTGTTTGTGTAGTGTGTATGTATGTAATGCAGTGTGTGTGTCTGTGTAGTGTGTATGTAATGCAGTATGTGTACTGTGTGTGTAGTGTGTATGTAATGCAGTGTGTGTATGTAATGCAGTGTGTGTGCAGTGTAGTGTGTGCAGTGTGTGTCTGTAATGCAGTATGTGTGCAGTGTGTGTTTGTGGTGTGTGTGTAGTGTGTCTGTGTAGTGTGTGTATGTAATGCAGTGTGTGTGCCTGTGTAGTGTGTATGTAATGCAGTGTGTGTGTATGTAATGCAGTATGTGTGCAGTGTGTGTTTGTGTAGTGTGTGTGTGTGTGTTTGTGTAGTGATGTAATTTGTGTAATTTTTAATTTTAATATTTTTTATAATATTTAAATGTTTTTTTTTGTTTAGTCTCCCCCCAGTGTGTGTTTGTGTAGTGTGTGTTTGTGTAGTGTGTATGTAATGCAGTATGTGTGCAGTGTGTGTGTGTAGTGATGTAATTTGTGTAATTTTTTATTTTAATATATTTTTTTTAATATTGAAATGTTTTTTTTATTTTTTGTTTAGTCCCCCCTCCCTGCTTCTTACCAGGGAGGGGGATATAGTATTCCCTGGTGGTCCAGTGGCTTGTTAAGTACAGTGGTGGCTCAGCAGCAGCAAGCGCTGACTTACCTTGCAAGCAGCTCCTACAGCTCCCTGTGTAAATCTCGCGGCTCTTAGTGCCGCGCGGAGCGTTGCCATGGTAACCCGTGGCAACGCTCTGCGGCCGCGGGTCTCGCGAGATTTACACAGAGAGCTGTAGGAGCTGCATGCAAGGTAAGTCAGCGCTTGCTGCTGGCCCCCACAGGACCGCCGGGCTTGTAATGGGCCCGGCGGTCCTGTTATATATTATCGGCAATATCGGTATCTGAATTGGCCGATACCGATATTGCCGAAAATACCAAATATCGGCCGATAATATCGGCCAGACCGATAATCGGTCGATCCCTAGTTATAGCACTATCTACAGATCCATCTGCACCTTGACACACCTGTAGCTACAGCAGCACACCAGAAACTAGTAATTGACAAATTAAAAATAAATAAAAGCACCCCTTTACGCCATAATTTTCCCATTTCTCTAAAATATTAACCTGTTAATGACAGGACGGTGATGAAAACAAACACTTGATGTGTATTTAGTGTTAAATACACAGGACTGAAGAATCTAATAAGTCATCTTAGAGTCTATCCTATGCAACAAGGCAAAGTCTCCCCCATTTCAGTTTTACAAAAAACAAAAAATCTGTTTCTTTAAGTTGTTTTATTTTTTTAAAGCTCCTAGGGTAATGTCAACAGCAATTAGATGTACTGGGTTTCATTTAGCTAACCAACTTCCCTGACTTGTTCCTATGATCATTTAAAAAAATTTCTAATAGAGATAAGAGAGTCTTTAATAGTTGGGCATGGAGGGGAGGAGAGAGAACCACCGTATGGGTGGTTTAAGATTCCAGGAATAATTGGTCACTTGTATGCGTATGTTTAATGCGTTTTCTTATCAGGATATTTGTTTATTTTTTACTAAACGTGTTACCATAGTCACGAAGGTTTTACATTCAAATTTTGTGACCTCTGATCTCTCTAAGCAGTACAAAGGGCACGTAGATAAAGTTAGACACTAGGCACATTCAAGCTGTCCCTCCCCTCCTTTATTTCTGCTATTCTCTCCATACTATGCTCGTTTCCATGGCAGTATGTAAAAGGCAGTATTTATGTAAATACCGCTCACAAATACCAATAATTATTGTTTAGTAGCTACTAATCTGTGCAATAACCCCTAACCCTTTTTTAATAAAACCATAACTATCTAGAGTAAAATTAATATAAAATTCACCCAAAAATGTAGCAAAGTGGTGAGTACATTAAAGATGTCACATCATGGTACAAAATGCGTACGAAAACACCGCCTCGCTACAGGAAGCAGTGTTTTGGCAATTGCAGAAGAGGAGGACCCCAAAACACAAGTAACTAAACTTGCACAATAAGTTAACCACAGAGTTAAACTATTAAAAAATACGGCAGGTTTTCCATTTGCTGCACTGTTTGGGAGTAATGAACGCGTGCTAAGAAGCTCTTTCATTTAATGGCAGCAGGTTACTCATAGCCATCTCCACTGATACAAACCACCACATAGCATTCCCAGGTAAGAAAATGAAATACAGCTCCATGAAGCGGACACACTGACTTTGATGCAGGACCAGCTATGGAGTTGCCATAGCAACCATAGCTCAATCACGGTGGTTCCTATGGATGGAGAGCAGAAGGACCACCTGTGGGAGGTCCGTTCTGTTCTTCCTGTCAATCAAGTCTTTGGCATAGAGTCTAGTAAGGCAAGAGAGAAACCTATTTTTAAAAAGGTTTTTTCTCCCAATTATACGTTTTCTAGCAACACTGCTAGCACAATGTATAGATAAAATGTCATGCTTATTGCAAACAGCAGAAGTGGTTTTGGTGTGACAGTCCCTTTAATGTATTTTAGTATAGAATTAATGTATTTTAATATATGAAATACTATAAGAGGCCGTTTAATCAGATAGTGACAGGTGAGAATTTTTACCTTCTAACATGAAAACCACGTTTTAATCTTTAGCAACTTTTATTAATCTCTATGGAGATGTTCAAACCTTCACCAGCTGCTAATTAACAGTCATAAAAAATGTGTAAACAGCTTTTTTTTTTACAATTACTGACTTGTCACTAAATGATGACACCGGCATGGGAATGAGGCCACTGTGTGCTATATTTAGAAAGCAAACGCTACAAATAAGGGGAGAAAAATGTTAGAGAGTAAAAAAAAAATAAAAAAAAATTAGTCACATACTCTGTGGTGGGACTAATGGTTTTCCACTGCTTGCGCACCAGCCCACCGGATGGACATCAGGACCACAAATGTTACACCAGAAATCCAGGCTGGAATCGTTTTCAAAGCCCTCATATCTAAGCAGAGCGTTGTATCCTGCAAATACAGAGTTGAAAGGCGGATTGTCACTTATTTCTCATATTCGGTTTACTTACATCCTAACTTTAAACACCATAACCACTGCAATACTCGGCAGAGGTTGCGTGGCTTTGAATGTTCCTTTAACAAATAAGTGTTTGCGAGGTTAGAGGTGCAGAAATCCACACAGCTATCTTGGAAATAACTGCATTATCTTGATTCCCTGTCAATCATAGTCATAAATGTTACATCTTCTGCTATTCAAGTTTCTGCCAAGAATTTTAAGAGTTGCTAATTGGGAAACTTTGTTTACACCTCTCAGAATAATGCCAACTTGTTTTCAGTTTGCTAGGACTAGACATTGCAGAGTAAAATCCCCCAGTGTTAGCATGAAGACCCCCTTTTTTTTGGTTTAAATTATTTATGGTTCAAAAAAAATCAAGGGGGCGGGCTAATTACTAGTTGGTCAATTCCGTTACTTTTTAGTTTACTTTTTATTGAAAAAAAGTTAAGAGATTGGTACATCGTAATATGAGGAAATTGGATTAAGGTCAATTTTAAAATAAGGCACTGGCTCTGCCCCTGATCAGCATACTTGGCTGACCTCATCAGAAATAATAATCTCAGCCAATTACAAATGTGAAAGGATTGGATTGGCTGAGATTGTCAAATCTGAAGATCTCAGCCAAGGAAGCGGGATGGTGGATGGAGCCAAACGCTACCCTGGCCAATCAGCATCTACTTAAGGAGATGCATTGAATCAATGCATCTCTATGGGGAAAGTTAAGCGTCTCAGTGCAGAGTGTGGAGATGCTGAACATCAGTGCCGCACACTGTAGCACTGCCCCAGGAAGCACCTCTAGTGGCTGCTAGATGTGTTCCTAGGCCTGGGATAGGCAACCTTTGGCACTCCAGATGTTGTTGACTACATCCCACATAATGCTCTTACACCCATAAAGCTGGCAAAGCATCATGGGAGGTGTAGTCCAAAACATCTGGAGTGCCGAATGTTGCATATGCCTGTCCTTGGCTGCAATAAAAACAATGCCTTTTCTCTGAACACACATACATAAAATGAAACTAAATAATCAATACAGATACAATAGAAAATACATACATATATATTTATTTTTTAAATAAGTAGTTTTGTTCTACAAGCTCATTCCTTTATCCTTTCCTCCCAATACCTACAGAAGAAAGAATTATGAGAAAAGATAAGCACTGGTATGGAAAGTTAAATGAGTGCTATAATTGGCTATATGAGTTTCTCTCTGCAGAGCTCACTATAGAAGTTGCAAATTCTGGCGATTTACAACAAATGCGAAGCAAAAACAACACGGCATCTATAGAGCAATCACCAACCTGCTAATTTCACAATTCCGGCTATCCAAAACACTTTTTGTGGATGATTGTGGTCTGTGTTTGGAACTTCGACTCGAACACCTTCTGCAATGTCACCCCAACAATTTCCCATGGGTGCCTGGCAAGGAATCAAGGCATGAATAAAATGTCTAAAACCACCTACCCTAATAACCATGCTTCACAATAACTAGCATCTCCATCATAAAAAATGTTTTGATTTGGAATAAGAAATCAGTGGGCTATTTTAAATGACAAGTCAACATTGATCTAAGACGACTTACATGTTTGAAGCAAGAGACAGGAGCTGCAGGTAGGTTATTGCTAGTGATGTAGCTTCCCCAGCTAAATCCTTCAACTGTGACAGCTGTCAAAGCAAGAAAAAATATATATGAAGGAAATGGCATTCTGCAATTTGAATGGTGATTCACTTTAGAATGCCATCAGAGTTACTTTACTCTATATGTTGTACTAGTAAAACTGGCAGCACATCTATACACCATGGAACACGACTTAAAGTGGCTCAGTCACCTTCTGGGGTCTTTGCAGACTTTGCAAAGACCCCAGTTGGAGATGGCTCCGTTTCCAGTGTGGTGGCCTGGGGGTGGAGGAAAGGGTAGTTTTTACTTACCTGAACCTGTCCCTAGGGCGTTTCTATCCCTCACAGTCACTGCCATCTTGTTCAACGAATTCCTCTTCATCTGCCAGGAAGTGACATCGGCACTGTACATTGAAGTCAATGGAGGATCCCGCGACACTGTAGGATCCTCCAGAGACAGAGGCCTAGGCTTGACAGTGGTAGCTCTGCCTTTTGTCAAGCACAGGAAAAATACATACTTTAAACTCATATCTATTGACTGGGTTGAAATTTGACGAAGTTTGTGGGGTAACAAAAAACGCTTTAAAGGGATACTCTGTACACCAACCTAACTTAAAAGGACACTGAATGAACTATAACTATTTCAACTCAATGAATTGGTTATAGTGCCTTTAGTTCCCGGACACTCACTGTCCCTCCATTCCATGGTTAACAGTGAATGAGGGACCCTCGCTTCCCACAGTCCCGCCCCCCCTGGAGGTGTGGTTACGGCAGAGATTCCACACTTCCTTATAGCCATACCGATTTATACCTCAGTGTCCCTTTAAATACATTGACGATTTTTTTCTCTATATTTAAATTTGTAGTTTTGAATAACAAAAATGTGACGTTCTGCTGTTTTCTGAAGCATAACTTCACACTGAGAACTGAGAAACTGTTGTGCGGGGATAAAAATGCCATTAATTTGAACTTGTTCTAGGCCAGAAGTTGTCAGCCCTCACTAGGTGTACCTAAACAATTTGGTATATCAGATGCCAATGGCAGGCAAACCTGGAAAACAGGCAGTAGTCTTTGGCACCCAAATAAGGGAAAGGACACGAGACCCTAATTTTTGTGGCTTTTTGCTACCCTGGGAATATAACAGTAATTATTGATTACAACATTTTTGGGGACGAGTGTTATCTAAATATATTGAGTCTTACCACTTTTGTTTAACGCTTGGTTTTTCAGTGTTGCCTGATACTGAGCGTAAGCTGCCAATTTCGCAACCAAGGGTTGTTTTTGTAGAACCTTTGCTCTTTTTGTTGGTGGTTTACCCTAGGATTAGAGGGGTGAAATGTAAATAAAAACAATGATTTCAAAAACATTTGTTTTCTTCTAATCCTAACCCAGCAGGTCTTATTGTTCTATATATTTTTTACAATAAATTGTAATTGGTAAACTATGCTAACTGAGCTGAACCAAATAAGCCTTGTGAAATGAAAACCAAAAAAAAAGTAGGCTTTAACCATTACAATTAGATAAGGGTAAAAGCAACATTACAGTTATGGGATTCTGTAAAAACATTTCATGTACTTTTCAAAATGTTGCTGCAAAATTTTCCTCTACACTTTATCTTGCCTTTAACCCCTTAAGGACCAAACTTCTGGAATAAAAGGGAATCATGACATGTCACACATGTCATGTGTCCTTTAGGGGTTAAAGCTTCTTGAAATTTATGGACATCCTGAATGTTAACATTTTTAAGAAGTTAAAAATGTCAACAATAATAAAGACAGACGGTCAGATTTTGGAATTCGTAAATAAGGTAGGTCCTGCTATGCCACTAATTCACAGATGTGACAGTTATATAGTGAATAAAAAAGAAAAAAAAGAAAGAAAATTTAGATATTTTTTGAAAGTGTTAATCGAATCAGATTGGCTCTGAAATGGTTACCTTTAAAGTCAACGAAGAGTCCATATATTAGTACTATAAAATACTCAAAGTGGCTACGTCACTTGTAGGTTTGTTAAATGGAAGGTGATATCAATAAGTCAAGTAGATGAAAAACTCTGCTTTAGGTAGGTATAGTTTAAGTCTACATATTGCCTTGATTAAAATCACCAGCAAATACGTAGATTATTTCTATATTTACCTGAAGATCGCTTCCCCCTAATACAATATGTTCTGAAAGGACAGCGGCATGCTATACTTCCTTGCATGTATATACATTTTATTTTTTTAAGTTTGTTGAAATGTTGTTTTCTGTAAAGTGACACCAATTCATGTTAACCACGACAGGTGCACTTTAGACTAGAATCTTTTCATATCCCATTTACAACCGATTACCTGAAGTCTTGCCAGAATGCTTGCCTTTTTGGAGTTGGAGGAATAACTTCGGGAGCATGAAACACTGCAGAACCTTTTTGTCTTGGAATAAAAGGCATCTCGGACGCCGACCATTCCACACATCTCGCATGTTGCTAAGAATGAAAAGGTCAAACTTTTGTGTCAATATCACAGATCCAAATACAAATCATTCCTGGTTATGTTACCTGAAAGCTACCCCAAACGTGCATGAGCATCCCACATCTAGATACAAGTATTTCTTTTTCATTCAGGTACATCCCACTGGTCATCATTTTCCCCAATAAAAAGGTATTTGGGAAAGTGCACTATTGCAAAACAAGTGTGATCAATGTGCGAGGAACATCATTTGTCAAAAAACTATTAATTTCTAGTGTCCCATACTCATGGATGTACTCAGTCCACTAAATTAAAATATTCCCTGTTGACTGCGTAAGCATTTTACCACAGAGGAGGATAAAGCAACCTTGCAGCAACACACACTCACACCAGGAAATGCAGGAATTATTGTGTGCGTGTTTGTGCAACCATTTCTTTTTCTTTTTTGTTTGGATTTGCAACTAAAAACCTAAGCCCTTCATGTAATCGAGGTAGCCTATTGTTGATGGCATAGTTTCTCCCTTCCCAGCTTACAACATTTCTTTTTTACTTTTTTTTGGACTTTATGGAAAGTTTGTTTTGGGAATAAATCAATGTTGGAATCCATAGTACACATCATTTAAAATGGCAGTACTTACCCATGCCAGATTTACCATCCGGATACGTGTAAACTTGGCCATTGTTTTTGATGATGGGGAGGCTCGACTGCAGTGGAGCAACCTCCTCTTCACTCTCGTCTGAACTCGAGCTGCTACTCGTATCGTCGCTACAGCTATCATACCCGTCAAACATGCCGAAAGAATCTCGCCGCTTTCTCTCACGTGAAGAATGCTCAGGCTAAAAAAGTAAAGTAAACAAAAAGAAAAATTAACAATTGTTGGTGAATTTACAGAGATTGTTATTTTACAGAATTATTGCTTAATGAAAAAATCCCAAAAAGGTAAATTTGTCAGTAATGGAATGGATACGTAGCCCACGACTTCAATCTGTTGCACAGACATCAATATTACTATTCTCACTTAAAGGAACACTATAGGGTCAGGAACATAAAGCTGTACTCCTGACCCTATTGTGTTAAAACACCATCTATCCCCCTAAATAAAAATAGTAAAATCTTACTTTTATTCCTGTCTGCTGCTACTGGCTTTGCCCCTGATCTGCCTGCTTGGCTAAGAAGTTAAAAATGTCAACAATAATAAAGATGGACGGTCACAGATTTTGGAATTCGTAAATAAAGTAGGTCCTGCTATGCCACTAATTCACCGATGTGACAGTTATATAGTGGGGGGAAAAAAAAGAAAAAGGAAATTTAGATATTTTTTGAAAATGTTAATCAAATCAGATTGGCTCTGAAATGGTTACCTTTAAAGTTAACGAAGAGTGCATATAGTAGTACTATAAAATACTCAAAGTGGCTACGTCACTTGTAGGTTTGTTAAATGGAAGGTGATATCTATAAGTCAAGTAGATGAAAATCTCTGCTTTAGGTAGGTATACTTTAAGTCTACATATTGCGTTGATTAAAATCACCAAATACGTAGATTATTTCTATATTTAGAAGTGATGATCTGAGCCAATCACAATGTTTTCCCATAGGAAAGCATTGGATTGGCTGAGCTTGTCAAAAAGGCAGATCAGGGGCAGAGCCAACACAAGCCAAACACAGGCCTGGTCAATCAGCATCTCCTCATAGAGATGCATTGAATCAATGTATCTCTATGAGGAAAGTTCAGTGCCTCCATGCAGAGGGTGGAGACACTGAATGTCAGTCCCACTGTGCAGCACCTCTAATAACCATCTGAGGAGTGGCCAGTGGAGGTGTCACTAAGCTGTAATGTAAACATTGCATTTTCTCTGAAAAGACTGTGTTTACTGCAAGACACCTGAAGGGAATGATTCTACTCACCAGAATAAATACAATAAGCTGTAGTTGTTCTGGTGACTGTAGTGTCCCTTTAAGTAACTAACCCTGTTATTCTTCAAAATATTTCATACAGAATTTGTCAATTTAAGGCCAGAGTAGCAATGAGCACAATGTGGGCACCTCTCTATAATTAAATTAAAATAATGCCCGTTAGACATGTTTGTAATGGGCTTAATGACAAGAAATTTACAGTACAGTGTATGAAACATTGTTACATTTTGTCACATCATAGTAGTGATAGATAGATATATATATATATATATATTTTTTTTTTTTTGGGGGGTTTAGTATTACTTTAACAAGTACTTGACTTTTGAGCTTAGAATAAAGTGTTAATGATGGGATGCTCAACATTTTGAAATGATTATAATAGCATTTAAAGAGGTGCAGTTATCCATCCATCCTAATTAACATGCTAGAGCACAGCTTAGTTAAAGGACCACTCTAGGCACCCAGACCACTTCAGCTTAATGAAGTGGTCTGGGTGCCAGGTCCTTCTAGGGTTAACCCATTTTTTTTTTTTTTATAAACATAGCAGTTTCAGAGAAACTGCTATGTTTATGAATGGGTTAAGCCTTCCCCCTAATCCTCTAGTGGCTGTCTCATTGACAGCCACTAGAGGCGCTTGCGTGCTTCTCACTGTGATTTTCACAGTGAGAGCACGCAAGCGTCCATAGGAAAGCATTGTAAATGCTTTCCTATGCGACGAGCTGAATGCGCGCGCAGCTCTTGCCGCGCGTGCGCATTCAGCCGGCGGGGCGTAACGGAGGCGGAGAGGAGGAGGAGAGCTCTCCGCCCAGCGCTGGAAAAAGGTAAGTTTTTACCCCTTTTCCCCTTCCAGAGCCGGGCGGGAGGGGGTCCCTGAGGGTGGGGGCACCCTCAGGGCACTATAGTGCCAGGGAAACGAGTATGTTTTCCTGGCACTATAGTGGTCCTTTAATGCTTTCTGGGAGTTGTAGTTAAACTGTCTGCTGAACAAAACAGAGATTGAAGCTGCACTGTCACCCCATGCCCCTCCTCCATTTTTTTTTAATGTTATTTCATTAAGGTAGAATCTTTATCAAATACTCATTTTGACTTTGTTGTAATTTTACTGAAATTTCAAGCCACATTTAAGAGAAGTACAAAGACAAAGTAAGGACTATTTTGTCATAGCATTTCTTCTCCACCTTTGGGTGGAGACTAAGAGTCAATCCCGACAGTTGTTAACGCAGCTGCGGGGAATTGGTTCTGTCTAAGGAGAATCCAGCGGTCTTGCGGGATCTTCCATAGAGATCAATGCTGTACTCTTGAGTCTCGTGCCAGAATACAGCTGTGATGTCAGCACCAGGATCTGAAGAAGAACCACTGGAAAAAGATGGCACTACCCATGAGGGACAGGTTCAGGTAAGTAAATCTCACCTTTACCTGACACTCCTTTCTCCCCGGTTATGGGCCAATTGCAGAGTATCACCTTCAGGGGTCTTTGTGAATTTGGCAAAGTCCTCAGATGGTGACAGTGCTGCTTTAACTAGAACATGCAGAAACACAAATAATGAAATCAAATTTTTGTGCAAAAATTGAATCACTACACATTGTAGAGAAAGGAGTAGAAAGGGCTAGCTTAAAAACAAAATACTTTTTAAAGTCAAACTGAAGATTAATATAAAAAAAGAAAACACACCCAGAATAACTGACAGTAACATAACCCATACAATGCTCCTAACAATTGGCTACCTGGAATATTACTTAGAGGGACACTCCACTGCCAAAAAAACCACACAACACAACACACACTGTTTTATAGATATACCCCCAATGAAAACATGCTTGAATTTATTATACATTTTCTTCCATTGGGGAGTATATTTAAAAACAACTTACAAATGCCAAAAGCTGCAGGTCTCTTGTCTGCAGCCATTGCAAGCCTTCAACTTCTAACCCCGCCCAGACTTTCTGTGGGTGTCCAATCACAGACTTGCTAACGCAACTCATTGAGAAGTCTTTGCAAGCCAGGTCCTTTGAGCAATTGCTGCCTCTTGAGTTTAGCTCCATTGAGCTAAACAAAACAGGAAGTAACAAGACCTGTTGTCTCATTGACAGCCAGGGTGGTGTAGAAGACTAATTTATAATTGTGCCAATTTCTATTGACATTTTTTTTTTTGAGGCAAAAGTGAGTTGCTGCTAGAATTTGACCACTGATATGCAAAATAACTAAACTATTCCCAGATAGTGAAATTATGTTGATATTAAACCAGACAAATATTCAGCATCTACGGTACTTTAAGATTTATTAGTATGACAAACCCCACAGGCAAGTTGTTGTATTTTACAAAACAAAATTAGTCTTCAGTTTACAAATTAAAGATATATAAATCAAGACAGTTTGTTGCAAAATCTTTTGGTGTTAAAGCAAAAATAAATAAATGTCCACGCTAAATTATTCTATAACCTTTTTCGAGTGAATATAACAAGTGCACACAAACAACCTACATCACAACTCAATAAATAAGTGACTGTGTGTGATTTATATAATATTCTATCAAATAACATTTATACAGTGTTCGTCCACATATACAGACATATCTATAAATAAATAATGAACAGGTCATACGTGCAGGGTGTATATGTGTATATATATATATATATATATATATATATATATATATATATGGCATAGTATACACACACAGACAATACACACACACACACACACATATATATATATATATATATAAAAAGCATAGTATACACGCAGACTATATATACACATATATAAGGGCACAGTATACAGGCAGACTATACATAAAGGGCACAGTATACAGGCAGACTATATATATATATATATATATATATATATATAAAAGGCACAGTATACAGGCAGACTCTATATATATATATAAAAGGCACAGTATACAGGCAGACTCTATATATATATATATATAAAAGGCACAGTATACAGGCAGACTATATATATATATATATA